CACACAGACACACATGCACACACACACACGCTTGGGGACCAGGCCACAGCATCTGCCTGTGGGGCATGGGCGTGTACACATACATACACACACACACACACACAGGCACACAGAAGTGCCAGAGTCAAGGTTCCTCTTGGCCTGAAGGACCCACTGGGAAAACACAGCCCCCAGAGTCACCCTCTTTCTTCCACAGCCAAAAGAAGGGGCCTGATTCTCCCCCAACCAAATCCAGCAGCCTTAGGAAAATAAAATCACCCAGGATCCTGGTGCAACCCCCAACTCCCCAGGACCACAGAGCACCCTGCCAAGACAGGGACCCACTCCCATTCAGACAAACAGCAGCAGCAGCCTGGACCCTCACCCAGGGTGGGCTCTGCCACTGAGTACTTGGTCTGCACCTGCCAGAGGCAGAGGTGGGAGGGCCACAGGGGGTCAGCTTGGGGGAGCTCGGGGAGAGGGGTAAGCCCAAACCCAGATGTCCCACTGCCTCTGCAAGGCAGGCAGACAGGGGGAGGGAAAAGGGGGCAGATGTGGGCCAGGAGCACCTGCAGCAGATTCGAGAGGAAAGGGTGTTTAGAAAGCCGGCCTGACCCAAGCAGGGGTTAAAAAAGGGATGACAGCCACAGCGGCAAGTGGGGCAAGGCCTGCCCTGCTCCTGTCCCTCATCTTGCTGAGAGCAGCCCTCTGGGAAGGAAGAGAGAAGTTCTGCAACAAGTACAGTGAAGTGCCCGGGACATCAGAAACCACAGCACTGAGACAGGGAAGCTGGTGTGCCTGCGTGTGCCCTCAAACAGCATGAGGCTGGCACACTCATACTTATTCACCAGCACTGCCCCTCCCAGCTTATAAGCAGCAGTGATGCTGGGGAATGGGGTTCAGCACCCTGAGTCCCAGGCTTCAGAAGAAAGAGTTTGAAAAGCAAAGAGGTTGAGCTGGCAAGGGAGCAGGGACTTGGACCCTGAGTGGATGGAAGGTTCCAGAAGAGGCCGTGCATGGAGGCAGGGCTGGGAGACAAGTGTTCAGTGAGAAAGGCTGGGCCAAAGCTCTCACTCCATGTTGGGCACCATAAGACTAAGGGCACAGGAACACCTAACACCCCCCGCTTCGGCTGTGACCAGTTCTGAAGCCCTCTCACTTCTCCAGGAAGGGTTCTACAAAGCTGTACGACTTAAGCCCCAAGGCTCCAAAGTTACCCCTGTCCCTCTCCCTTCCCTGGTCCAACTCCCCAAAAGCCTGTCTCAACCCCCAGGTTCAGTAGCAAGGCCATCAGGTTCCCTTCTCCAGCCATGAAGCCAGGCCACGGCACAAGGCACTAGGCAGAGACAAAACCCACTCTGGTCCCCGCAGGGCTCTTCCAGGCCCAGTCTCATCACCCAAATGAGAGTTCTCCCCGCTCTCTTCCTAAGGCACCTCCCCGAGGAGGGAAGCCGGTGCCCCCAGCCTACGTGCCTGGCTTGCAAGGAGCATTGTTCCAACCGTCCCACTCGGCCAGGCTCCGCCCCCAGCCCCCCGCCCTCCCTCTCGGCCCGCCCCTTCCCCAGGCTCTGTGCCCCTCGGGGCGGGCGCCGGGCTCCAGTTCTCCCGCACACGTCCAGGCCCTGAGCAGCTCGGGGATCCCAGGGGCTGAGGAACCAGCCTCATTCTGGATGAGGCCCTGCGAACAAGCCCCCCAGGAGGCGCCCTGCTGGCTTCGGTCCACAGCAGCCGCTCCAAAGGCCTGGTCAGCAAGGGCTGTGAGGCCGCGGCCAGCAGACGGACGCCGGGAAACCAGAGGCCCTGCTGCCTGGGCCAGCCTCGCCCACCTGGCACGGGGGAGGGAGGCCTAGAAGGCCTCGGGCCTGCTGGCGGAGGCAGAGCGGCCCGCTCCTGCGCCCCCGCGGTCCTGCCCCCACCGCAGGAAGGCCAGAGGCGGCCTCTCCAGAGGGGGGGTAGGGGCCCCACCCCCGCCAGGCCTCCAGGGCCCCAAGGCCTCCCTGGGTCCTCTAGGACACTTTGCAACTCTGGGAAGGAAAATAGATGAGGGGGGAAAAGAGAATCGGGGGCGAGAAGACAAAAAAAATTAGCTCATTCTAGCCACAAAGGGAGAAGAGCAAGAGCACGCCGAGCGAGCTGCAGCCCCCGGTGACCCCCGGGGAATCGTGTGAGTCAGAGCAGCCATATTGAGCAGGAAATTACTCACAGACGCTGCGTTCCTGCCTCTCCACTCCCCAGAGAATCGGCCTTTTGTAAATGGTTCCTCTGTCAGTAACCGAGGGGGGATGGGGGGAGAATGCACAGCGCCTTCCTGTCAGCTCCTTCCCTTCCAGCTGAAATCTGATCCCTCCCTTCCCAAAACTCCAAATTTAGAAGCCAGATTGAAACTGAAATTCTTTTCCTGCCTGCCCTGGGCTCTTAAAGGCACCAGGGCTGCATTTCCTGAGGTGGCAGAAGCCCCCTGCAAGGTGGTCCCCTCCTCCAGGGAGGCCCAGGGCCGCCAGGTCAGGTCAGGGGCTGGTCCCCAGGGGGAGGCAGGGTGATGCTCAGTCCCCTTTCCAATTTCTGGTTGTTTGGTTTAATTTCGTTGCACCAGCGCCATGATCGCAGGTCTCCAGAGGCAACACTGCCCCTCTTCCAGAACACAGCACAGAGAAAACATGCAGGCCTCCTGTCCCAGCATCCGCACGTCAGGCCTTGAGCCTCCCTCGGGCAGGGTGAGCCAGGCCAGGCCACTCCCTGGCTAGGGCTGTGGAACGCCGGCGTGAGGGAAGGTGGGGTGGGGCTGGCTCAGGGCAGAGCTCTGGGGAGCTAGCACAGTGCGCGCTGCAGGCAGCAACCAGGCCAGCCTGCGCTAGGCTGGGTCACGGGAGCAAAGGGGGGTCCTTTCTGTCACCGCAGCACTGGATCCTGCCAGCATCCAGGGTTCGGTAGCATCCAGTGTGCACGACCACGCCCAAGCACCTAGACCCAAAGTGACAACAGGCCCCTGCCGAGAGGGTGCAGAACCACCACAGTTCTAGGGCCTGCCTTCCTCAGGGCTCTTGCCTCTTCCCCAAATTTAAGTTACTAACACCTTCTCCAAGTCAATGTGCCTTTGGTGCCACCTAGTGGCAACTGTAGGATTTCCTTTAGCAGAGGAATTGAGTCCCAAACTTGGGAAAGCTTTTGGGTTTTTATACCAGTATAACCAAACAAATAAAAAGACAGTTGTAACTTGGAATCACTTTCCGTATTTCCTAAGGCTCAGACTAGCCTTCTTGTTAGTTACTGACCGGGACCTCTGGACTTGGCCAACCACCAGGGGGAGCCAAACAGCTGAGCCTTCACCTCCATGTGAGCAAAGCCCGCAGCGCAGACTAGAACAGGCACCCCTGCCCCACTCCGCTCCTGCCACTCCCTGTGGGGTCTCCCAGGGCTCCTCAGACCCTCACATTCCCCTTGGATGAAGCAGCGTGTGACCAGCTCTCAGGCAGTGAGCCAAGCTGCCCCGGGGTCCTTCCAACCTTGGGCCTGCTACACTGCTAAAGGCAGCGATCACAGAGAAGGAAGTGGTGGCCCCGCCGTCAGTCCAGGCTCCACCTGCTGACTCCCCTCTGGTCTCTGGAGTTTGGCGGAGGCCTGAGCCGAATGCTGACCAGGAGCCTGAAGCTATAACTGCTTTACCAGGCTTCTCCTCCTCTTTGCGGGGCTCAGAATGGGCAGCCAAGAGGGCAGCCCTGGCAGACAGGGGTCCTGGGTATGTGCCAGTGACATCACTGGGGCCAGCAGACATGCACACAGGGATCAGGGAAAAAAACAGGATCAAGACCCTTGCCAGACAGCAAAGCCAGGGCACCCTTTGGAAGCGGGGTGGGGGTAGTAGGGTATAGGGCATGAGAAATGAGGATGAAAGGTCCCAATACCTCCGGAAAGAAAGACCCTGAGCGCAGTGGGTCCCCAACTTTCATAGGCAGTCACCTGGAAAGTATATTTAAATGCAGGTTCCTGGCTCTTGTCCCCCAAGATTCCTAATCCAGGAAGCTGGGGCTGGGCCCAGCAACATGCATTTCAACCAACTCCTCAGGTGATCTGAAGGAAAGGGTCCGAGGCTACACTGTGGGAGACCCTGCCATAGCAAGTCAACAGCACCCACATAAATGACCCCCACCAAGCGGGCTGGGAGTCCAGGCCTGCTCATCTTCACCTCTGCTTCACTTGTCCCCATGTCCTCTGACAGGAGACATAGCTCTTCAGCAGAAATCAATCCTGTCTACTCCAAGGAGCCTCTCCACCTCCTGCAGCGGTTTCATCCCGCACACCCACACACAGCTGGACAGCCCTTGTGGGCCCACCCACCCGGGCCCACCCACCCCCAATACCCACCCACCCTGCTAACCTCCTGCATTAGTCACCAAGACCAGCTAGTGACCGCATCTTAGTCTCTCGGTTCAAGAGCCCCGTGGGGTTCAGCAGGAACCTCAGCCCAGTAATCTGGGGGAGGAGATCCCGGACAGCCAAATGCTGTCTGAACCTGCAGAGAGGCTTGGTGGGCCTTCCTGCCCAGTAACCCAGCTTCCAGGGCCGGCCAGCCTGCCATCCTCAGGCAGCGGCTCTGGCTCCTCTGACCCTCTCCAAAGCCACCAGCCTCAATTCATCTCAGCCTGGAGGCTGCCGTGGGCTTCTCACCCGCTTCTGCTCACCTCGGTGATAAACAGGATGCACTCCAGGAACATGTAGTCCTTGTGGTTCTCATTCACAGCCTTCTCGTCGACAAAGTGCCTGGGCTCCAGATATGGGTGGTCTGGGAACAGCAAAGAGCCCCATAGCTCAGAAACGTGCTCACACCTCTGGCCACCTCAGCCCAGCGCAGTCCACACCCACCCCAGGGCCGCAGTCGTGCCCCTGTGCCCTCAACACCTGACCTCCCAGGTGTAATGAACGGCCTTGTGCGGGGAGAGTACTCTAGTGTAATAAGCTCCAGCTCTGCCATTTTACAGCCATGCGACCTTGGACCAATGACTTCAGCCCTCTGAGGGCCAGTTTCTTCATCTGTGCAGTGGGGATAAGAACAGCACTGCCCTCGTACCACCTGACGAGCATGACCGCAGTAAAGCACGAGGCATGGGGTCTGCACAGGTTAAGTGTCAGTCAATGGTAACTGGTCTGAGGCTGGCAAAGACCCTTCCCAGGGTCACTGAGAAGATTCAAGGAGATCATCTACCCAAAGCACTTAGAGCGATGCCTGGTAAAGAACTAGCACCAATGAAGGGTCACTTATTAATACTATCTTGTAGGCAGCTAATCCTCTGTTGAAACAAATTACTGCCCCACCCTCACGCACCGCAGACCCCAGTGAGCTGCCCAAGCCCAGAGAGCAGTTTTAAAGTGGAGGAGCCACCCGAGGAGGCCTGCAGGATGTGCCCACAGCCCCGCACCTGGTGGCAGCTCCCTGACAGGCCCCTTTGCACAAAGGCAGATAACAGTGCATGACATTGGTCACTGAGTCAAAAGAGTCCCTCGTTTTCAACATAAAACCCCACAGCTGCTGCCAGGAGTCCACTATACGCCAGGCGGGCGGCCCTTGCTCCAGCCCACGTCATGTCCCATTATCTCGGCAGCGCTCTGCTCCGCCTCCCGCAGCCTGCCGCCCTGGCTCGCAGCAGAGGTCGGCAGCAAACAGCCCCTGTCAACAGCTGCTCTAATGCCCGCTTTACAAGCTGTCGCTATCTGCCCTGAGCAGAAGGAAGGAGGGAAGGGGGGTTATAGTGGAGGGGTACGCACCCCCCAACAGTACCTATCAGCTGCGAACTGCCCCAGATAAAGGGCAGAAACTGGAAGTCATCCAGGCCCCACACTCCCTGGCTGCCGGCTGGCTCCATCCTGTATGTTTTCTGGAGTTTCCGCATGACCTCAAGGTACCTGCACAGGAGGGTGGGGAAGAGAGGAAAGGTAGCAAGAAGCACAAAGACGGTCTCAACCCTTCTGCCACCAGGAGCATAAGGAGGCCAGAAATAACCACCTAGGAGGTAACTGGTCTCTACTTCAATTAAAACCTACATGCGTAAGTTATACATCAGCTGGTACTCTCAAAGTAACATTGCCTTATTTTTTTCTTCCACACTCAGCCTTCTCTTGGCCCAGGAAAAGGGGTTTTAGAGCCATCAGTCCCTGACAATGTGAGACCCTGGGCAAGAGTCTCAGCCTCCCTAACTTGGAAAGCTTATGGGTGTCCAAGTAAATCATCTCCTAGATCCTTTCAGCTCCAACCTTCACTGTTACCAGGGGTTTTGCCATAATCACGCAGGAGCTCTGGCCTCTGCATTGCGAGGTGGGGCCTGAAATGGGCACTGTCAGAGCTCTCTGATGGCTGAAACAACCTGTGCTGTGAGCAGGTGAGGGCAACAGGTCAGGGCCTACCTGCCTGGGTTCAGCTGGCTGTGTGACCTTAGGGAAGAGACCTGATTTCTCTGTGCCTCTGTTCCCTCATGTGTAAAGTGAAAACAACAGTTGCCACCTGCTAGGGTTGTTGGCAGAATAGATGAGTTTCAGTAAAGTGCACAGAGCATGCCTCCACTGGAAAATCCACAGAAGCCTTGGCAGTCAGTACACGATACTTTCTTCACTTGTTTTTACTCAAATTTGAACCTGTCGGAATGAGCCTTGGACACCCCATCCACAGCCAAAGCTCGACCAGGGCAGGACAAGAGGACCAGTAGCCACCCGGGAGAACCGTCCAGCACCCTGTCCCCAGTCTACAGAAATAAGGAAGAAAGAGCCTCTCTTCTTCTCCCATTGGCAGCTGCCCCTCCGCCCCCCTTGGGCTCACCGATTGAACACCTTGAAGACGATAGCAATCTGATCATCCACCCGCAGCACCCCAACCTTGCAGAGACAGCAGAGGAAGGCAGCAAACGCTGCCTCATGTCCTGGGGGAGGAAAAATAGCCAAGGTTGAAAGTCTTCTTAAAGAAGGGCTGGGCTGTTCTTGACCTCACCAGAGGCCAAACTACCGTACCATCCAGAAGACCTGGGCCTATCTGAGAACCACCAGGACTATAATTCTAAAAGGCCCATGCTGTTGACTTCTCAGATAGGCACTCATGCTTTATGGTGTAGTTGTAACCCACTCATCAATCCCACACTATTTATTGAGCACCTACTAAGGGGGCAGTCACTGTCTGTATCAGGCACTAGGGGACAATGGCAAACAAGTCCCTGCCCTTGTCTGATAGTTTGCCATCTATCATGATGGCAGACAGTAAATACACAATCCCTTCCATGAGTCTAGCTCAGAGGAAGGACAGGATAACTGGAGGGTATCACAAGTGGACCCTGACATAAGATTCAAGGTTTCCCTAAGAAAGTAATCTTTCATCTGAAATTTGAAAAATCAGTGAGTTTGGCACAGTGAGTGAGGGAAACAAGAAGAGCATTCCAGCACAAGAAACAGCATGTGCAAAGGCCCTGAGATCTGGAAAAAACTGCTATATTTAAAGAACCCTAAGAATGCCAGTGTGGCTAATGCAGAGAGAGCAAGGGACGAAGTATAAGATGAGGCTGGACATCAGGCCTCAGCACCCATGGTAATTAGCTCAGACGATTATCCTAAGAGTCACCATAGAGTCAAAAGCCACCCACCCCCTTTCCTTTCCCAACCATGTCTGGAATGGTCAGCACTATAGAAACCACTGCTTGTACTTTGGACTGAACACAATGGTTCATAGTGTTGTAAATAATGTATTTGTAGGGAGGTGAGGAAAGAATATTCCAGCAACTTCTTATCCTGTCCATAGAATGAAGGTCCCTCCAGGGCCTAGGAAGCTTGTGAGCTCCAGGGCCTGCACAGTTTCCAATCATGCCCAGCCAGAGTCTCAGCACCCATCACTCAGGGGCTCCTGCACACCTGAGAGCAGAAGCCACCCCGTGCTGCCCGGGCCAGCTCCCCTCCAGGTCTGTCCCTGCTGGCTTTAGCCAAAGGCCTGTCCCTGAAAGTCTCAAAACATCTGATAAACCTCTTCCCCAGCAGCAGGAGGAGCGGATGACAGACTCTCCCGGGACCCAGGTCTGGGGGGACCCTTCTCCTTCTCCAGGCCTGCCTCTGGGGCCTGGGCGAGGCGAGGCCCTGGGAGTGCGGCAGCTGTTGTCTTTGCCTGCTTGAGGGCAGAAAGGCCCGGAAAGGCCACCGAAGCAGGGGCCCTGCTCAAGCCCCACCCCAGAACACACGCCCTAAGGTGCCTGCACACTCCCTCTCCCTGACAGCTCAGAGCACAGACTGTGCCTAAGAGACAGGGTATGGGGAAAGGCCACACCATCGTGCTGCCACAGGCTACCGAGCTCGTTCATCTCTCAGAGCTTCTGGGAGGGGCTGCCTTGCAATATAGTAAGTGCCCAATAAATTACTGTTTCGGTGGTGATCATGTGCTCACAGAGAAACCGTCTTTACAAAGAACAGAAATCAGCTCTGGGCGCACACAGCATGCATAGGGCATCAGCTCCCCCTGGTGGACCAAGCCAGAGCCACAAGAGCAGTACCAGGCATCCCTGCGCCCGGGGGCACTGCACCCCAGCTGGCCCGACAGGCTGCCTGATCAGAGGGCCCAGAGACAATCCGGAGCAAAGAGGAAGCAGCCCAAGAAAAGGCTGCCGTGAAGCCAAGCAAGCGCTAGCAGCGGCAGGTACCTGTGCCGTAGTCGATGCGTGTGGAGTTGCCCACGGACTCCTTTAGGTAGACAGCCACCTCAGGCACAGCAGCTGCCAGATGGCTGGGGACCACTGTGGCCACCAAGTTTTCTGCTTCCTGATAACACAAGAGACACAAGTGGTGGTAGCAGATTGGGCAGCATCCCAGTGGGCAGGCACCCTGGGACAGCATCTGGCTGGGGCCCAGGCTGCTATGCCAGGTGGCCTGGCTCCCTGCTCTGACTGGCCACAGAAGGAAGAGGAGAGACACCATTTATTCTTACATAACAGAGAGGCTACCCTGAGGTCGCTCTTCATCTGCTCACCCTTCCTCCAGGGGACAAGGGTCTGAGAGCAAGGCAGGAGGAACCTGAAAAGAAACCATTCAACTCCCCCATCTGGTAACTCACTGACATCCTCACAGGTACCATCTTTCTTCACATTCCCAGAGCAGCAAGAATTTTGGCCGCATGTACACCAAAAGACATATACAATAATGTTCACAGGAGCATTATATAGTAGCCAAAATATGGAAACAACCCACAGCTGCAATGTCCATCAACAATAGAGTGGATAAATTATGGTACGTTCGTGTGATGGAATACCATGCAGCGAGGAGAAAGCTCCCCAGCTACACACAACACAGATGAATCTCACAGACGCGGCATGGAGCAAAAGAGGTCAGACATGTCTATGAAGTTCAGAACAGGAAAAAATGACCACTAGGACCTTGGACAGTGAAAGAGCCCCTGAGGGGGGAGGTGGAACTGAGGAGAAGCCTTTCCATGCAACCAGATCAAAGGTTAGCTTTTTACTTCCTTGGAGATTTACCATTTCAACAGAAAATTAAGACAAAGAAGCAGTAGTCACCACGATTTGCAGGATGGTACGGAAGTCAGCTTCGGACTCAGCTTACGTGGGTGACACTGCGCTAGAAACCAGAAGAGTTTGGGGGATATCAACTGGGTGGGGGCACTATGGCCTTGCTGGAATACTGGAATGTTTTACAGCTTGACATATGTGGTGGGTGCATAGGTAAAAAACAGATCTATCAACCTGTACAGCTATGATTTGCCAGCTTTCTTTCAAGTTATAACTCACTAAAAATCTTTTAAAAACACAAGACCATTGCTATCTTAAAAGTCCAGAGGCAGCCCTGCCACGCTGCTAATTAGGCAGTGATAGTGTTTTTCTGGGTCCCTGGGATCCCCCTCTGCTCTATGTGAAAACACTGGGCCAGAGAGATTAGGACCCAAGTTTCCCAAAGTTCAGTATATGGACACCTGGCATGAAAATTTCCTGGACACCTGGGGAAAATCTGCAGTCCCAGGCTCCACCCCAGTCCTACAGACTCTGCTTTGTAATAATGTGGCCCGAGATCCTGCATTTTTATTTTTTGTTTGCTATGAATAGGAATCACCTTCATATGATTCAAAAATATACATATTATAAAAGGGATGCACTGAGAAATCTCCAATTCCTTCTCCCCTGCCCTCAAAAATAAATCACAGCTTTATTAGCCTCTTGTGTATCCTTCCAGTGATGTCTCTTTATGCAAACTGGAGAATACAAATATATCTCTTTATTTCCCCCTCTGTCTTATCAAAAAGCAGCTTGCCATGTGCATGATGCCCCAAGCTCCTCTTTAACCTAACAAATCACGGAGCCCCTTCCCAAGTTCCGCATCAGCCTCCTTAGCCTTTCTCACAACTGCACAGTACTCCAGGGATGGACATACTAGTTGATTTAACTGATCCCCTGCAGACGAACACTTGAGACATTGGATTCTATCATTAATACAATGACCTAATAAATACCCTTGTGCAGAAGACTGTGGTGATTCCCAGAAGGTGGCTGGGGCAGAAGGTAAATCCATTTTTACTTTTGGTAAATGAAACTGCCATTTTAACAAAGTCCCCAGTGACTTAGATATGCCCGCAAGCTCTCCCCGCCAGCCCAGCCCCCAAGCCTGTTCTGTGGCAGCCTCACCTCATCAAGTTTGGCATACCAGGTCCGGTAAGCCTTGTTCCCAAATCGAGAGGGCTGGTCCACCGGAGGGGTCTCATCGATCCACCTGTCCAGAGTGTTGAGAAGAGCGACCAGTTTCTCAATGGCCTGTGGAGGCAAAATAGAGGGGGCCACACCACAATGACTAGTGACCCCAAGCTAGCGCTAGAGGGAAGTCCCAACCACTGCTGGACAGTGACCCCTAGGCGGGGAATGGACTGGCATTCTCCTTGCTCTCTCTTTCTTCCTAACCATTCTGAATGTGAAGGAGTGGTCAGGCACCGTGAGCTTACGGAGAAGGCCCAGCGCCAGGCTGCACAGACAGGGGTGGCTTCAGCAGCTGGTTTCTACAGCTAGCCTATCACGGAGCAGCTGCAGGACCAGCACAAACTCCAGCCCTGATCTTCTTCAGTAGGTTTTCACTGGAGTCTTTTGTTTACTACACAGTATCTACACATCACAAAAAACAGAAACGTAAAAGGATGAAAAAAACAATCAGCAATCCTGCCACCCAGAAATAAACACCACTAACATTTTAACATACTCTCCAATTTTGTCTTTCTATAGTATTTTCTATTGTTTTTCATGGTAAGAATATTGAAGGCAGATGGACCTGGATTAAAATCCAATAAAAATACCATGTAGTTGCTGTGGGACCTTGAGTGGGTGATTTTAATTCTCAGAGCCTGTTTCTTCATCTCAAAGATGGGCATGATGACAAACACTTGCTAATGCTGTGATGAGGCCTAAACAGGCCATGGAAATACACCTAATACAGTGTCTCGCACAGTGTATATTTATGTACATATAGACTCTAAAACATGGGTTACAGAGCACGCTGCTTCATAGCCTGCTCGGTGTCCTCATGAACCTTATTCCTTACATCAATATGTAAACATGATTTTACAACAGCCTTTAACATGTATCATAAATAATATTTCATAAATGAATAATATTTCACTGTACTGATGTACCATAATTCACTCACCAAATCCCTCACTGTTAAGTGCTTCAGTTATTTCCAGCCACTCACTACCACTCACAGCACTGTGAAAAACCATCTGGAAACTCCCCTTTTGTGGAACTGCCAGGTGAGAGGTACAGGTGTGTGTAATGCTTTGTAGGGCAGGCGTTATCAGAAAGCCCATCGCCCTATACCTGTCACACTGGATGGCAAGGACTAAGAAGCGGAATCAGTGTCACAGGCTAGCACCGCTTTAGCACACAACACGTCAGTGAGGCAATCAGAATGAGGCTTTCGATCCAAAGCCCAGGTCTGTGAAGGCAACTAGGAAAACACTCCTTCTGGGTGTGTGTGGATAAAATGAAGGTTCCTGTGGCTGGGATTCTCACCTGGCCCTGGCTGGCTAGCTCAATACACACGTGTGGGCAATACGCTGCTATTGACTCTATCTAAAGAGCTCCGCCCAGTGCTCTGGGCAATATGGTGGCACGGCTGCAATGCTGGAGAGCAGAGCAGAGGCTGGAGTGGTGGCAGTGCCAAGGACAGAGGCCCAGAGGCAGAGACCAGCTTGCTGCATGCAGACTTGCTCTGAGTGGATGAGATTTTAGTGACTGACCTGCCACTGTGGAAGTAAAGTTGGGTATAACCCATTCACCCCAAGAATATTTTACTGTCATTTCTTTGGTCACACTGAATCCATAGCGAACTTGCCCAGGGCTGAAACCCACTGGCAAGACAGTGTGACTTGCAGAAAGAGGTCAGAACAGTAGGCTCCATGGAAAGCTATTCAGAGTCGGGCAGTCCCGGGAAGAGGGACCCTGCCAAGAAGCTGGCCTCTGTCTACTGGGCATAAACAGTACATGGAGATGCCCCCAGGAACTGCTGGCTCTGGTAGGAGCCAACAGGGTGGCGCCCTCATGAAAAGCTGTGACAAGGGCATGGTCTGCCCTTGTGCAGACTCCAAAGAGAACAATCCAGGGAGCTACGTGCATTCTTGGGGAAGGGGGGAAAGCGGGCTTGAGCTGATGGAATACATGTTCACCAGTGTCCCTGCATAGCTACGCAAGTCCCACTGCAGTCCATGTAAATAGTGCCCCCTGGCATTGTGCAACACATCAATGGCCCCGAATGCTACCCTCCCTTACCTTCTATTTCCGTATCTTTGGGGCATGGGGGAGAGGAAGTTACCTGTAAGAGGAGGAAGCTCCCCTTATGCCTGGCTGAAGCAAAGGGCCAGGTGACATAAAACTGCCTTTCCAAAATGTGACAGAAAGCCCTGCCAGAGCCTAGCTCTGTGAAGAACCAGGTCACCAGGAAAAGCTTGCAAGGACAGAGCAAACCTGACCCATGCAGCAGGTGGGACTTAGGAGGGATGACACCATAAACCTGGCCCCAGGAAGCACAGGCAGGGCCCCGTTCCCCAGAGAGCACAGTCTTTGGTGAGGCACAGAAGGGGACAGAGAAGGTCTTGGAAGGCCAGCAGGAGCCAGGCCCCAACCGTGAGCTCAGCGGGGCCAATGAATAATTAAAAGGCTCCTAGCCCTCTTACTGGAGAGGGCTTACTGAAAACAGGGGGCTTCCTCTATTGTTTGGCTTGCTGGGGGAGACAGGCTGGAGGGGAGGGAACTGTGGGACAGAACCCATAGGAAAACAGAATAATTTGAGCTACCCTCTCTCTCCCTAGACCAATGCTTTTTTTATTTCACAAAATAAAAATTGCCAATCTACTATCACATTTATTTCACAAAAAACAAAAATTTTAACCCACCAAATAGGACAGACATAATCTCCAAATGAAGGAGAGCCCTCTAACCATGGGTCTAGCCAATCTCACTGCCTAGCCCTTAGTTAGAACCCTTGGCTGCTCGCAGGTGGGCTGGGAGCCGCCACCCGAGGCCCCTCCGCCCTCTCCCAGCGGCAGCTGCCTGCCCTGCAGTAGGAGGCAGGAGTGAGCAGTAGGGGACCCAGGCAGCTGCCGCAGCAGGACCAGACCACCACAGGGGCCGAGGCCACACACTGGGAACGGCGCCTTCTGTTGCCCCCGCCCCTGTGGGCAGAGGCTGAGAGACCTCTGTGGACCACACTAGTCCCCTCTGTTCACCAGTGGGGAGCAGCCAGCAGTCCCGGCCCTGGGATGAACCCCAATGCAGGAAGAGCCCCAAATGAAGCAGCACCACGGGCAACTGGAACCAAACACTAGCTAATGATAATAGTAAGATTGATAGCATCACCTAGTATGTGCCAGGCACTGGACTAAAAACCCCCCAGGTGGCATCTCAGTGAATCTCCCCATGGCATGAGTGGGTCTGCTGGCTCTTCCCCCTCTACAGGTGACGAGACAGAGGGTGAGTGGGGGCAAAGCCACTCAGCTGGAAAGCGAGAGGTCATCAAAGCCTGGTCAATCTGACTCCAGAACACATGCACTTAGCCACACAACAATCCTGCCGTAGGTACTGCTCCCGACCTGAAATGACATCTGGTTTGTGGGGACACCTATAATCAAAGCCTCAGGGGCAATTAAGAGGCCTGAGAGAGATTTCACAGCTCGGGATCTGCTGGGGTAATTACAACAGCGCCCTTTAATTAGCTTTACCACACCCCAGCCCACTGAGCCCAGCTGGCTCAGGAGCAGCCCTCTCTCCCCACCGTCAACTGAGCCCAGAGCAAGAGGCCAAGAAGCCACTGGTGGCCCGGCTCCCAAGAGAAGGCTGTCTATCTCCAGCACAGGCCCAGCTCCCCTCAAGTGACAGAACAGAACCTCAAGCCACCCAAAAGCCAGTTAGGGTCCAGGAAGAGGCAGCTCTACCAGGGGTGCAGTATGAGGGGTTGGACGGCAGTGCTAGCTTCGGGACCGGTGGGCAGACTGGGCCAGGGCGGAGAACAGGCTGGGACCGGGCACTGAAAGAGGCCACTTTAGCCCTGGTGTCTGAGGTAGGCTGGCTCTGAGCCCACCGGACAAGAAAACAAGAGGCCACTGCAGGCCTGGGACCTAGCCCTGAGAGACGGCATCCAACTCGAGCAACGAGCCAGAAGAACACAGCTTCCCACAGGCCTGGGCCTCCGTGCAGCTCCTGCGCACCCTCCACAAACACGCCTGTCTCTGCAACAGCAGCTAAAGAGCGTCCACCTAGTAGCACGTGCCCTTCAACTCGGTGCTTCCACTCCCAGGAACGAATCCTTAGGGCAGGATGCACTTAGCCACACAGCAATCCTGCCCTAGGTACTGCTCCCGACCAGACCTGCATGCAAGGACGGTCAGAGCAGCAGTGGTTAGAGATACAACCTCAAAGTCTACAGTTAGGGGGTTGTTTCAACAACTCAAGGGGGCAGCCATTGACACGGCAGGAATGGAAGAGCTCACAGGCAGACCTGGCTGACACTCCCCAGACTGGTGACAGGGCCTGCCCCTGGGAGCTGGGGACTGGGGACAACAGGGGGAAGTCAGCTTTTTTGTTAACACATTTCTGTCAGTAATCCCTTCGGTGAGCACATTTACTTCTTTTGTAATTTTTTAATTTAAAAAATTATGTAAAAACATGAGTTAGAAGAAATGTAGCCTATGAGACAGCCTGTTTACCTTGATCCCAATTTTAAAAATACACAACTATTAACATATTTTTTTAAAGATTAGAAGAATAGACACCAAATGTCAAGTGCACATGGGTCTGGGCGATGTCACTTTCTGAACTGGCCCCCGTGGGCCGTGAGCCCCCGCGGCTCCGCAGTTACTCTCGGAAGGCCCTGCCATGGCGGACCGCCGGCGCCTACCTCGGAGACTCTGTACTCAATGGTCAGCTTCTTCCCCTTCACACCTTCATTGAGGGTGAGGATGAATCCGATGTAGTCGGCATATGCCTGTCAAACAGAGGGGAGGAATGAGGACACAGAGGGGTGAATCAGACCCCCAACTCCCTACACCCCAGCCAGCCCCCAGCTCCACCCAGTTACCAAAGTGCTCCAAGCTTCCTCTGGTTCCCAAGACGGCAGCAGGAGAAGCAGAAAGATCGCACCAAATACCCGATCCCTACCCTCTGTCCGAAAGAGCTGGCAAGCCAGAGACCACAGTGACACAGGACATAAAGCCAGAGTTGTGCTCACTACTGCATTGGCAGTTTCTTTGCACAACGACCCACAGAGGTGGACACTGCCAGTGTCCCCACTGTATATACGAGGAAACCACGGCTTCAGAAGTGACGTGCCCAAGGTCTCCTAAGACCAAGATCTCATCAGATGTGGAGCTAAGACCCTGCTGGCCAAACTCCAAAGCAGGAGGCCAAGGACAACACACCAAGGGGCCCTCCCCTGGTTTTCTTCTAGATGTTTCCCCCGCCAGACAGGCCAGGCCGTCTGCCTGCAGTGCGGCTGCTCTGCTCCCAGGAGAAGAAACTGTTTTCTGCCTGTGGCCTGGTCTCCAGCATACCCATCACCAGCTTCCAACTGGGCACTCTCTTCCCTGTTGAGCTGCAGGGTTACAGCCAGCACAGGGGTAAGAAAGCAGGGGTGCAGGCCCCTGGCCAGGCAGTTCCTGGGAGCAGCGACTTCTGTTTGGGCTTGTTTCTGCTTCAGCCCACTTGCCTCTCACTTTCCTCCTCATACAAGCCTTACAGGTGCGAACGGCATCCTCAACAAGCGCTGAGGATCAACCTACTCAGCATACAGAAAGGAGCATTCTTATACCAATATCCTGCCAGCCAGCCTACAGAATGGTCGCGAGGGCCCTTGTCCTGACTGCAGCCTGCGTTCATGATCATTCCTGCAAGGTACGCTGGGACACAAGGAGACAAAGCAGCAAAGGGCAGGGTCCCCTCCACGGTCCCTGCTCCCACATGGGTCCGGGTCTTGTGGTGACTAAAACTCAGGACATTCTTATGAATGTGACTGTGTGCAGTCTCCACTAACACCATCACCGTCACTGTAATGATAATCATGCCCACTGCTCAGTAAGGCTTGCTGTATGCCCAGCAGTTCAGGCTTAAGTCATTTAAGCCAGACAACCCCATTTCATAGCAGAGAGAACTGAGGCTTGGCCAGGTTAAGTACTTTGCCTCTGACAAAAGAAGAAAAAACAGCAGCACTGGGCTTCAAGCCCTGAGCTATGCGACCCCAGGCCCAAGTTCTTGGTTGCTGCACTGTGCTGCCTAGTGAAACACCGTGGGTCACGGCAGTCGCTTGTCTACTCAACAGGTACATGAACTTGACTGATGAGCTTCAGAGCAAGTGAAAGGCTTCTACCAGGTATCATTCAGCATCCATTCCAGAAGCAAAAGTGACCAACACCTTCCAAACAGTGTCGGTGCCTAGTGCAGGATCAGCAAACTTTGCCCACAAAGGGCCAGAAAGTACGTATTTTAGGCTCCACCATAAAGTCTGGTTCACAAAGTTCTAACTCTGCCACAGTAGCACAGAAGCAGCCATGGGCAATACATAAACAAACAAGCGTGGCTGTGTTACAACAAATCTTTATTTACAAAATAAGCAGAGGGCCAGAGAGGCTGGCAGCCAGTAGTTTGCTGTCATGTGGCCTAGACCACAGTGGCTCAACCCAGGGGCCTCTAGAGTCAGAGGACCTGGGCATGAATCTTTTGAATCTCACCTCAACCCCTCGCTAAATTTCTTTAACTCCTGGTCTCAGTTTCCTCCCCTTCAAAATGGAGATGACCACTGTGCCCACCTCCCAGGGTTTTTGTGAGGATTAAATGAAAGAGCTAAAAAGTACCTGACACATCATCAACACCAGCCCTCCTTGGAAACCATCCAGGGGAAGGAAAGGGAGGAACGAAAGCCATGTCTGGATCTGGACAAGCTTGCAGGTTCGGGGTACAGCAGTGGTTCTCAGCCCAGGAGATCCCGCTCCCAGAGGACTTCTGACAATGTCTAGAGACATTTTGGTTGGCATAACTGGGGTAAAGGGTGCTACCAGCATCTAGCAGGTGGAGGCCAGGGAAGTTGCCAAACACCCACCCTACAAGGCACAGGGCAGTCTCCTCCAGCAAAGAAGCCACCACAACATGTCAACAGTGCTGAGGTTGAGAAACCCTGAGGTAGAGCACGATGATGAAAGGACTCGAACCATGTCATTTGCACACCTCAAAGAACCAGAACGTTCATCCTGGTGAAGACTCGGGGAAAGAACACAACTCAGAAAACACAGGATAACCATCTCCAAATATTTAGAGGGCAGGCTTGTGAAACAAGACCCATATAGGCTCGTGTGGCCCCAGCCCCAACGAGGACAGAGCATGGCAGGTCTAGGCGGTGAGCTCAATGTAAGCACGGCGACTCCTCAGAGAACCTGCCCTTCTGTACAAGGGACGCTCCCCACCCCCGCGGACCAGACCATGTATAGGCACCTGGCTGGAAATGGGCCCAAGGCCTTCTGTGGGATCTTGAAATTGGCTTTCTTTCCCTTAGTCTCCGTCCTTCCACAGCCTGGACCAGAATCCCGAGAGGCACACACTATTACCCTCTGCCCACCATGAAAACTAAGTAGCACAGAAAGCTGGTCTGCCCCCAGGGCTCTAGGTCCCAGTTCCCAAGTAGTTTTAGGCTTGGCCACCTCCCTGGCCTAGGCTTCAGGAGATCACCTCCTCTCCCAGACTTGCTGTTACTTGCAACCAAGAATCAGAGTAACACACTCTGTCATTTAGGACACTGATGTTCATCCAATATAGTGACACTCAAGAGAACCATGCACAAAACTCTCCAGGGCTGCCCTGGCCCCACCACCAGAGACCTTCCCACTAAAGCGCGTCGGAGCGCTGTTCCAGGGAGGAAGGGCAGTCAGCTGCCTGCCTCTCTCCCTGGCTTCCAACAGCTCTGGCTCCAAGAGCAAGAAGGGTCAGGAGCTCACAACCGAGCAAACCGAAGTCTCTGAAAAAGCCCAAGTGTCCCATTCCAGTTCCGACCCCACAGTGCAGACACCACTGGTACCTGAGAGCGCTTCCATTTGCCCATGTATGGAACCGTGTGGATCTCCTTTTTTGGAATGATGAAGTTTTGAGTGGCTGGAGGGGTATCCTCTGAAGACCCTTGACAAAGAAAATGAGAAAGAAAACAGATAAATAGAATCTTCTCCCTGCCCACTCTAATCCTCTCTCTCTCTCTCTCCCTCCGCCCCACCCCCACTCTCTCTAAAACCAAGCCCTCCCATAAGCAGGACAGAGTAATGGCCTGCCTATCAGGCCGAACGCACTGGCCTCCTGCTTTCCTTACTCAGCAAGAAGTTGAGCAGCACAGACAATCCCCTCAACTGACAGTGGCTCTGCCACGCCCTCACCTCCTACTCCCCAGTGGGCAAAACGGGTAGAAAAATAAAAACAACATGACCTTTTAGGCACAAACATACGTTAAAAAAAATAGACATAAATTCAAAGAAGGAAAAAATACAAATGGCCAATAAACATTTGAAAGAAAATTACCAACCTCTGAATAAGCAAAGAGATTGATTTCCAAATCAGGCTGGTGGATTAAAAACACCTGGCACTGATTACAGACCGGGAAACGGGAACTCTCCAGCACTGCTGGTGGGAGTCTTGGTAGAACCTCCTGGGGGGCAGCTCAGCACTCAGTCTTTTGATGTAAAAACTACATGTACCCATTAAGCCAACAGTCCTACTCACAGGCATCAACCCTTCAGATGCGCTCATAGAAACTGACAAAGATTTAGTCTTAGAGGTGCTTACTGCACTGAAAATAAATCAGACACAATCCAAATATCAATCGATAAGGCAATGGGTAAATAATGATATGCCCAAATAATGGAAATCTTCATAGCTTTTTCACAAAATCTAAATTACTGATATAGAAAAACAGCCTATATTTTAAATGACTGAAAAAGAAACTGCACTATATTGTATGTAATATTTAATTTTTATAAAACCTATACATACTAATATAAACAAACCTATTAGCACACGCACTGGAAAAATGTAAAGGATTAAACACCAAAGTTAGTAATGATCATCTCTAGGAGGTAAGACTTATCTAAAGAACTCCCATTTATGAGATAAATATTTGTATTAAAATCTAGCATATACTACTTTTATAATCAGAAAAAAAAACTATTTGCAGGATTTCCTTCACTTTATGACACTGGGAAATAAAAACCTTCACTCCCTTATCCATAATTTCAAAATCTGAAAAGGTCTAAAAACCCAGTTTTTAAAATAAGTTTGGCACAAACTCATTTAGTGTAAAACTTAAACCCAAACTGTTAACTGATATGAGAACCTTTACAGGCTTTGTGTCCCCCACTGAGGGAATTTACTTTCTGCTGCAGAAGTATTTTGATTATAGGGCACTGATTTCTGAAATCTAAGAAACTGAATTCCAGGCGGAACCAGGTCTTTGTAACTCTAAAATCCAAGGTTTTCACCATTACACTAAGTAGTTTTTTCCATTTGTTCCAAAATGTCCTGTTCCAAACTTCAAAGAAGTACCACCTCCAGGGACGGGTGACCTCCCTGAGCCTGCATCTCTTGCAGTGCTCGGGTCTGTGCCCACCCTCCCTCCCATCCCCCATCTTCAGACACACATGCATCTCGCTGATAATGCTGGTGGCCTTGTGTCTCCTGAAGTTATTGCTAGAACCTCTAAGGGCACATGCACCTACGTTTTGCACCAAAGGAAGTAACTGTCTGGTTTCGAACGCCCTAACACCATTCCCAGCTCTTTGTCCATCTACTTCTGGGGGTGGCGAGGGGATGCCTCTTTTTGATCTTCAGAATTTCTCCCTTCTGAGACTTTCCCAGAGATCACAAAGTGTGAGACACAGCGGAAGGAATATCCAATGTTTTCCAGACATTAGCTGTGTTGGCCAACCTACTTGCGGGGTCAGAATTTTAAGAGATACCTACAGTCAGTCCTTAGCTCAAGGAGGGGCCGGCTAGCCTGCCAGCACCCCCCTGCTCCAGGAAACCGACTCTGAGAGAAGTTCCTTTCCGTGGCACCTGCATCCCAGTTATTTGAGATGAAGCGATTGAGATGAAGCCACAGTGTAAATAAAAGTTACAGATGGTGATGCCAGAGAGAGGCTCTCTCATCTCCTTGATCAGCCTTTTTAAATTAGTGGTTTAGACAACCAAGGGCGGTTTCTCTCAATAAATTCTCAGCCACTGAAACTCCAGAGCCCGTCCTCCGAGGAGGAGGCAGGGCTGGTGGATGAGGGGAGGCTGGAGGGGGGGTCCGGGCCCACGGGCCACCACCCCCACTTTCGCTCCCATCCCTGGTAGCTTCCCCCCCACAGGTAAAAAAGCTGACTTGGGCACGCTCGGCCCAGATGGGGCAAAGGCCTCCGCCACGGCCCACGGCCCTGCCCGCCCGCCCAGCCCCCGGGCAGCCCGGCCTCCCCGCGGCCGGCCGCCGCGCCCCACCCACTACCCCTCCGCAGCCCAGCTTCTCCGCTCTCACCCCGAGCCCCCCAGCACTTCTCCAGCAGGGCCCCTCAACTGTCGTTCCTCCTCGAGGCCCCTCGGCTTTGCCCCTCGAGCTGCTCCATCTCCGGCCTCCCCCTGCAGAGCCCCCCGCACCACACCCCTTCCCCGCCCCGCGCCCGGTGGCACCGCCCCCGCGCCCCCCGCCCAGCCCAGCCCGGCGCGCCCTACCTGGCGGCGGCTGCCGCTCGCCCTCAGCCATCTTCCTCCCGCCTGCAGCCGGCGCGGAAGCCCGCAGTCCCCGCTCAACCTTCACCCCCGCCCCCGCCCTTCCTTTCCGGCTCCGCCAGGCGCCGAGAGGTTTCCGAAGAGAAATGAGCGCTGGTCGGCTACAACCGAAAGCCGAGAATTAGAGTCACCCCTGCGAAGACGCCCGCCATGCCGGCGCGGGGCCCCCAGCGAGCATGCCCAGCAACGGCCGGCTCGCGGGAGGCGGCGGCCATGCCGGTGCGGGGCCCCTGGGAGCATGCGCGCCGGCGGCCGGCTTCCGCCCCCCCCGCCCCCCGCCCGCCCTCGGCCCGCCGGGCGCTGGAAGCGCGGCAGCCATGCTTTTGCGGGGCGGTCCCCACCTGTCACCTTCGCGTGTGGCCCTGACCCTATCCCGAGGAATATTAGAGGGCATTCCCCTGTTGACACGTTTGTGTTTTCCTGCCACTCTGAGAGTAGCGTTCGAGGACACCAAATGGCCTGAGGGAGTGCACACCACTGCCTCCCGCAGCCCAGGCGGCCCCTGGAGGTGCGAGCCAGCGAGCTGCTGGACCGCGGCCCCTGCGTCGCCCCTCTCCCCGGCCTCCGCCGCCTCGCGGGGTAGCCCTACAGCTAACTGTGCCGCCGGCCCCGCCCCGCGCGGTGGCCCCGCCCGGCGCTCGCTGCTAGACGCCGGGGCCTGCGACCCGCTGGAGGCCCCGCCCGAGAGTCCTCCTCCCGGGGTCGCCAGCCCACCGCCGGCCCGGCCCGGCCCGGTGGGTGGCCGCGGGGCCGCCTCTACCGGCTGGCGGCGGTGACTCGGCGACCTTGGCCCAGAGCATCTAGCCGGAACCCCCCAACGGCGGCGGCGGCGGCGCGGACTTTGCCCAGCGTCGGGGCGGAGCGGACAGGGTCCGCGGGCCGGTCGCCGATATGTTGGCCTTCGCGGCCAGGACCGTGGTAAGTGCTGCCGGGAGACCCGTCTGGCGGGCCTTGGACGGGGCGGGCGGGCAGCGGGTCCGCAGCTGAGCCGGAATGGGGAAGCAGGCCGTCGAGGGGAAGCGGCCGAGCGGCGGCTGTGCAACGCGGTCAGCAGCTGCCGGGGTGGGGTCGACAGGTGTGCTAATCCCGTTTGGCAGAGGAGGAGACTGAGGCACAAGGTCAGAGGCCGGATTGAGCCCAGGTCCTGTGGAGCTAAATTCCAAAGACCCAGAAAAGTTAGTGGGGACCTGGCTTTAGGCAGTACCTCCACCCTTAGACAGGAGCCGGAGTGGATATTCTCTGACTCACACACTGATCGCACCCTGAGCCTGGGCCATCTCCGCCCAGGCCAGAGCCACTTCTCCAGTCCGTCCAGTTGGTCCACCTCCTTGGGCTTATCAAATGGCCCCTGGGGAATTGTGTGTGGCCGGAGAAAGTCATGTGGAGGCCTCAAGCTGGACTGCTCACTGCTCAGAAAATCCTCAGACCAGTAGGAGGCAGCAGGTGGCAGCCCCATGCCCTCTCTCTCCACCAGTCCCTACCCCACTTGCCCATAACTACCTCCCTTGCCAGCCCTCCCAACAGGGCAGCCTGGAGCAAGCCAGAGCTGCTATCCAGATTTGGGTTCCTTTCCTCTCTACTCAAGCATATCTCTGCTTGTATCTCCATCTGTGCAGAGAAGGATGATCAGACAGGCACTGCCGGGCCCAGAGAGTTGAGCTCACTCATCTGCTGGCCCAAAGGTTCTCCACGTCCCCCGAGACTCCAAGCCTCCACCCCACCTTTGCCACTGCCACCTAAACGGTGTCTTCATCCCATGGACAGCTTCCAGGTCCCCCTCCAGGATCTGCTGGGTGGGCTGATCACTTTACTGCTAGGGAATCTGGGCCAAGGGGCAACTTGGCCAGAGTCTCCTGGATCTGGTGATGCAAATCCAGCCCAGTTCTAAAGCCAGAGTCCTTTAGTTTGTTTTTAATGCCCAAAGTCCTCTACTCTTGGCCCCCAGCTGAATGAGCCACAGATTGAGAGAACCAGGCTTTGGTGGGAGGGTAAGCCAGAGGGTCCCAAGAGTCCTGGAGGGAAACGGTGAAATGGGCAAGGCTCTTAGCAGCCACTGCCCGCCTAGGGCCCTTTCCCAGTTGCTGGTTCCTTGCTGCAGTCCCAATTTCCAGGACTGGTTTTAGGGTTGTGGTATAACCTCAGCAGCCAGGCAGTTTCTGCCTCCAGCCACGTTTTTCCTCATCAAACAGTTACATAGATTCCAGCAGGTGGATTTTTTAATACCTTTTGACCTGCTTCCATGGCGCTAGGCCCATCAGAGAAGAAAGGGGCAAGTTTTTCAGGTTTCCTCCTACTCAGTGCCAGCCAGCAGCCCCCTCACCTATTCCCCATTCCTTCACTTCTGGAAGTGAGGGAGGGTAGTGCAGCCTCTCCTGCCACGGCCACCACCCCAGATGCCACTACAACCACCATAGCCATCACCACTGCCATCACCACTGCCTCTCTGCCTCCCTCCTGAATCTTGGCTCTTGTCTTCTCTTTCCAGCCCGGGCAAGTGGCTGTCTCTTGCTAGGTTCTGCCCGCCCACTTGGTAGCACAGTTAGGCTTAGAGATCCAGCCCAAGGCAGACAGACAGGGCTCAGAACCTCAGTCCTGCCATGGAGGACGGGCAGCAGAAAGAGAAGGTACGGAACGGAGCCTCTGCCAATTGCCTACCCGCTGCCGCAAGCAGCCTCAACCTCTTGTCTCTCTTTCTGCCTGCCTCCAGGCTCTCCTAGGCTCTCTCTGCCACATCTCACCCACCTTGCCAGGCCACTCAGCTCTCTCCTGACATAGCGCTGCTCCCACGCCACCCCTATCCCCACCCCACAGACAAAAAAAAGCTGAGTCCCTCCCCTCACCTAAAGGTGCTATCATCGTCTGGCTCTCTCTGATTTTTTTCTTCTTTCCTGTTGTTTCTCAGCCTGCCAAGGGTGGGGAAAAAGGAGGTGGGCACTCCTGGGTGGGAGCAGTCACCTCACTGGCTGGCTCATTGTCCTAGGGTGAGAAAGGTGGGGGTCCTGTACATCCAGACAGGTGAGAGGTCACCCCAACCTCCACCCCCATGGGATGCCACTCATCCTGACTGGCTCTCCTGAGCCCTGCCAAGATCAGAGGCCACGCCCTACCTTGCCCCCATCCCTACCTGTATCTTCAGGCCCTTGAGAGGTGGAGACACCTAGAGCTTGAAGGCTGGGAAGCAGGGCGGGCGCCACCCAAGAGGCCGTCTATGACCCCAGGGATGGGCATATAAGCGCCCAGGGCGGCAGCTTTGGGATTGCCGGGGCCTCCCAGAGCAGGTGAGAGAATGAGCAGGATGTTCTGCCTGCAGGTAAAGCCCGTGGGCTTCCTCAAGCCCTCCTCCCTGATGAAGGCTCCCGGCCGCTTCAAGGCACACCAGGACTCGCTGCCCCGGCTGCCCGTGCCCCTGCTCCAGCAGACCCTGGACCATTATCTCAAGGCCCTGCAGCCTATCGTGAGCGAGGAGGAGTGGGCCCAAACCAAGCAGCTGGTAGAAGAGTTTCAGACCACAGGCGGTGTAGGGGAGCGCCTGCAGAAGGGGCTGGAGCGCAGGGCCAGGAAGTCAGAAAACTGGGTGAGTGAGAACTGAGGGGACACAGGTTCCCCCACTTCCCACGGAGGGTTGGGGAGAGGGGCCCTCCCAGAGGCTCTGGGTCATTGTGAGTGACCTTAACTGTGGCCTGTTGCTGGCTGCATGCAAAGAATTTTCCAGTACCAACTGCTCTGGTGCTTTTGTTTGTGCCACAGTTTCTTGAGTACTTGCTCTGTGCCTGGCACTAGGGAGGGTGCAGGGTGAGCAAGGACACAGAGGATGGTCCTGGAGTTGGCACTCAAGTAGGGTGGGGAGAGAGGTGAGGAACAGTTCGCGAGTGAGCAGACGAGGTCGTTTCAGGCAGTGAGGTTGTGTAGAAATAAGAAAGGATGGTGAGAAAGAGTGAGAGGAGGAGAATGGCAGGTCTCTGTTCCGAATGGCCAGAGAGGGCAGGGCTGGATCTGAAACAGACAGAAAACAGCACAGGCAAAGGTGGCAACAGCTTGGCGTGTTTGGGGACAGAGGCTGGAGTGGACTGCCCTGGCTGCTGGGAGGGAAGCAAGACGGAGCAGGTGGCAGGTGGGGAGGCTGGTGCCCTCACCTCGGAGGAGATGCTGGCAGGGACAGAGGGGACAGTCATTTGGTCCAGCATGTATTGGAGGCAGCGCCAATGGCACTTGCTGATGGGAGCCACCGGGAAGCAGGCCTGACCTAAAGCAACTGTTGGGGGAGGAAGAGGGGCACTTGCCGTGATGCGGATGAGCGAGGGAGTAGCAGGGCTGTGGGAGAACACCAGAGCGGTTGGGCCCTAAGATGGGAGGTGCTCGGAGGGCAGGTGGGCGCCAGGGCCGCACGTGGAGGTGGGAGCCTGGACCTGGCAGTAGCTCATGCTGAGCCTTGGCCGGTCAGGACCTTGGGCTCCAGAATCAGGACGCTGGCTTTGGAAGGCACTCAGAGAGTCTGAGCTGGCAGTTTTCCGACTTTGTTTGGCCCAGAACTCCTTCAAACAGAAGTTTCTGGCTAAAGGGATAGGGACATCCTCCTCCACCCAGAGGGCCCCACCGCACAGCAGATTCTCACTGGGGCAGTGCCCGCATCGGCAGGGTCTCCTCTGGTGTCTTCAGCTCTGGCCAGAGGCTCTGAGCTTGCTAGGAGAGTGGGGGACCCTGGCTGAAGGACAGCCCAGCTGTCCCCAAGGGGAAAGAGCTCCTGTCTGTCCCTCCCAGATCTACAGCTGAGGAAACTGAGGCCCAGAGAGATAGACTGAAAGCCCAGAGCCACACAGCAGCTTGCAGGGAGGCCCCAGCTGCACAGGACGAGCTGGCCGACTGGGGTCCTATCCTCAGGCTGCAGGACCTCAGACAGCAGCCTCCCACTGGCCTGCCTTGCAGTCTGGGCCCACTGCCCTCCTCTCCTCTTGACAAGGACGCGAGGCTAGTGGCCTAACAGGCCGGCTCTCCCTAAGGGCATCTGTGTGGCAGAGGCACCTCTCACTGCTGTTTGAGGTCGGGTGAGGAAACAGTGGGGGCCTGGGGGCCCAGGGGCTGAGGGATCTGCCAGAGGAAGGCGTGGTGGGTGTGTGCATGGGCGCGGTGGGGTGAGGGGGAATGCACAGTGAGCACATAAGGCTCAAGGGTGGCAGTCCCCTGGGAGTCTGCACAGCCCAGGACAGGAGCCTTTAACATGTCCATGGCTGGGCTCCAGAGGCACTGCTCACCCAATAGAAATAGCCCCACCCCAGACAGGACAGGCCACTGGGTGGGGATGCCAGACGTGTCACCCACATCTTGTCACTAGTGCAAAGATTGATCCTCACAATGAGCTTCCCCCAGATTGCCCTGAACTTGAGGTCCAAGTGGGTGTCCAGTCCCCAGGCAGACACCAGTGAATCTGAGGCCATAGAGGACCAGGGTCCCAAGGGTAGCACTGAGCCCCGGACCCTGCCTCCTTGGGCAGTGGCCACCCAGGGTGATCACAAAAATCTTTTGCCCTGCTTTCCTTTTATATAGGTTTTGGTTTTTTGTCTTTCTATCTATCAGACATATATTTTTATTTTGGAAAGTAGTAAAATCATTGACAAAAAATGTGAAAGATGAAGAAAAATAACGCACATTTCTGCCTCTTTTCTTCCCCCACCCCAGCTCTCCTGCTAGTCCTCTTCTTGGCCCTCTTTTTCTAGGTAATGCTGGTCTCTCTTGCTAATGCTGATTGGCTTAGGCTAAAGGACAATGATGAGACCCTGCTGGTGGCGTTAAGAGGGCAGGGGGATCTGGATCTGAGCATTCACTTTGGGAACCTGTGCTCTCTAGACGGGGCAGAGGGGGCCAGCCAGGTTCCCTGGCCCTGACGGGGAAGGGGCACCAGGTCCCCGCCCACCCCTCCTCACAGGCTTTGGTCCTTGCCCAGCTGTCCGAGTGGTGGCTCAAAACGGCCTACCTCCAGTACCGCCAGCCCCTGGTCATCTACTCCAGCCCAGGTGTAGCACTGCCTAAGCAGGACTTTGTGGATCGGCAGGGACAGCTCCGGTGAGTGGCATTTCTGGGGCCCTGCAGTCCCCTCCCACCGGGAGATTAGAGGGGCCCCAGCCCTGGTCATTATCTTTCATTACCATAAACAACTTTATGAAGTAGGAAGCATCATGCCTCTTTTACAGATGGGGACACTGAGGCTCAGAGTAGTGAAAGGACCTGCCCAGGATCACCTTTCAGGATTGTCCCCTCGATCCAGGATAGGAAACAGGGTCTTCCCAGCTGCAAAGCTTCATAACTGTTAACCACCAAACCACGGATGGGGTTCCCTCTGTCCCCCTAAACCTGAAGCTACCTCTCAGCCCCAGTCCAGCACTTCACCCCTCCTTCCCTCTCTTCTCACCACACCATAGGGATGACCTTTGTACACAGTCCCCTTTTCTACATTTGGCCATGTCACTTTCCCTGGCTCTCTTCCAGTGCTAGCAGGGATAAAAATACCAGTGACAGGGATCTCCTGCTCAAGGGCCAGCCACATGGGCCACCACCTGCTTCTCTTAAAGGAACCAGGACACCCCAGGAAGAGCCAGCAGTTCAGGCCCAAGAACTCCAGCCAGTGGTTCCCTGTTGGGAGCCAGGGGTAGCGCAGTGTTGGGCGTGTTTGGTGTCGCCCATATACAGTCCAGGGAGGAAGGCCCGGTTGAGGCAGGTGGCCTGGGGGACACAGAGGCCCCGAAACAGGAAGGTACCTAGTGGAGGGAACACCTCGAGCCACTGCACTCCATTCACCCTCTGCTCCCCGAGGTTCAGGACCTCGAGCCCTCTGTGGGTGGGATCAGCATTGACTCACAAGCACCTGAGTGCTTACTGCCAGACTCTTAGCCAGTGGCATCTCCCTGAGCCCTTGGAACAGCCCTCCCTCTGGAGATTAGAGAAAGCAGGCTTAGAAGGGTGAGGGCCTGGAGCACAGGGCTTGCACTTGAACTCCCTCAGGCTTTCTGGAAGCAGTAAGAAGTGAAGCAATCAGTCACCCCCTTGATGAGACTTTTCCGTACCCCAACAGGTGTCCCTGACCCTAGGCCCTCCCGTGGGGGTGTCCATACAGGTTCTTATCTCTAATTCATCCCTCCAGGTTTGCTGCCAAATTCATTGAGGGCGTGTTGGATTTCAAGGCCATGATTGACAAGTGAGCAGCCCTGGCCTGCCCCCACCCCATCTGCCTAATTACCACCGCCACTCAAGCAGGGGCCTAGCAGCCATCAGTCAGCCGAGGCGCTGGGCAGGTCCAGAGTTCAGGCACTCAGGGGCTCTCACATCTTGTTGGCCCAGGCTCTTTTGGGGTCGGGGAGGCAGAGCAGGGGGAGTGGGATGCCTAGGTCCTATGCCACAGCTGCTAGGGCCTCTCCTGATAACTACCCTGAGAGACCCCTGGAATTGGTGTCCTGGGGGTTGCCTGGCTGCTTCATCCCTTCTGTGGCAAGCTGATGCACAGAGAGGGGAAGGGAGCTTCCAGGCTGACTCAGCAGGGCCCACCCAGGGTGGGACACAGCCCTCTTGACCCCAACCCAGCTCTGAGCCATCCTGGCAGCTCCCTGTGGTCCTGCCCTTCTGCTCACTTGCCCAGTGGCCCCCTCACTGTCCCTCTGCCCCTGCAGCGAGACCCTGCCTGTGGAGTACCTGGGCGGAAAGCCACTGTGCATGAACCAGTACTACCAGATCCTGTCTTCCTGCCGTGTGCCAGGCCCCAAGCAGGACTCAGTCACCAACTTCAGCAAGACCAAGAAGCCACCCATGCACATCACTGTGGTGCACAACTACCAAGTGGGTGGGCTCCCACCCTCCTGCAGGGGAGGAGGGGGTAGCACCAGAAACCAGTTTCCCGCCAGGTACAGGCACGCCCTGGGAGTCCACTGGGTGCCCAGCCCGAGGGCCTCCACTCGCTCTCACCTCGGCCTGACTCCATCCTCTCGGCTGGGCCCACGACGGCCCTGGCTAGGACTTCTGGGCTGCCAAGGGCAGGAGGAGGGTGGGTTGGGAGGTGGCTGCTGCCAGTCTAAGACCCCATCAGCCCTCCTCCTCTCCACCTGCTTGTGTCTGGACAGTTTTTTGAGCTGGACGTGTACCACAGTGACGGGACACCCCTGACCTCAGATCAGATCTTCGCACAACTGGAGAAGATCTGGAACTCGTCACTGCAAACTAACAAAGAGCCTGTGGGCATCCTCACCTCCAACCACCGCAACTCCTGGGCCAAGGCATACAGCACACTCATCAAAGGTGCCCACGGGAGGGGCCAGGGAGGCCCATGTCCTGGCCTCTGGGCACACCCGGCCCTGGGCAGCCATGTTTCTCACTGAATCCTCTCAACTCAGAGTGGGTGTTGCCCCATTTCACAGATAAGGACACTGCAGCTCAGTTGGGTTAAGTTACTTTCCCTCTGTTAGTAAATTTTGGTGGGCATCCAAGTCCTCTGGCTGAGGAGCCCACCTCTACCTCCACGTTCCCTCCAGCTCCTGTGGGTCAGGGGCGTTGTCCCCAGAATCGGACCCGTGTTGGATCCCTGACTGCCACAGTGGCTCTTCGGGTGACCCTGGGCTTGTTTCCTCACTTCTAAAGTGGATCAGATGTTGGGCCCTGCCTCCGGGTGCTGGGAGGCTGCAGGGTTGTTGGGCAGAAAGCTCTGAAGCCTGCACCCAGCCCCAGTAAACACTCTGGGGGTCCCCCCGGGCCTGACAACCCATCTCGTGCCCCTCCCTCATGTCTCTGCAGACAAGGTGAACCGGGAGTCAGTGCGCTCCATCCAGAAGAGCATCTTCACCGTGTGCCTGGATGCGCCCATGCCCCGGGTCTCAGAAGACGTGTACCGCAGCCATGTGGCCGGCCAGATGCTGCATGGGGGTGGTGGCAGGCTCAACAGTGGCAACCGCTGGTTTGACAAGACACTGCAGGTGAGGACCCAATAGGGCCGGGACTCCCAGCCCAGACACACAACAAAACTGGGCCCACTGTGGCCTCAGGGCTTCCTGCCCTTTGCTTGGGCGTCCCTGGCCTCCCAGGCCTCCCAGCTCATAAAGCAGGTGGGAAGCCAGCAGGTGGATGCAGCTTTAATCACTGGGCAGTCAGCCGATCATTACTGGGTCTGGCCCAGAAACCGCTGCCACCCCAGCACACTCCTTCAGCACTTCGGGGAGAGTCCGAGACGCAGAGCCAGGCAGAGTGGTGCAGGCTCAGTCATGCATTTCCCTCTCTGGGCCTGTAAACTGAGGGGGCAGTGGGACTCCCTGGTAGGGTAGTTACAGGGACTCAGTGAGGTATGTGAGCTCCGTGTAGCCCAGGACAGGCCCCAGCCCCCCATGAGTGTTAGCTGCTTATAAAAACATAATTCCTGAGATGGCTTCAAGGAGACCCCTGCCACGGGACCCAGCCAGAGAGTGGCTCCAGGGACCGGGGGCTGATGGGTCCCCATCCCCTACCCAGTTCATCGTGGCAGAAGACGGCTCCTGCGGGCTGGTTTATGAGCACGCAGCAGCAGAGGGCCCCCCTATCATCACCCTCGTGGACCATGTGGTTGAGTTCACGTGAGTTGGCAGCCTACCTTGCGGTGGGATGGCATTCTCCCTTGTGCCTGGGAATCTGTTTCTTCAAAGGAAGCCAGAAGAGGGCATTGGTTTTCCAGTCGGTCAGACCTGGGTGTGAATTCCGGCTCTGCCAGCTGTGTGACCTTGACAAGTCCCTTCCCTTCTCCAGGCCTTCTCTTTGGCCACTTGAAAGCTGGGGTAAAGGCAGTTTTCAGAAGACCAACCCAAGATGCTCCCTGGACCCAAAACGGCCTCTCCCCATCTGTGAAGTGAGGGTTCTTTTGCCTGGACACTGGTCTCATGAGTCCCAGGGGCAGTGCAAAGAGGAGTTGCGTCCCCTTCTACCTTCAGGGACACCTCCTCCCTACCCCAGTCTCAGGGAGGGCCCCAGGCTCCCCAGGCCCCAGCATGAGCCTGAGGGCCCAGGTCCCCTGCAGGAAGAAGCCCGAGCTCGTGCGGTCTCCCATGGTGCCCCTACCTATGCCCAAGAAGCTGCGGTTCAACATCACCCCCGAGATCAAGAACGACATCGAGAAGGCTAAGCAGAACCTCAGCATGTAAGCACTGGGCACTGACGGAGAGGGCCGCACCCCTTGAGCCTGACGGGCTCCTGTTCCAGGTCTGTCGTGGTTTCCAGCTGACTCTGAGAGCGCTCTTGGGCCCTCCCTGGGGTTGGCAGGGGCCACGGGGGGCCTGCCCCTCACCTTGACCCCCACGCCCCCCAGCATGATCCAGGACCTGGACCTCACGGTGATGGTGTTCCACCACTTCGGGAAAGACTTCCCCAAGTCAGAGAAGCTGAGCCCAGATGCCTTTATCCAGATGGCGCTACAGCTGGCCTACTACAGGTATCCCCTGCCCTGCCCCCCCCAGAAGGTGAGGTGAGACCTCGGGGTGGAGGTGCGGGCAACCTGCCAGGGGTGTACCCAGCCCCATCTCCCACCCAGGATCTACAAGCAAGCATGTGCCACGTACGAAAGTGCTTCCCTGCGCATGTTTCACCTGGGCCGAACCGATACCATCCGCTCAGCCTCCGTGGACTCGCTGGCCTTCGTCAAAGCCATGGATGACTCCAGTGTGATGGTGAGAGGTCCAGGGTGATGGTGGGCGAGCTGGGTTTGAGCCGTCTCCCTCCCTGTTCACTCTGTTAACACACATTGAGCACCTATTATATTCCAGCCCTGTGGAGGGCACTGGGAAACTAACAGAAGATGGAGCCATGAATTTAGCCATGGTAAAATTTGAGCTTCCTGGCAGCCAGATAGAAAAACTGTTCATTCATTCACTCACCAGCAGTGAGCATCTGCCCTATGTCAGGCCTTGGCTGGGGACTGGCTAGAGAGATGGCTGTTCCAGTTTCTGCTCTTAAGGAGCTCAAGGTCTAGTGCTGGGTGGGGAGTGGGCTACTCAGGTGGGTGGCAGGAATAGGGAAGGGACAAACTTCAATTCCCTCTTACCCTCTCCACCCCCTAGGAGCTCCAGAAGGTAGAGCTACTGCGGAAAGCTGTGCAGGCCCACCGAGCCTACACTGACCGGGTAAGTGAGCCCCTCCTGTGCCCACCTGCTTGGCCCTTGGCATTTCCCAGCTGCCTGTCCACCCCTGCAGCAAATGCTCACCTTCGGCATCACCCACCCCTCCTCTGCTCCTTGGGGCTCCTGGAGAAAGGCCAAGTATCTCCATTTTAAAGTTGGGGGGAAACTGAGGCTGGGCCCAGTGACAGCCCAGTGCCGGGTTAGCCTGTGGCTCGTGTGTTGTGCTCTCCCCAGGCTTGGAGCCCAGGACATGTAGGGCTTGTACAGCCTGGCAGACAGCACAGTTTTTGCCCTTCAACAGCATGTGCTGTAGTTGGCGGGGTAGAGTTCTGGGGTCCCATTTGGCTCTGAGCACCTGTGTGCCAGGCTCTGCCCATGGGGCATGCAGATGTCAGTCTGATCTCACTGCCACCCAGGAAGGGGATTTCAGTGACTGTCCCCATGTTACAGATGACACTGAGGCTCTAAGTGACCTGCTAAGGTCCCACAGCCAGGATCGGGCCAGGGCATCCAGCTCCAGGCCTGTGCTCTTAAATCCCATATTGTTCCCTCCCTGGGCAAGTCCCTGGGCCTCAGTTTCCCCATCTGTGAAGTGAGGGTTCTTTTGCCTGGATACTGGTCTCATGAGTCCCAGGGGCAGTGCAAAGAGGCGTTGCTGCCACGAGGTCCTGAGGAGGGCAGGGACACACCCTGTGGGCCTAGCGCGCCTGACAGCTGCCCCCACAGGCCATCCGTGGCGAGGCGTTCGACCGGCACCTGCTGGGTCTGAAGCTGCAGGCCATTGAGGACCTGGTGAGCATGCCCGACATCTTCATGGACACCTCCTATGCCATCGCTATGCACTTCAACCTCTCCACTAGCCAGGTGGGCCGCTGCCCCTGAGCCACCTGGGGCCCCTGCCCTGTGAGCCCCTGCACTGCCCCAGGGAGGGATGGGACAGAGCCCACTGGGGCCAGAGCTGGACAAAGGCTGCACTGAATGGAGCCGAGGTCCAGACCACAGTCAGGCCTCGGGGGTGGCATGACCCACACATGCCACCACAGGCCCACTGCCAAAGCAGCTGAGTTCTGGCAGGGTGCTGGGGTCAGGGGACTTCCTGTAGCTCAGAGAGGCTGAGAAGTCAGGACCCTCGCATGCGAGAATTAGCTTCATTGTTTTACTAGTCAGATAGGAATAAACACTGGGCACTGGGATACAGCAGGGACAGACTACTGTCCCTGCCCTTAGGGGCTCGCAGTGTAGACTAGAAGCATGGGGACTGGGACAGTGACGGCCCCCTGGGAAGTGTTGGGGGTGGTCAGAGGAGCTTTGAGAAAGCAGCAGTTAAAGCTCCCCCAGGAGCATCGAGGAAGGCTCCAAGGGGGGTGACAGCTGAATGCCACCCGAAGGATGCATCTCGGGCAGAGCAGGGTGGGGGCAGAGATCTAGAAGGGCAGGCTGACGCCGCTTTGGGGCTGGAGGGGAGCAGCTAGGGAGGCGCAAAAGCCTTTGTCCTATGCCATCCCCAGGTCCCTGCCAAGACAGACTGTGTCATGTTCTTTGGGCCTGTGGTCCCGGACGGCTATGGTGTCTGCTATAACCCCATGGAGGCCCACATCAACTTCTCCGTGTCAGCCTACAACAGCTGTGCCGAGACCAACGCTGCCCGCCTGGCACACTACCTGGAGAAGGCACTCCTGGACATGCGTGCTCTGCTTCAGAGCCACCCCCGGGCCAAGCTCTGAGCCTCCCGTGCTCAGGCCTGCTAATGCCATGGCCAGGCAACCCCAGGGCGGGCCACCTGCCAGGGCTCCGCTCCTTTGCTCCCTCTCCCCCTGAGCCCCACAGATCTGACTGAACCACGATGGCACCCCCTTCCATGGGTCATCCCCAGCACCTGCTGGGGCCAGAGCCCGGGCTGAAGTCAGAGTCTGAGCAGGACGCAGGGCACAGGTGCCGACACATCACCTGCTGAGGCCTCTGGAAAAGGGCAGCCACTGAGCCCTCCCTGCCCGGCTGGGAGACCGGTGGGCCTTTCCTGGCTAGCCCAGCTCTGGCCAGTCCCTACTGTCTCATGGCCAGGCCAGGGCTTATACCCCAATCCTCAAGCTCCCAAGGATCTAGAGACAGTATTATCTGGAGCTGGGGGGGTTCCAGGCCTCCCCAAAGCTGAGAGACCAGGGTGTGAGGTGTGCTGTAAGGGGAAGTCCAGCTGCGCCCTGGCCCACCTGGGACCCTGGATCGGTCTCCCCTGGGAGTGCCGTGCTCTACTGGGCGAGGCGGCTCGCGGGCCCTGGCTTACTGGCTTCCTCTCGGCTTGATTCCTGAACCCTGTTTGTGGCTGTATAATGGCGATATGCAAGGTAATCAATAAAGGGAAATCTGTGTAAGAGGCGTCTCGGCCAAGAGGGCAGGCAGGGTGGGGTGGACACCTGGCCTTGTCTTCTGGAGGCTTTCCCTGCATCAGAGAGCTGGGTCCGAGCAGTCAGCGGGCCTCAGGGCTCCCAGAGGAAGCAGGAGGAGGTGCCCTCACGCCTAGGTCAGGGAGCCGAGGGCCAGTGCTCACCTCAGGGCACTGGGCCAGGAACGGTGCCAGACTCAGGGCTGCAGCCTCCACAGACAACCCCTCCTGATGACTTGGGCCTCCGCTCCCCCATGGGCTGGTGTGGGGACGGCTCTCCCTGGGGACTTTGGGGCCCTGGAGCCCTGGATCTAGTGGGCAGCGTGCAGCTGATGGCCGGGGCCCAAAGCCTCATCCTGCTGCCTGCAACTGAGCCCGACAGGAGTGGTGGCCGAGCAGGCACGCTCATCCCCAGGCCCAGCTGGCACTGACCATGTGGAACTCACCTATGTTGGGTACTGGGGACTGCCAGGCCTGACCCAGTCTCCCCACAGCTACACAAGGGTGGGGACCCACAGCATCCTCACCAGTGAGGCGGAGAGGGTATGCCACTTGCCCAAAGTCCCAGGGAGCAGGAGGTGGGGCCCAGACCATGCAGGGAGTGGGTGTTGCCCTAGGCCTGGCTGTTCCTCAGGACCTCGGGGAGTGGGCCACAAGCAGGACCTGCAGGAGAATTCCACCGAGAGAGCACCCAGGCTCTGCTGTGCCACTGGAAAGCTTAGGCTGGCCCTTGCCTCCCCTGGCCTGGGTGTCATCTGCACAGTGGCAACGATGCCGCTCCCTCTAGGTCTACCAGGAGTCCCAGGAAGCAGGGCCCACAGTGGGAGTTGAGTATGGTATGAGCAATATTCAACCAGGACTGCTGAGTGCCCAACCCAGCCCAGCCCAGGGCAGCAGGGCAGGGGAGAGAGTGACCCAGGCTCAGGACTCCCAACACTTGTTCTAAGAACTGTAGGGGTCTGAATATAAGGATTTTCTGTCAGAAATGAGGGCATCCCCTTGCATTGAGTCGTTCCAGGTCTCACGATATGGATGCTCCCTCAATTTTTTAGAGCCACAGAGTAGTGTTTGGGGAAGGACATTGAGCCCTAGAACAGCCCCAGTTAGTGTTAGCAGACATGCTCAAGGCCCCCTGGTAGAAACAGGGCGGGAAGACAAGACAGAGAAGGAAGATGTGGTAATTACTGCTGAGGGTGTGGCCTGTGGCCTCACTGCAAGCACTGGATGCAGGGAAACAGATGCTTTAAAGGTCTCTGGACCCACATGGGTAAGTGTGGGATCACACCCCTACGGGATCAATTTTTAAAGTCCAACTGTCTGAATGTTCTGCCAGTGAACATTTGTGGCTCGGGGTAAAATTTTCCATGATAGCATCACGTGCCCATTAGCTCTGGAGCCAGAAGCATTCAGCCAGCTGGCCCACAAGTGGCCCTAGACCCTGATGCTAATGACGCACATCAACCTTTTTTTTTTTTTGCAAAATAGGAGAAAGAACTGTTCTAAATACATTTTGTTCAATACATCATTTGAAATATGAACATGTAATAAAAATTAATGAATTAAAGATTTCTTGGCTTTTACCTGGATCCCCTAAGTGTCCCCACCCAGACCGACATGAATGTGACTGACTCTCCCCACTGGGACAGGGCAGGCCTGCCCGGGGCCCCACTCAGGGGCCAAGGTGAAGACTTGGGCGTTGTCCTGGGGCACTGAGGAGGGCTTTCCAGCAAGATGCTGAGGCGTGGCTTGGAGGGGGCCTGACTGGAAGGTGAGGGGTGGGGGCTGTAAAGGAAACCCGTGGGAAGGCTTGGCTGCCTCCAGGCAGAGACAGATTGCGGCCTGGACCCGCAGAGTGGCCTAGGAGGTGGAAAGAAACGTATGTCAAAGACACGGAGTCAGACCTGGGACTCCATGGGAAAGGAAGAGCTGGGGTATCTGAAGGTGGGGTAGGGGTCAGGTGGGGCAGAGGCGGAGTTACCTGAGACCTGGGGAACACCCCAGGGCTCACCACACAGCCCCTTTCCTCTTGCATTCCGGATTTCTTCTGACCTGTTCCCCAAATGGCTTTAGCTATTATCTGGTCTGCTGTTAAATATATTTTCTTGCTTTTAAGCTAATGTATTTTTCACTTTTGATTCATTTTCAAATATGCCAGGGCTCAGTTTAAAGTTTCCTGTTCCCTGCAGATTATTTGTCTTTTATTTCTTTAAAACAACTTAGTCTGTGCCAGATCACTCCAGTATCTGAGGTATTTGTGAATTCGTTTCTGTTACCTGTTCTCTGCTGGTTCTGTCATGGTATCCTTTCCTTTAGCACCTGGCCATCTTTGTATTTTGTTCATTGCAATTGAAAAACTATTTATACAGGTGGCTGAAGTGCTGGATGAAGGTTCCTTCCTCCAGAGACTTGTTTGCTTCTGCCATATACTCAGGGCGAGGTTACCCTAACAGATGCCCAGGTTTTGTGGACCGAAGAGGACCCAAACCCAGCCTTCAGGCTCACGTGCGAGCTCCTCATGCACACGCTTAGCTGCTCTGTATCTCAGCTTCAAGCACCAAGACAATTAGATTTGCCGCCTCGGCTTTGACTTGGATTCCCCTCGCTTATACAGCGCCTCCAAAACCCCAGTCCAGCCTGCAGGTGTTTCTTTCAAAGCCAGATGCTGTCTAAAAAACACTCACGAAATAATATAGCAAGGAGTGGAGGAGTCAGGGGCTTAGGAAGGGCACGCTGGCTGTGCCCAGTCCTCAAAGGCTGTCACAGGTGGAGGAACTAGGCTTACCCAGAGCAGAGCCAGAGCCAGTGCCAGCCAGAACCACATGGGGAGCGGGAGCGGACCTGAAAAAAACGGGTAATGCCCTAACTTTGAAGGGCAGTGAGGTCTCAGACTGGTGAGAAAAACCAGTTTTGGGGTCTGGGGGAGTTGAGACATCTTGGAGATGCTTGTGATTTTATGGTCTTAACCATGTCCTTTCCCTCAGGGCCATGTGTCCCCATAGCCATCCCCCAGCTTCCTCATGAGCTTAGTCAACATGCTCAAGCCGCCAGAGTTCAAGATTTTATTTTAAAACAATAGTAAACAATTTCATTGATTTCCCTTAAATCAAACCATCTCACACTTGGCTTGTCTCAGGCAAAAAGTAAAAAAAAAAAAAGGAAGGGGAGGAAAATGTGGGGACTGAAGAGCCTTCCCCAGAAATAGGCCCCTGGTCCTGGCATCTGGAATGGCTTTTGGACACTGTCTTTAACAAATGAGAAGAGAAAGCACCAAAATATTGTGCTTCAGCAGCAGATTGGGAACCTCCACAAAGAAAAGCGGGGGTGGGGGGGTATGGAATTTGAACACAGGTTCCAAGCAGCCTGGTTCAGCTTTAGAAACTTCACATCTCTACACAACTCCGTTTCAGACTGATTTAGAGACAAGGCCCCTTCAGGAGGAGCCATCCTCCGAGCTGGACAGTATAGCCATCTGTGGGCCCACACAGATGTGGGACACAGGCTCAAGAGGTACCCCTGGCAGGTTTCCAGCCTCTCACAGGGGCATCGGGAAGGACAGGACTGTTTGGAGCACACAGGGTTGGGAAGGGCAGAGAGGTCAGGGAACATGGCTCTGATCTCTCCCCAGCTCCCGGGTCATCTGAGTTTTGTTCAAGTGGAGATGAAGACTAACCGCTACTGGATGGCAGGACAAAAGAGCTGTAAACGGCTTGGGCTTGCTCACCCACATGTGCAGGCTCTTTTGTCAGAGAGGAACCATTGTCTTGGGGACAGGACCAGAGAAAGCCCTTTTGGTATAGGGTCGATATGGGGTGGAACACAATGATAGCAGCCACCAGACACATGCTCTCTCTCGGCCCTGGCCCCCGGAAAAGGAAACACTGAATGAGGTTCTGGAATGGCGTCAGTGGCAGGGAGAGCTTAGGGGTGCTGCCCTCCTCCTGAGCCCCCAGGCCACCTCTCAGGCCCAGAGAGAGGTGGTCTGCCCCCTGGGCCCAGGGCAAAGGGCGTAGGAAGCTGACCTGGGCCCCTTTTTATGCAAGGCAGCCACGGCCACACAGCAGGCTCTTCCTGCCCCATCTCCAAAATCCCATCTGCCTTTGACAAAAACAAAAAATAAATAGTATTTTTCACACCACCTGGATTTCCTGGCCCCGTGACCAGAGGTGCATACCCTCCTCCTCTACCCCACACCCTGGTGCCCATGCCGAGGACACTTTCCACCCAACCGGGCCTGGCGGCAGCACAGCAAGTGTCTCTGGCCATGTGGCCCCCTGGCAGCAGGCCCTCCAGGGTCCTGGTTGAGGGCCTGGCTCAGCCCTTTGGTCCACCTTGTTCGTCAAAATTAAAGGTAAAAAAAAAAAAGGCTCCACTTGGTGACAGGTCTGTAGAGGTCTCTGCTTCATCCCTCTGTCTGTCATTACGTCCATCCTGCAAGGCATGTGCAGGCCAGATCTAGAGGCTGGACCCAGCCACACTCACCAGTCACTGCAGTTTTGTTCCCAGCTTGCGCTGTCTGTTCCTGCAAAATGGGGATGGGGGTCAGATGAGGACATTCATTGACCTGCCCCCTCGTGGTCCCCTCCCTACCCACAGTCCTATTGCAATGGGTGAATGGCCACTCCCAGAAACCAGTGATTGATTCGAGCTGGGCCAATCAGAGCTCCTGCCCTGGGACTGGGCAGCTAGAGAGGATCAGTGCCTGGCTGGGCCTGTATCATAAATGTCTCAGCCCTGGAGTCCTGGAGCAGAGCCAGGAAACAGAGGCAGGAGTGGGGGCCATGCAGAGAAAACTGAAGCAAAGACCTGACTGGATTCTAACTAATTATGGGGAGTTCCACTTTACAGATAAGCCAGCACAAGTGAGGCTCTGTTATTAGACAATAAGGTAGTGAGTTCCCCATCTAGGAGGTATGTAAGCAAAGATAGGAGATATGCTGATGGAGGTTATAGAGGATTTGAGTACCTGGTTTGAGGATGTGGCTACAGCCATGACGGGCCTATGGATAATCGCCCCCCATTTCTAGAGGGGCTGACTGAGGCTTAGAAGGGAGAATGGGGCTTGTCTAAAGTCCCAGTTACAATTCAGAAACCCCCTCCCACGTCCTGTGTAGCATGGCCCTAACCTCACCCATTGCCAGCCCCTTGTTCCCTGGGCTCCAGCCTCTTTGTCTGGAGGGGCTCACCAAGCCTTGCCCTGCCTGAGGCTTTGTGCATGCTCCTCCCCGTGCTGAGAACACACTCCCTGCCAAATCCCCTCTGCAACAGGCTCCCTCTTTCTCCCCATTCAGGTCTGTCTCCCCCAGATAGACACCCAACCACCTGCCCCCTCAGGCAGTTCCTGTCATGAGGCCTCAAGCCCAGGGCACTGATCACATAGGTGGGTGCCTCGGTCCTCATGTCTCCCCTGCCTGCTGTGGCCGCCTCACTCTGTGCCTACCCCCAGCACACAGCCTGGCCCAGAACAGGTGTGTATGGAAACTTAGGTAAATGAAGGCAGGTGGCAGCCAGCCAGCCAGGTGGGGAGGGGCCAGGCGGAGAGCCTGGACCAGCTGGGGCTTTTGGCCAATAATGGGATTGCCTGTCCTAACCTCCTCAAATCCCCTTTCCTCTTAGATCCAGGGCATTCCCCTCAAGCTTGTTAGGGTAATTTGGACCATGATGTACTGGATACATTTCCCAGCTGCCCCCACCCCAAGGCTCTTCCCACCAGCCTCCTGGGGAAACTCTTGCTATGGAGCCTGACTTCACCTCAGCTCCCCTCTGAACTGGATGGAGGATTTGGGGTGAGTGCAGAGGGACAGATGAGTCAGGATATTCCAAAGCCCAGACTTGATGTGCAACACCAGGAAACCCCTAACTCGATGCACCTCAGTTTACCCATCTGCTGAAAAGCTTCTGGACTAAACAGCCCCAAGGGATGTCCATACACAGGTGCCCTGAAAAACTCAGCTCCCCAACTCTCTGGTTCTGGGCCACAGAAGTTAAAAAGTATGACTCTGGGCCAGAAGTCTGGGTTCCCAGCCCAGCTCCCCTACCTATGATCTGCAGGTCCTCAGTTATGGGACTCTTCCTCAACTGAGTCTCAGTTTCTTCGTCTGTGGAATGGGGTCCAGGGGAGGATTCAGAGAGGCAGTACAAGAAAAGTGCTGAGGCACGTGCCTGGCTCTTGGGGAGCCCCCCAAATATGGGAGCAGTGGCTGTGCCCCACTGATCCAGGACCTGGTGATCACTGTCCCTTAACTCACCTGGCTTCTGCCCGGGTTACCGTGTACTCAAACCAGAGTACATTAGGAATGAGGCTCGTGTCTCGGATTAGGAAGAACTCAGAGATAGGCCTGGAGAGAGACACCCAGAAAGCCAAGACCACATCAGGGACTGTCTCCACACCAGCAGTGAGACCTCCCCCAATGGCTCACAGCGTCTGCCTGGCCCGTGACCCCACAGCCACCAAGAGACCCTGATGTGGCACCTATGTGACACTCAGGGACACTCAGCAGGACTCAGGCTGCTTTCTGAGACCCTGAGAGCTTAGGCGAGGAGAGAGGATGGCACCCTGGCCTCTGGGTCTGAGGGAACCCCTGGGGGAGGTAGGAGCCAGGCCGGTGGGGCGTGCAGCCTTATGCCCACCGGAGACCTGGTCACTAGGGCCCTCCCAGGGAGCCTGAGGCTGGAGCCAGAATGCCTGTGCCCTCCCACTGACGGCCCCTTCGCAGGAGCGGAGAGAGGCCACGGCGCTTAGGAAGGAGGGCGGGGCAGCAAGAGGAGTTACCAGGCTGCTATCCTGGGGAAGAGCGGGGTGAGGACCTCCTGGGTGAGCGCGAACCAGGCGATGGCCACAAGGCTTCCAGCAATGCCCCCGTAGAGCACCTGGCTCCAGGTGTGGTACAGCAGGTAGACCCTGGGCAAGCACAGAGGGAAGTTCATGAGAGCCCACCGGAGACAGGCGGGCACAAATCCCCCCATGGCTGAGTGCCAGCTTCCCAGGAACCTGTGCACAGGGAGACACGCTCAGACAGGACAGACTCCTGAGGCCCACGACCTCAGATCTGCTTCCAGAAGGAGACGGGTCTGGACCCCAACAGCTGCTCCCTCTTCAGAGAGCAAGGACTAGACTGGAAGAGGCAGACAGACCCCTTTCCCAGCCCTGCCCTACAAGCTCGGGACTCAGGTCCATAGTGGGGTCCAATGGGGACCAAGAATGCAGCTAGACCCCAGGAGACAGGGTGTGTGGTGGGGCTCCCTTCCTCCATACCTGCTGTAGGACACTAGGAAGGCCATGGTGAGGAGGCCCAGGGAGAGCACATGCCTCCACAGCAAGTCCAGGAACCTGGCGTTGTTTGTTTGGTGCATTCTGGGAAAACAGGCCTGTCAGATGGCCTCAGCCCACAGCCTGGAGCCCAGGCCTCCCGACAGCCCCTGGTCCCACCCAAATGTTCCCTGGGCACCCTCTGCCTTGGCTGAAGGCCAGGTAGAGGCCAAGCCTCAAGGCATGTCCAAAAGGCTAGCAGTGAGTGTTGGGCAGAGCCTGGCCTGGGCCAGGTCAAGGCCACCCAAGCTGGGGCAGAAGCTCACCTTAAATACAGGAAAAGGAAGGAATAGACGGAGAAGAACCACATAAACTGGGAATGGCTGGAAGGCATCCCGTATTTGGTGCCCACTACCGTGTGGGGGCCTGAGAGAGAGAACAAGGCATTACGGGGGGATGCAGGCTTCCCAACTCCCTCCCAGACCCCCATGGCCCAGGCCCTACCTCCACAGGGCCGTGGCTCCTGGATGACGTGTTTGATCAGCCAGTTGACCCCCTCGTTCAGTGCCAGGCCCCCGAGGAATGAGATCTGCCAGGAAGGTGTGTCGACTGGGCCTCTGAGTGCCCACTGACCACTGCCCTGCCCCAAAGACTGTGGCCTCTGCCTGGGCCTCCCAGCCCAACTAATGGACAGCCTAGAACCAACCAGCCAGGAGGCTCCATACACCTCAGAAAGGTGGAGGCGCGGACGGAAAGGCCAAGCCCTGGGATGGGGTGGCGAGGGTCCTCTTCTCCGAGATGGGGGCACTAGGGCAAGGTGTGGGGGGGTGGCGCAGACAGACTCACCGTGTGCAGCTCCCGCTTAAATATGATGAGGGTCACAAAACCGACAATGATAAATATGGGGCTGAGGCTCAGGTAGGCAAGGAGGCGGCCTGAAAGATCACCTAGACAAGACAGGGAGAACAGCATGGGCACAGGGCATGGCCAGCACAAGGGGGTGAACCCCCAGCAAGGTGCCTGCACGGTCCCCATTCTACAGCTGAAGAAACTGAGTCCCACAGGGGTTTTTGTGACTTACCAAAATCATAGCCAGAAAAAAGTGGGATCTAGACTAAAATCCAAGTGTCTGGCCTGGCCCAGGTACTATACACAACATCCCACAAAAGTAGGAATTTGAACCTGGCTTGGTCTGACCCCAGAGGTCAGGCTGTGTGCCAGGAGGTGGATCAGCGGGCACATGGGCGCCTCTGGAACACAGTGCTATGCTGAGGCTGTCCCAGCTGAGCCCGGGGCGGCCAGGGGAACCTGGTGTTCTCTGGACACACACAGACTTGGGTCTACACTGCAGACTGCAACAGGGGCCAAGGGCAGAGGTGGGGGAGGAGGCCGCACTGCCCAGTGTGCCTGCCCCTAACAGAAACTGCATCTCACTGCTTCTCTGCTGGCAAGAAATTGGCTACCTATTGACTACCTGTTTTTCCCTCCTAATAGGCCTAGGGGGAGGCAGCATGAGGACCACCAGCCCTTTTGAGGGATGAGGACACCGAAGCCAAGAGACAAGAGTCACTTTCCCCCTTGCTCAAGGGCAGGGCTGATGTCAAGTCCAAAGGCCACCCTCCCTGTTCAAGACAGGGCAGCTGCATGGCCATTCTGGGGTCAGAGGGCATGGTTCCATTCCTGTGCAAGCACTTGCTGGCTGCATGACCTCAGGCGAGGCCTTTGCCTTCCAGAGGCCCAGCTCGGTCACCTATGAAACGGGGATATTAGCGCCCACCTCCTACAGGTGTGGGCACTTTGCTGTGACAGAGCCTGGGAGGAGCCCAGCTTGGTTCCTGGCACCCACGACACTTCCATGTCGGGAGAACCCAGTGTGAGAAATGGCCCCCACCACCAGCCTGGCCTCACGAAGGCAGGAGGTGCCCACACAGGGCTGAGCCCAGACTCCAGGCTGAAGTGAAGGGCACACGCTGGGTCTCACCCACACCGTCCAGGGTGGAGCTGGCTTGCAACTGGCCTGGGAGAATGGACCAGCAACCACGGCTCATGTGCGGGTGCCGCCACAGGCCCGCTGGTGACTCTGGATGGGGCCCTTCCTTTTCCTGGGCCTCTGTCTCCTCAGCCACATGATGACCCTTCCAGCCCTGAGATTCTGGGTCTCTCAGCTGCCCAGCTGATGTCCAAAGCACTGGGTTGTGAGAACAGGGAGTAGCTGGTGCCCCCAAGCCTTTGGCCATCTCCATGGCCGACACTACCCTTGAGCCTCCCTGCAGAAGCTGTTAGCAACTCTGGCCTCACCACTCCCTGGTCGAAGTCCTCCATGGCTCCCTCTGCCCTTGGGATAAGTCCCACCTCAGCCCAACTCAGGCCTTGCACGGTCCTGGCCCTGCTTCCCCCCTACCTTCTGCCCTAGTTCTAATTCCCAGGATGCACTATGCTCTGTTCTACTTCTGGACCTTTGCACACACAGTTTTCTCCACCTGGGATGCTGCCTGGTTTAATTCAATATAATTAAATACCCACCACAACAGCAAAAAATACATGTTTCTGTCACTGTGAAGCTCTTAGTCTGGTTGGGGAATCTGTAACTGGGGCATCGCTTATGATACTCCCGTTTGCGTGGATTATCAGGCCAGTGTCTGTCTCTCCCTCCACAAGAACAGGGACAGGGTCTCTAAACCCCACTGAGTCCCCCAAGCCCGGCACTGTACCTGGCACTTAACTGGGCTCAAAAACGGTATTAAATGGAGGATGGATGAAGGATCAGTGATAACAGCACAAAGGGGAATTGCAGGGGGCCACAGAGAGTTACAGAGACAGGGAACTAGACCTCAAGGATGCCCCAGGCTTAGCCAGGTCCCCCCACCCAGGCACTCATGGTCCCTACAAAGGGGCCCTCATCACAGCCTGCTCACTACCAGGTTCCTTCTTCTCTTCTGATCACCAGAGAAGCTACTCCAAAGCCAGGGGAGGGAAATCACGAAGGTGCTGGGGCCTAAAGCAAGTCCCTTCCCCTCTCTAAGCCTCAGTTTCCCTCCTGTAAAGTGGGAGTTCTTCAGGGACATATTGGCCTGATCAACACTTTAAATGCAAGCCAGCCCAGGACCTAGCATTCAGGAGGCGCTCACTGGATACTGGTTGAATGAATGGTGGGCAGGCGGGCAGGCAGGCAGGACCCAGCACCTGCCAGGGCCACCCCACACCCAGAACCCAGAACACCTAGGGTCAAAGTTCCCTGGCACCCAGCCCTGGGGCCCTCAGCAGGGCCAGGTCTTCACATCTCTGCCCATGAGAACAGCATGAGCAAGCCCTTCCCAGGGCAACCAGGGCTCAGTGAGGGGGCCCCAGCCTCACCAGACACCCAACCATCTACCCAGGAAGGGTGGGTTGGGCTTGAGAGACTCCTGGAAAAGTCGGGTAGTATTAACTGTAGTTACTGAATGCTTACACGTACCAGGCACTGCATGCAGCATTTCCCACACCTCCTGTTATTTGATTCTCACACCATCACTAGAAGGGAGTCACCGTGATTAGTCCCACTTTAGAGATGAAGTAACTGAGGCACAGAGAGGTGAAGTCACTTGCATCTGTACAAAGTCTCAGCCTGAACTAGAGCCCAGATACTTCCGATCCCAAGACCCAAACTCTGCATCACTCTAACAGACTACATCTAGAATGGTCGCTGAAGGACCGTCCAGCTGGAAAACCCTGCGCTTCCAGAGATGCGTCTAATGCGAAGCTCCAGTCAGAAGTCAAGATCCCAGGGGCTGCGTGCCCCCTCACCGGGTCTCCTCTGCCGCGGAGCCGGGCCCTGCTCAGGGAGTGGCACCATGAGTAGCCGCCTGGCCTCGGTTTGCACACTCCCAGTAATGGGAAGATCTTTCTTACAGGCAACCCGAAAACACTGTTGGAAGGAAAGGCACTCCCTACACGCCGGGGAGGTAGTCTGGCCTCTGGGGAGTCTCTGGGGAGGGCGGGGCAGAAGAGCCCGGGTCCGGGCCAGTGATCCTTTCCCGACTCACACAGACCCCCAACCCATTAGAGCCCACCCACGACCTGGGACGCCCGGGAAGCGGCCCGCAGCTTAGCTGCAGGGTGCGCGAGCGAGCCGCTAGCAATTTCGCCCAGCTCATCGCCGCACCACTGCGCCTGCGCGGCGCGCGCGCCAGCCGAGCCCCTCCATGGTTCACTATTTGACAGTTCCCACCCCGGTCCCCCGGCGCGCTCTCCGCAGGTCCGCGCGGGCCGGAGCACCCGGGGCTGACCAGTCGGCCCCTGGAAGGCGTCCTCGGAGCCGGGGCCTCCATTTACCTGCAGGATACTCGACGTGGGTGAGGGTTACCGGCCGCCATGAAGCGGGGAGCGAGCACTGCCCGTCCGCTGCCATCTTACCCGGAGACCGGGCTTCACGGAGCAACCAATGGAGAGCCAGGGGGGCGGTGGCCCTGGCCTATCAGGCCGGGGAGGCGCCGCGCACCCAATCGGAGGCCGATACAGGTATCGGCGCAGCCATTTAGCGTGCAGGCCGTGGGCTGGCCCGACCGGCGAATCAGAGAGCAGGGCCCCTCGGAGCATGTGAGCCGGCCTAGCCGGCGCCTAATCCGAGGCGAGCGCAGGTAGGTGACTGGCCAATCAGGGAAGAGGAGGGTTCCCGCACACAACGGAGAGCAGAACAGCCAATCATAAGGTGAGACTGGCTCACAGTTTGTGCAGGGCGGGCCAATCGGGCACTAGCTTGGGGGGCGTGTAGAACTTCGGTGGGAGCTTTGGTTTGTCTGGGACCAGCGCCGAGTGGAGCCTTCCCGGGTACCCCAAGCTCGCGCGGGGTAGGTGAGACCTGGGCGCCCTTCAGAGCGCGTGCTCGAAGCGGGGAACTAACCTCGGCGCGAGGGGTCCCACCCACCTTTAGTTATGAGCAAACTGAGGCCAAAGACCCAGAGGGCACTAACTTATCTCTCCCCGTTACTGGCCAGCAACAGGGCAAGTCACACAAAGCTGACTTTTCTGTTAAAAGTATGCGGAGTGGAGGAGGGAACTCACAGGGCCGGGCGCACAGTCTGCGCCTTAAGAGCTTTAGAGAATGGAAACTCAATTGAAGAACGATTCCTTCCTTTTTTCGTTCAATTTAAACAAGAAGCCGGCTTTCCACCTACACCTGTTTCCCCAAAACATTCCTCACAGGGGCCTGCAAGGCCCTGCGCAAAAAGCCACACCTTCCCACCCACCTCTCCCTCTCGTACTGTCTCTCTGGTTAGGTAGAATTACTCAGTGCAGGTGAAGTGCCCGGCGCCTCTTGGTTCCTAGCCTTTACACGCTCTGTCCCACTGCCTGGGATGCATCGCCTCTCCTGCCCCACTTTGCCTGGCTGTCTGACTCAGAGTCTGTTTTCATTTAGAGGTTTCCACGGACAGGAGAGGGGCCTCCACTGGACTTCCAGAGTTGCACCCCTCTCCTACCTCAGCATTGACCACACTGGACTATAATTGGTTCCTGTCTGTCTCTCCCTGTAAGCAGTGATTCTCTGACTTCATACAGTACCAAGGTCAGTGTATAGAAAATGCAGACTCCTGGGTCCCACTGGGGCCTGGGTTGATATCTAGGTTAGAGCCTTGGAGTCTGCAGTCTTAGGTGCTCTAAGTGGGGCCGCCACACCTGGAGAAGCCTGGGCAACATGAAGACAGGACCTGTTATGTGTTTGAGCCTGGCCCAGGCCAGTGCTAGAACAAGCTCCTGATAAATAAGTGCCCTCAAGAAATGAAGAAAAAGAGAACATTCCATCGACCAGAGTAGCTCGCTGCAAGCCTGCCAGCCAGCTTGAGCCAGAACCATGGGCTGGGCTGGGAGGTCTGGGGGGATGGTTGTGACTCAGGACCCACCAGACCAGCAGGGTCCCTAGGCCCTCCCTTAACTGTGTTCAGCTCCTTACCCCCACTACCCACCCAGCCTGAGCTTGTCTGGGTCAGCTCGCCCTATTTCTCTGTCACCTGCCCCCAGCTACCCCAGGCACTGCCATAATGAGCCTCTGAGAAGCAGGAGGTGTGAGGACCGAATCGTGAATTTCCCAGAATAGTTCCCTGAGATGGGGCAACCAACCTGAGTCTGGCCACATTGTCCCTCACCAGTTAGCAGCCATTCCACTGATGAGCAAATAGGCCGACAGAGGCAGCTGTGAAATCCTAGTCCTCTCACCTGAGGAAGAGGGTCCTGAAAGTGACAGGGATGAAGGAACTATAAAATGAGGGGCTTATCTAGGGTGGGGGTTTCCTGGCAGAGGGAACAGCATAAGCAAGTGTCCTGAGGCAGGAGTGTGGCTGGCTGAAAGGGGTAAGGTGCTGGCGGGTGGGGTCAGCCAGGGCCTGGCGGGGGTGGGGTCAGCCAGGGCCTGGCCACCCAAAACCCTGAAGGCCAACCTTGGTAGCAAGGACAGAGGGGAGCTTTGAAGAATGGGATGGTTGGTTTGATTCTGCTTTTTAAAAAAAATTAAATATAACATTCATCCAGGAAGTTCCAGAAATCAAATGCATACAGCTTGATAAAATGTTACACACAAAGCACCTGTGTAAGCAGCCCCTGGGTAGAAAGTCAGGGCCCCAGGAGCCCCTGATAGTCCATCCAACCACCTCAGGGTGACCACCATACCAATTCTAACACCATACATTAGTTTGGTCTGATTTCTGTACTTGCTGTAATCCTACCGGATGTACTTCTTACTGTGGCTTCTTTCACTAGCATTGGGTTTGCGGGATTTATCTGTGCAAATTTTTTCTGGTGTGATTGTGGTATTGTGGCTACACCAGAGAACTACCTTAAAGATCTGCTTGTTCAAGTGCTCAGGGGTGAAGTACGTGTCTGAAACTTACTCTAAAATATTTTAGGAGAGATATTCATGAAATAAGTACGGGCAAGATGTTAATTACTGCCTTAAGGTGTTGGTTTTATGGGTGTTCTTTATGTGGTTTTCCTTTTACCTTTTCTGTACATTTAAAATATTCAGTCCGGTTTTTTTTTTTAATACCTTCCAAATAAACCCTCAATGTCCAACTGGCTGTGAAAACACATGAAGATCTGGCGGGTTCTGATCTGCTCCATTCCTGCTTGTCCCAGCCCCTCAAGCTGGCTCTCCCTGGCTCAGACACTTAACAGTGAACAAGTCTGAGGACCACAGCCAGAGTCTGCACCCCCAGCTGGATCCAGTGCCCGTATCTTACAGATGTGGACACTGAGGCCCAAAGATAAGAACCTAGATGCTACCTGAGCTGGATCTGTACCCAACCTGCCCACTCACATCTGTGCCCTTAAGTACTGCACTCGCACCCCCCACCCATTCACCTTCCTTGGGGTGGGGTGGGGTGGGGTGATGCCTGCGGATACATGGATCTTGCCAGGCTGCCAAGTGGTCCCAAGTGGGCTCACAAGCCACACCAGGCTTCCCTGGTCCTTCTCCCTCCTGGAACTGCCACCAGCCGCCCTCCAGAGTGGGTCTCCAGCTCTGGCCCAGGAAGCAAACAGCCATGTGTGTACCCAGCAGCACGACTATGTGAAGGAAATCATTTTAAATCATTTATTCGATGTGAAGTCGACGCACACACGCTCTACCATACAAAAGTTGGAAGCTGCAACAAACCGAGAGCCAGAGGCAGCGACGGACGCGTGAACAAAGACAAAATGAAAGCGCCACGTGTGTGATTCGGGAGCAGTAAGAGCGGGCCGAGGCCCAGGCCTGAGATTACATTCACAGCCCAGGGTAAGTGCGAATGAACGGAATGTCAGGATGGAGGAGTCCTTCCCTTCCAGGAGGCTGTTCCCTCCTGCTCACCAGCCTCAGAGAGGTGGCTTTGGAGCCAGAACCATGGTTAGCGCACAGAGTCCTCCCGTTCGGGTCGTGGAAGGGAGCAGGCGGGAGGGGAGAGGCTCAGAGACCAGGAGCCTCGCCCAGCATCGCCCCTCCCCCCCCCCCCCCCCCCCCCCCCCCCCCCCCCCCCCCCCCCCACACCACCCGCAGCCCTTCACCACCAGGGGAGAGGGCCCCGTCTGAGGAGCCTGACCTCCAGCTCCGGAGCACAGAGACGCAATAGCGGTCTGTTTCTCACATAGGTCTCTCCACCTAGAAAGGGGCAGGACCTCAAAATAAAATCTTAAGGCAATAAATAAAACATCCGCCTCAGGTGCAAACACTGTAGGAGAAGTGCGTCTGCAGAGCTGACAGGTGCCCTGCCACAGGGGCTGTGTCTGCACGGGCTCTGTACCGCTGCACAGCTTGAGAGCATTTGTGCGTCAAGTTGAAGGCAAGTGCTGGGCAAAGTTTCTTATCCTAATGAGGGCTGGGGATCTGGTCCAGCCACGCACAGCCTCTGACCTCTCCCGACCTGGTCCCTGGACGCCCATACTCCTGCAGCCGCCACTGATGGCAGCACGGGGTGGGTGAGGCGACCCTGTCAGCGCCTCTGGCCCAGTGCCTAGCACCACGCCGGGAGGTCCAGGCTCATGGGGGAGGAGGGCAGGACGATCCACACCTCCTCCGTCTTTGGTGATGGCCAAGGTGGGAAGAGAAAAGACGATCTTTGGCAGGGTGAGGGACTGCCAGAGGACAGAGTCCTATTTTAGCGCTTGGGTTTGATTTGGGCCCAGCACCTGCCCAGTCATGAGCACAAAGCAAGCAGACCCACTCTGTCCCACTCCAGCTGGCCTAGGCATGCTGCCCACCAAGGTGCCCCCGAGCCACAGTCTGTGGCCCCCACCCTCCCTCTCTGGAGTCGCAAACTCTCTAGGGTGGTGGCAGGGGCCAGACGCCTGGATTCTGAGACTGTGCACCCAAGTTTCTCCTAGCACAGAGCCCTGCCTCCCCGTCTTTCACTTCCACGCTCCCAGGGCCACATGCCAGCAGCCCTGGGTTGGTGGGAGGTTCAGGCGTCCCACACCCAGGGCATCCAGCTCTGCCTGTCTCAACTCTCCTCACAGCGCCTTCCCCTCCCACAGGCCCACAGGCCACTGGGCCACCTCTGTGCCCCAGGCACAGCCGAGGGCAGTCAGGCAGCCCAGGCACTTCATCCCTCTCCAAGGAAATTTGCGCCCCAGGCATCAGGAATTCCCAGATTATGGGGAGGGCAACGTCAGGGACAAGTGCCCAGCTGACAGCCACAGCCACCCGGGCCCTTCAATGCCAATCCAAAGGAGGGGAGAGGCGGCCTTCTCGCTACCACCCCCACGTGTGTGAAGCCCAGGCAGCCACCTCTCCCAAGCCTGCACCCACCACTACTGCAGCCCCTCTGGGGGCCCATTCTCGTGGGGCAGCACCCCATTCAGGCCAATGTTGCAGGCCACCGGTGCCCCCAGGAAGCCAAGCAGGATCTCGCTGCGGCGCCGGGACAGCTGCAGGATGTCATCTGCCAGTGCTGGCACTGACGTGTAGCGCACATTGTCCAGGTGGAACATGTCCCTCAGGTACTGCACGATCTGGTGCTGGGGTACAGGGCTGGCATTGGGCCCAGGCCAAGGACCCTGCCCCCACACGGACACCCTCCTTGACTACTGGAGCCCCATCCTCAGGCCCCTACCCTCCCAGGCTCCCTGCAGACCCGCGTGGGCAGGCTCCCGGTGGGAAGGTAGCACAGCACGGCCCTCTCCCAGGGTGCAGGCCAGGCCCTCACTTCACTCCTGGCTCCTCCCAGGGCTCCCATCCCAGGGGCCAGGGCAGGGCCCAGGTGGGCCGCAGACACCACCCTCCCTGTTTACCTTGAAGAAAGCACAGACTTCAGCAAGCTGGGGCTTGGGGCCGAGGAAGCCAAAGGCTAGGACGGGGCTTACGTGCTCCGATACGGAGTAGAAATGGGAGATGAAGCCATCGGGCACCTGTGGAGGGTGGCCAGGCTGAGCGCTAGGGCCTGACAGGGGAAGGTGGCCTGGCCCTGGGGCCACATTAAGAGCTGGGCTCTGAAGGGAGGCTGGTTCATTCACGTCCTTGTTGGGTGACCCTGTGCAAGTGACTGGGGCTTTTGCAGCCCTGTTTTGACCTCTGCAGAATGGGGGTAATCTTGGAGCTGCTGTGTGGACTACATGAGGAGTTGGGGGGCAGGAGGCCTCAGCATAGGAAATGCCTAGAGCGTCCGGCAGTGGCAGCTCTCAGATAGGCTGCAGAGCCTGGCTGGCAGAGGGGAATGATGGATCACAGTCCAGATAATGCAGCCTGTGGCTGCCTGGAGTGCAGATAACCGGCGGCCCAGCGGGTGTGAGGCAGCCTGCTCCGCCTGCTCCCTGGGGCATCCTGCCCAACCCACCAGGGCCCCTGGCAGTGGGTGGGGGCAGGGGGCGGTGTAGGGGGTTGTGGGGGGCAGCTGTCACTCACCATCAGCAGTCTCCTCTTGGCTTTCAAGACTGACCAGCAGGCAGTGGCCAGGGCCTAAACCAAAGGTGGGACCCCACTCAGGTTTCAGAATAACAGACTGAACCTTCAGCCTCCACCCATCTCCCTGCTTGGGACCAAGCCCTCACCCCAGCTCCCCTCATCCCAAGCAGGAAGATGGGGCTTCGTGCCTGAGCTCTGCTGTCTCCCTCCCCTCAATTCGGGAAGGGAAATTACCTCAGTCTGAATCTTGATGCTAAGCCTTACTGCTGTGAGTCCCTGGACTAGCCACTGAAATTCTCTGGGCCTCAGTTTCCTCCTCTGTAAAATGGCCATGAGCCATCACCCCCACCTCATTCAGTGGCTGTGGGGATCCATGGTTACTGCCTGTAAAAGACCAGCCCATCTCTCTCCAACTGTCCCCATGCCACACAGCATGGCTGTCTGAGTGGCACACCTGCCCCATGGGGCCTGTGCTCAACTCTCTCCTACTGCTTTTTTTAGTTCCCATTATTTTAATTTGATTTAATAGGATGCATCACAAGTGGACAGAATTAGTGCCAGCACAGAATGGATAAAATTAACTAAGTGAAAGCTCAAAAGAGGGAAACGCACACCATGCTGGCTCTGAACGGGAGCACAGCAGAGCAGCAGGACCCCAGGGAAGCCTCCCCAGAGCAGGTGCCTGGTCTGCGCAGGCCCCGCAGCCCCAGATCACAGAAGGGAGGGGAAAGGACACAGAACAGCGCAGGTATGGATGCTATTTATAAAGAATCATGGGAAGGGAGTACCGGACAGAGGGGTGACAGCTGTCAGATGGGTGGGGAGCCTAGCCTTGGTGCCGAAAGCCAGGGATGGAAGGAAGTGGGGTCTCCCAGCACGTGGGGTCACGGAATGTGTGCCGGAAGCAGGGTGGCAGCCACCCACCGTCTCCTTGAAGCTGTCTGACAGCCAGCGGTTCCTCAGGACAGCAAGCACCGAGGACGGGGGGTTCTCCAGGTCCTCGAAGGCGTCCATGAGGATGAAGTCCAGCACGATGTCGAAGAAGCTCATGCACACCACCTACAGGGAGTGGGCTGTCTGAGCGTGTGGCCACTGTGCAAACAGAAAGCCCGAGGCCAGAGGGCAGAGGCGTGTGGGAGCCTAGGTGGGAACACATGTCTGTACAGCCAGGGCTGTCTCCCCCACATGCCTGTCTGGGCCAGGGCAGGAACTCAGGGCATGCAGCAGGGGTGGAGGCATCTCACACCCTCAGAATCAAGGCAGAGCTCGCCACAGGTACCCCCTCCATGTTCCAGAATCTCAGGTGTGAGGAACCCCAGAACACTGGGGCTCAGCACACACCCACTCACCCCACGGCCCTCCAGCTCCAACCGTGTGATGGCCCAGGTCTCAGGCCGCAAGGCGTAGCTCAGCATCTCCTCGTAGCTCTCCAGGAAGCCTTTGGGGCTCTGGGAAAAAGCACAGCCTATTCTGGCCATGGGCGAGGCCCCAGGACCCAGCTGGACTAGGCCCACAGATCAGGCTGGCCTGTGGATGGGGGACACACCAAGAGCAGGGCCACGGCCTATCCCTGAGCAGCAGCCACAGAGCAAATAAGGTAAGAAGCGCCCCCTGCCCACCTCAGTGTGCTTCTGCAGAGACCAGGGCACGTCCAGGAGACAACCAACACTGGGGTGTCCTGCAATGTCTTGGACCCTCTCGTTACTGAGCACCGACTGCCTTCCGGGAGATGCACACGCGCTACAGCTTGAGCTCATTTTGGAAGGATGTGTGTGAACAGGAGGTTGAGTTAGGCAGCCAAAGATTCGAATCTCTATGACCTTGGACCTCACTGGTGAAATGGGAGAAGCTACAGCCACATACTCACAGGGCCATTCTTGCGGGCGGGGGGCTGTCGAGAAGTTTATGCATGTAATACAATCAGCCCACGGGCCAGACCTCCACAATAAATAGTGTATAAAGTGGCTGCTGCTAGTACTGAGACCATCAGCACACAAGACAAAATCCTCACTCTCTGGGACTGTGTGGTGCTTAAACACAACATGCAGATGTGGGTGTGCATTTACGGACGTAGAAAGCTGGCACATGCCAGGGGTTATCCTAACATGGAACCACTCATTTAATTCGTAGGGTCCTATAAGGGACATCCCAGTACTATGCCCGCTTTACAGATAGGAATATAGAGGCTTTGGGAGATCAATGATATGCCCAAGATCTGGGCAGTGTGGAGAGGACACAGAGCGGCACAGGCACTGATGCTGTTTATAAAGAATCATGGGAAGGGGACGCCAGACAGATGTTCACCAGAACATGAACAGAGTAGGGTTGAGGACAATTTGTCTTTCTTCATTTTGCTTTTTGTATTGTCTTAGTTTTTTCTACAATAAGCATGAGTCATTTTTACAATATGAAAATTTTTTTCAAAACCTATTTCCGTTAAGTTTTAAAGAGAATTTGCTAGAATGACCTTGGACTCCGCCTTAACTTCCCGAGCCTCAGTATCCTCACATGTAAGGGCTGATGATGATGATGAATGTCAGGCTGGCCCTTGCCGCCCTGTTTGTGGCCACTGAGCATGTCTGACGCCATGTCACAATGCCCGGTATGTGGCCACTTACACACAAGGAGCCGAGGCTTGGAGAAGTTTCCTGTCTGGCCGTGAACATAATTCAGAGCCCCCACAACCTCCCAGACAGGCGCCTGCCCCAGCCCCGCCTCCTGACGGACCTGCCAGGCATGCACCCGTTCCCGCTCTGGTCCCAGGGCCCAGAGAAGGCTCTGCGCTTAGGAGCTGCTACACAGCCATTTGGGCTTTTTCTTAATGAGAATGAAACCTAAGTCCTGCGCTGCGGGCAGCGGGTGGCTGGAGAGAGGAAGGCTGCGCTTCTGGCCACAGACAGCGGGCTGCCTGCTAAGTTCCTAGCACCACTTTAGCCTCCCCTGTGCTTCCTTCGCTTGTCATTCATTCACCCTCCCAGGGAGGCCACAGAGAACAAGGTAAGGGCACAGCTGGGGTGAGGTCAACCTGGATTCAGATCCCACCTGTCCCTTTTCTTTACTTTATGAACCGGGCAGAGCCCTTTACTTCCCCAGGCTGTTTCCTTATCACCAAGTGGAGACCACAGTTAGGATAAAATGAGCTACTAGAGGTAAAGGTATGCGAGTAAAGGACAGGCTGTTGCTTGGCAAATAGCAGCTGCTGGGGATGTAAGTATCCACACTCATGGAGCAGCTGCCCATGCCAGCCCCAGGCTGGGCACAGCCCCATGCCAGAAGAGCTATGGCTCTGGCCCCCCGGGAGCTCACTGAGTAACGAGAAGGATAGGGCACCCATTAGCAAGATGTGGGGTAATGGGGCCACACTGGGCGGGGCGAGCCCAAGGGGGATGAGTGAGACCAAGTGAGGTGCGGAGACAGGGACCTGGGACTCCCAGATACTGGCATATGGTCCACTTCGTAACCTGGGTGCTGGGTACAGAGGGGTTCATCTTTTCATTCATTAGATCCTATAAATACATTTTTGTATGCATATTTTACAATAAAGCAGTTAACAACAAAAAGGAATTGAGGAACAGTATTTGAGGTCTGGTGGGACTAACCTACGCAAAGGCCCAGGTCAGGAAGAGAGCGTGGTGGGCACGAGGAGCCCTTCTGTCTGGAGAGGGCAAAGTGTGCACAGGGTGGGCTGTGGAATGGAGCCTGGTCTTCACACCAAGGGCAGAGGGAGTGCGGGAGGGCTTGAAGCAGTCGAGTGAAGAGGTCAGAGGTGCATTTCAGAACACTTACTCCAAAATGTGAGGAGAAAGGACTCAGAGGGGAGAGGCGTGTTCCAGAGCTTTGTCCAAACCCATTAAAGAAGCACAACTGGCCAATAAACGTGAAAATTTACACAACCTCATTGATAATGAAGGAAACATAAAGCAAGGACCAAAAGAAAGATTACAAAGATTACTGACGTCCAATATCGGCCAAGGTGTAAGGACGTGCACGCATACTGGTGGCGGGGACTTGAGACAAGGGGTTTCAGAGGGCCAGCTGGCAATATCTGCTGGCCTTTTAGATGTCTGTGCCCAAGATGCGGTATTGCCATGTCTGGGTTTTGCCCCATAGAAAACCTCACAGGTACCTACAGAGATCTGTAACAGCCCGGTTATCATCGTGGTATCTATTCGAGCGGACATTCACACACAACCCAAACGTCCATCCATAGAAGGATGGGCTAAACCACAGTCAGTCCACCCAAGCGTCACCTCCGACACAGGAAGATGGGTAAGATACACTCTTACACAACAAACTGATGTATAAACCAAGCTTTGGAAACTAAAGAACAGTGTTCAAGGTTTAGAAACTATGAAACTGCAGTAGGAACGCATGTATCAGACCACAGCCGGCGGCCCCTTCAGGCCGGTGGGGCTCAGGGAGACCTTCCACAGTCTACATTTCTTTACTCTGTACAAATAAAAAGCTGATCATATTTTTCAAAATTAGCACAGGAAACAACCCCAACCCTTTCCCAGCTCCTCCACAGCCTACGTATAGGATGAAGTCAAAGCCCTCCAAGCTGATTTCAGATTGGGCCTTTAAAACGTTTTACAGAACCAAATAAAGTTTTAAAAGAATGAAAAAGACTAAGGGGGAAGAAAACCTGAAAGAAGAGCTCCCAGCCCCAGCTACCTTCTCAGCCTTAGTCATCAGGCCTGTCACCATCTGCCGGCCCACCTCCCCGAAGAAAAGTTGGTTACTCTTGTCTTCCAGAAGGCCCTAAGGAATGGAGGAGGGAGGGGGTGGGGAGTGAGCCGCGGGGCTGGCAGCTGCCCCCACTGCGCAGGGCAGCCAGGTGCAAGCAGCCGGGTCGGAGGCCTGCCTGATGCCCCCCATCCCCGGCTCCACCCTCCCCAGGTACCCCAGGGCACACCCACCTCGAAGGCCTGCCGCACACAGTGCAGCTTGGCCAGGAAGTCCTGGTCATTGTAGCAACCCAGCAGCTCTGTCCTAGGGGGAAGCACAGGCCGTCACACTGCTGGGCCCCACCCAGCAATGCCCCCAAGGAGGTCAGGGGAGAGCTCTGAGTGGCCCTGCCTCGCCCTAACAGCGCAACTTCAGGCAGGCACCTGCGCCCCCAAGGCTTCAGTCTCCCCACAACCAAAGGAAGAGGCTAGCCAGATGTTCTCTGAGGATGTGTTGACCTTAGTGGCCCACCTGGACACAGATGGCAGGTGAGGTCACTGGGGGCTGGGCTGACCTCAGCCTCCTTTAGGCCCAACCAGTGAAGGACCCTCACTGGAAAAAGACCAAACTGACATAATACCAGGGCAGCAGGCTGCTACCCACTCTGGGCTGGCATTTGTGGAGCAGCTGGACACACCCTCATCTAGCTACCATTGTCCAAATCGCCAAAGGTTCAAACATTTTCAGCCAGTGAACTTGAAACACACATACTTAAACTTGGAGTCATGACTAAAAGCCAAGTTCTAAGTTCCCTATCTATCATACAACAAGGTTAATTTAAAATGAAGAAGAGACATCCACAGATGAGAAAACTGAGGCTAAGACAAGTCAAGCAACATGTCCAGGGCCACATGCTACGAAGTGGCAGGACCTGGAGAGACCCTGGGTCTGTCCCCAAAGCCTGGCTTCCGGACCCCTGTGAGAGAGACCGTATGAGGACATGGGGTTTAGGACAGCGCTCCCCGTGGTTCAGTGCTTAGACCCCTCAGAGAACTCAAGGCATGAATGATTATTTGGTTAATTGATCACATCAATTTGTTCTTGTTAGTTCCTGCCCAGTCTCGGTACCTGGGCCACCCCAGGCCTTCGGCGGCCAGCTCACCATGCCCTCAGCCAGCCCGGCCCAGCTGAGTCCTCACCACACACTGCCCAGCCCCCGTCCCTACTCACTTACCTGAGGGTCCGGCAGGCCACCCTCCCCTCCTTCACCAGCCGCAGGGCCTCCTCGTAGGCAGCGGCAGGCCTGGAAAGTGGGAGTGGGTAATCTCCGATATGCAGGGACTCAAAGAGCTAAGGGAGGGCGTGGAGAAGAGGAAGGTCATGTCAAAGCCTGTGTCAGCAGCATCCCAAGGGGTGAGGGCACCGCCCAGGAGCCACCCTAGGGGCCATGGGGGTATCAGGGGGAAACATGGCCCAAGAGGCAGGAGGCCTGAGTCCAAGTCCAGCTCTAGCCCTCAGCCTTTCCCATCTCCAGAGGGCCCCGCAACGGGACCATCTACTGGACACTCGCCCACAGCCCTCCACTGCAGGCCAGGTCATCAGGCCAGACAGGTGGCTGTGGAAGGGAACTAATGCCAAGGAACAGGCATGTGGCCTGGAGAAGGGAGAGATCACGGTGAGCTGAGGCCAGCGGGGATGGGGGCCCTGCCCTCACCCACAAGACCTATGGCCCCTGGGTCCTCGGGCCCCATCCCTAGCAACCGCATGGGGCCCCTGGGGGAAAGCCCTTGGTGACTGCCAGATTCTGGTTCTGTGGGAGGAAATGCCTTCACTTTCCCACGATCCAGTGCTCAACCCCAGGGTCCCACAGGGGCCTGGCCTCCACCCCACCCCTCCCTCTGCATCTGTCCATCCCACCCCACGTCACCTCGGTGGCGGAGAAGAAGGAATCCTCTGAGGTCAGGCTGTCCTCATCGTCCGCCCGCAGGTGCAGCGAGCTCTCGGCCAGGGGCAGCATGAGGGTCCGCTCTGGCAGAGCGGGAAGAGAAGGGCTGAGCTCAGGTCCCCGAGATCACCAGGCTCTGTGGAATGCTCACAGGCAAGGCCCGCCAGCACCCGATTCTGGGGTGGACAACACTCATCATCACAAAGCTCCTATTCCCTGAGCACTTGTATGCGAAGACTCCATGGTCACGGCCTCAAATGAATGGCCTCCTCCAATCCTATGACATCCCTGGAGGTGGGCATGGTTAGGCAGGAAGCAAAGCTTCTGAGGGGACCTGCCCACGGCCACACCACTGGGCCCTGAGGCCTGGGGGCCGAGCTCCGCAGGGGCACACTCTAAGCAAGTTGCTTCCCCTCTCTGACAGGATGGACCTTAACCCCTGACAGCAAAGGGCTCGAGGGGGTCCCCGGGCTACCCACTTGGCATTCCTATCCCACACTGCTTAAGGGCTGAGGGGGTATGGACCTTCAAGGGCACTTAGGGAAAGGTTTGTCTAACATATAAGAAGAGCCCACAGCCCTGACTGCCCGCCCTACCAGCCTTCTCTGCCATGTGGGGGGCCCAAAGGAAGCAGAATTCTGCCGATAGGCAAAGCCACCCGGGAAGAGGCTGTGGGAAGATGTGTGCCCTGGCCAGCCCCCACTGGGCCTGTCACCACTGATGGTGCAGGGGGGCTGGACACTCAAGAGTCTCACCCCAGGACTGACAGCACACAGGGAGGGGCCCCAGGGGTCGTTCGTATTCACTGCCCACAGACTGGGGCACAGCAGGCACTAGGGGAACACTGGCTGTGGCTGACACACCTCATTCCCTCAGTGGAGTCGTGCCCCTTTACCTCAATGGGGCAGGCAAACAAGACTTGCCTTCTTGGTCCTTTGGCCCCTTTGGGCTCATCTCTGTGTGAGACAGAGATCTCACCTGTCCCTTCCACCTGCCCAGTACCCACAGGAGGGCTCAAACTAAAGGCCTGGAACAGCCATCAGGGGAGGTGCTGGCACACAAGCCCCAAGGCCTGTGGCCAAGGACTGGCCGGGGACTCCTGGCCCTCGGCCCAGCTCCATCCCTACCTGCCTCATGTAAGGGAACACCTCTGCCCCTCATTTTCCTCTCTGTGCAATTCGGTAATCATCACATGCCCTGGGGATTCTGGGGCGCCTGATGCCCGAAAGAAGCCACACCCAGGCTCTTCCACGCGCCGCCCCCGCCACAGCCCCTGCCCAGGCCCAGCTCACCGAGGTCCAGCAGCACGCTATCAGATGGGAAAGTGGACCCAAACTCCTCCTGCAGGTGGTAGGCCCGGTGCAGCAGGGACTCCAGCTTCTCTGCAAACTCCCTTCGCTGCGACTCGGGCTGTGGTTAAAGCAATGAGTGTGAATCCAGGCCCTCCACACTCCCTCAGCCAAGGGCCCCTTCCCTCACCAATGATGGGGTCCCAGCTCCTGGGGAAACGGGAACAGGCACGGGGGCCCGGGCAGCCGCGAGAGAACAGCTCCAAACCTGCCCTGCCCAGGAGAGGAGCCACCAGCCACATGTGGTGAGCAAGCATGTGAAGTGTGGCCAGTCCAAATAAAAAGGCTCTGTAAGTATACACAGCAGATTTCAAACACTTAGCACTAAAAAAAAACTCTGAGTATGTTAGTGATTTTTCATGTTGGTTACATGTTAAAATGCTAATATTTGGGATAAACTAGATTACATAGAATATATTATTAAAATTAACTTCCCTGTTCCCTTTTGCTTTTTAACATGGTCTCTAGGTGATTTTAAATGAGACATGTGACTTCTTACTGAACAGGGCTGCTCTGGACCCAAGCGGACCTGGGTTCAGACCTTGGCCCTTCTAGTTCCAAACCACCTAACTTCTGGTGAATAAATTCCTCAGTTGGAGCCTAGGGTTCCTTATGTGTCAACTATCACACCAAGGAGGAAGGGTAACCTACTGCCCAGGGTTGTGGGGAAAACATGAGTAAGGTATGCAAAGCACTTCCTATAAGACTGGGCCATGCTGACACCCAGGAAGTATTGGCAACTGTAATAATTACTGCACTTGTAATTAACAGAAAAATAAGAGGGCAGTTAGGAGCCCAGGAAGAGCTGGCTTCAAACTCCACTGCGGCTATTAACCACATGCACTTGGGAAAGCCCTGCACCCAGACACAGCAGCCCATGGCCTCACTGACCTCCTCAGAGCCCTTGGTCACCAGGTCTGGTGTGGGAAAAAGGGGCCACTGTTCCTCTGACCCCAGGAGCTTCTGGGCCTAGGGACTGGGCATGGGCAGGCCCGACTCTGTTTTCCACTAAGGCTGCCAGATCCTGCACCTGCATGTAACCAGACCCTGGCGATGAGACAAGGGCCAACTCAAGCCTAAGGCCACCGGGAAGCAAAGAGAAGGAAGAGCTCAGAGACGGATGATGAGGATGGAAATGGCTGCCTGTCACTGAGCACTCGCCCTGGACCAGGTACCTCACTCTTCAGACCCATGGCATCCGTGAAGCAGGTAATACTAGGACCACAGCTCACAGGGAAGACTCACAGAGGCTGAGTGGCCCCGCCACTCAGAAAGCACCTGGCAGAGTTGGGGGGACCCCAGACCCACTGGCCACTTTGCTCAGTTCTTTGATAGGGCCGGCCCCTGCTCAGGGTGGCCAGCAGAGCCTTGCAGCTTTGGCAGAGACCTGCTGGCTCTTTCTCTGTGAAGTCACTTTGGGTTGGAAAATGGTTTCTCAGATACGACACCAAAAGCACAAATGACCAAAGAAAAAAACAGATATATCGAACTTCATCAAATCAAAAATTTTTTGTACTTCAAAAGGCACCACCAAGAAAGTGAAAAGATGACCCACCCAATGGGAGAAAACCTCTGTCCATCCTATCTTTGAGAAGGGACTTCATCTAGAATAAATAAGGAACCCTCCAACTCAGTAATATAAAGACAAATAACCAAATTAAAAATAAAGCAAAGGATCTGAATAGACATTTCTCCAAAGAAGATGTACATATGACCAATAAGTACACAAAAAGCTTGGCATCATTAGTTACCAAGGAAATGCAAATCAAAACCACCACAAAATACTACTTCACAACCACTAGGGCAGCTAGAAGCACAAAGTCAGAAAGCAATACGTGTTGGCCAGGATGTGGAGAAACTGGAGCGCAGCTACACTGCTGGTGAGAATGCAAGACGGTGCAACTGCTCTGCAAACAGTTTGGCAGAGCCTTGAAATGTTACCATGGAGCGACCGCATGACCCAGAAAATCCGCTCCAAGTATATACCCATGAGAATGAAAACCCTACGTCCACACAAATACTTATACATGTATATTCACAGCAGCATTACTCACAAGAGCCAAAAAAGAAACAACCCAATGTCCACCAGCAGATGGATGGGTAAATAAAACGTGGTCTAGCCATACAATAGAGTATTATTCGGCAATAAATAGGAAGGAAGTCGTGGTCCACGTTCCAACAAGGATAAACCTTGAAAACATGATGCTATGAAGGAAGCCTGACACAGAAGTCCACATGTTCTGAATTCCATTCATAGAAATGTCCAGAACAGGCAAATCTATAGAGACAGAAAGTAGATTAGGCCTTGGTGTGTGGGTGCACGCATATGTGTGCATGAAGGAACGGGGTGACTACTACAGTGTATGGGATTTCTCCTGGGGATGATGAAAGTGCTCTAAAAATGACTGTGATGACGGACACACAACTGCAAATATACTAAGTCACTGACTTGCACACCTTAAAACTGAACTGAATTTAAAAGAACCTTATGGTATGTGAATTACATTTCAATAAACTTGTTAAAAAAATTTTAACACTGAAAATGCACTGTAAGGATACCAAGTGGTTATATCTGGATGAAGGGTTATAGGCATCAATATTACTGACCACAAGACCATTTCTTGAGCACCTGAAATGGACCAGGATCATATGAGCAGCTCTGGTGCCCCACGAAAGGCCCCAGCGGCCAGGGAGGTCGAGGGCACTTCCCCAGGGCACAACACATGGGCTGTCTGATTGGAGCCTGGGCACTTTCTCCCCACTCTCCTCTATTTCTGAAGTTAGTGCTATTCTGTAAAGCATACTTCACTGTTTTTACAGTATGAAAAACAATGGAAGTTCTCTAATTTTAAGATGGAGAATTAGCAGTGAATCCAATTTTGGAAATAAGCCACCGCCATTCCTCTCCTGCCCTAACACACTCCGCAGTCACCTGTTGCCGGCTCTTCAACACCTCTTCAACACCTCTTCAATACCTGAAGTTGTTCCCATTTCCTGGCTAGACCCCGACTGACTTGTCAGATATTGTCAACTGCTCCCCAAGGAGGTGGCCCCCCGATCCTGACCTGGCTCCAGCAGAAGACAGGAGCTGATAGTGGTTTTGACTTTTTTTTCTTTAATTCAGAAAAGTATAAAGGACAAAAAACAAACACAGACCACAATCCCACCACCTATACAAACCCAGTCCACAAGCATGGGCTTGAAATGAGAACAGTAAAGAAAGGTACAGAAAAGTACAATAAAAGCCTTTTGCGACCTTTGCCTGCAGACTGTCTCCTCAGACCACTGCGAGCAACTGCCCTGAATCTGTCCAGAGGAATGTCCGTGAGCAGCAGTTACCAACTCCACGCAGATGCATGGATAGATGTCTTTCTAACAATGTACACACAGGTCATTCTATACAAACTCCACATCTTGCATTTTCACTTAATGATACATTGTGAAGACGGCAGCCTATCGGCCCACACAGTTTTCCCTTGGCCTTTAAGTATCTGCATAATATTCCAGACCCCAGAGATAGGCATTTAGTTTCGGGTTTTTCATGTTACCTATTACTAAATAATGCTTCAGTGAACATCTATCCTAGGATATATATTTGGTGTGCTTTACATAAAGATGTTTTATTTTAGCTTTTCTACCTTATTTCTCTTCCTTGATATTGAAATACATGTTGACTGATGGTGCCCAGAAAAAGGTATAAAGACAAGACAAAGGCCATGAGACCCACTCAGACATGAACACAGGCTATGCCCTCCCATCCTCCAAGAATATGCAATTCCCTAAACACAGGCGGGATCAGGGAGGGTGTGATCGTCATGGATCGCAGGGTGACTAACAAGTGCCAGGCATGTGCTCAACATGGTATATGAATATCACCCTTGCGTGGACGCACACCCTGGGCAAGGGGAAAACTGCTATCCAGAAGGACAAGTGGCCAGCAGGCCCACGGGGGGCGGCTGCACTGCCTCCCAGAGTTGGGCTGCCCCTTTGCCCCCAGTGCTCTCCAGCCATGAGCCGGCGAACACACAGGAGAGGACCACCTACCTCAGACAGTTCCTCTGATGCAGTCTCGGGGTTCCGGAGGCTGTCCCCTGGTGTGGGGGTGCTGCCGCCATCCCCCTTCTGCCCCACACTCAGCGCCTGTTCCCACTTCTGCAGAGCCTCCTCGAACAGCTCCATGCCTGAGCACGGGCAGGGAAAGACAGTCAGGACCCAGGAGGGGAGGGCGGTGGGCCCCATACTGTGTCATTCAAAGAGGCCCCAGGAGAATGAGGAGGTAGGGGGCCCGAAGGGCAATGGGCAGGACCCTGTGGGCTGGGCAGCGTGCAGGCCTGCACTCAGACCAGATGGTTTCTGGAAGTTGTCCACTGTCCAGGCATGGCTGGAAACCACTGAATGAGGGTTACATGATGGGGGGTGCAAAGCAGCACCCAGAGACATAGTCCTCACCCCACCCTGCCCAGGGAGAGCCCCCGGGCTGGCCTCCAGGCCCACACCTTGCATGTAGAGGCTTTCCGCATTGCCATCACTGGTGGCCACAGATTCCTCCGTCCCTCTGGCGTCCCATGGTCCCGAGCATGCAGCTGTGGGGCTGGATGAGTGCACTGCCACCATCTGGGCACCACGCAGCACAAGGACCAGAGGGCAAAGAGTGAGGCCTTCCCAGACCCCCTGCAGGACCCCTGAGCTGCCCCCACTGCCTGACCATATACCACATGCCCTTTCCAAACACCATCCCTGCAGCTAGACCCGGGCCACTGCAGTTCCGCCAACTCCAGCGCCTGATGACGCCTCACAGAAAGTGCCAAATGGGAGGAGTTACTGAGGCAGAGGCCAAGGCCAGCCCGGAACCAGCAGCCTCCTGTGAAGCCAGTCTGGGCCCATTCCCTCTCTGGGGCTCTGCTCCTCATCTGCCAAGGAAGACAGAGGGAGCACCCAGCACAGAGGGGGCGGCGGGGCCCGCTCTCACCCACGCCTCTCTCCCCCACGAGCAGCTACCCACCCTGCAAGGCTGTGGGCTCCCCCGGGACAAGAGCCAACGCTTGCTCACCCCTGTGTTCCCAAGGTAATGCCTGGCACAAAGCAGATGCTTGCTCAATGTCTGATGAAAGAATGAGTGAATGAGTGAATGAGCTTTCATTGATAAGTATGTTCCCCAAGAGACCATACACTTCTCTCCTGCACCTCCCCACCATTCTCTCACAGATGCCTGCACTCAATTAGTGATGGATGGCTGTCTCTGAAGGCCTGCATGTGTGGATAAGTGAGTGAACCAACAAAATAAAATCTCTTCGCCCAACTTCCTACCAGTCCCCAGGCCCCCTGCGGGCAGAGAACAGAGCCCAGGGTGTTAGGGACTGAGCCCCGAGGTCCTCACTGAGGCCGAGCTGCGCGAGGAGCCCGAGTGCTTGCTGGGCTCGATGGAGGAGATGCCACTCAAGGTGTCGTTGCTCTTGCTACTGGGGCTCTGTACCCTCCGGCTGGAGTAGCCTGTGTGGAACAGGAGGGCAGGGGTCACGCAGGCTTTTCACCCAGCCTTTGCACAGGCTGTTCCCACCCTCAGACAACCCTCCCCCTCCCTCATCTGGGAGCCTGTCCGGACCCTCTAAGTCAGGGAGATGGCAAAGCACCCCCAGTGCACGCACTTAGCAGAGGAGTGCTGGGCCCCTGCTTGACATCCTGCTTGCACCCTTGTCACCCAGCCCAGTGCCTGGCCTAGAGGGACCCAGCTAAGCCTGGGAATATGGTCCAGCTGCTTCCGCACTTCCTTTTTACTCAGCTCCTCCTTGCTGCTGATTGGCTGACTGATTTGGAATTCTCCTTCCAAAAGGGATTCAAGACAACAACTCTTTAAACCACACAAAAGATTCTTTTTTAAGTGAGAAAGCAGGGAAGGGATAATAAGGCAAAATCAGAGGTGACAGAGGTGGTACAGGGCAGGCAAGAGTTTGGGGCAGAACTGGCTCCAGGTTTCCAAGGGGCCGACGTAAAATGGAAACCTGGCCCCATCGGCATTTCTCAGGTCCTGCTCTAGACTAGTCTACAAGCTTTCTTTTCTAATTGTAAAGATGCAATGATAGCTCACAATTAAAATTAATGTTCACAGAAGGGAACCTTCGCTTCTCGAAACAGGTTTCTCCCAAGATGAGAGCTTCCTTGCCTTGGACATTCAGGGGTGACAGGCCCTGCGTTGCTGGGTTACAAGGTTAACAGGTCCTTACACAGGCTTTTAAAGCCACCCCAGCAGACACAAAACAAATGAGTGGCTGCCAGGGAGGGGCTGGGGGTCGCGGAGAGTGGCTGATGACAGCGGGGCATGCAGAGCTTTAGAGCATGAACGAACAGTTCTTGACTGCGGTGGTGGTTATATGCCTATATGTGTTTGTCAAAACTCACAGAATTGAATGCTAAAAAAGGTGAATCTTACTGAATGCACAGTAAACCTTAATTTAAAAAAAAGGGGATGGGGGGAGAATGCCATGTGGTTCTGGACCCACATGGCCCTTCTTGTTACCAAGCTGGGGGACGTCCCTTCCTGGATGGAGGAGCTGCTCCCCAAAGGGCCCCTCTGGACCTAGGTGCTCCCAAAGAGCCCCAGATAAGGAGAACAGGGCAGGTGCATCTGGCCTCGCCACCTACCAGATCCCTACAGTGACTCAGTCAGTGACCCTGCTGTCAACCCCACTTCACAGATGAAAGGAACTCAGCCTGGAGACAAGACGTTGCTAGTCCAAGATCCACAGTCAACAGGGGCCCCACTGGGACCCGACTCCCGGTCAGGCCCTTCCCCACGACCTCACACCTACCTTTCTTCACTGACGGGACCTTCCTGGCCATGAGGATGGGGAGAGGCACTGTGCCCAGATGCTCGCCTCCCATCTCAGGGCCGACCTGCTTCTTCCTCCGCCGTCGCCTCTTCAGCTGGTGGGCAGCCAAGGCCAAGGCCACGGTCCCCAGGGCAGTGGCAAAGAGGACCTTCCGCAGGCCTGGGGTCAACCGCAGCTGTGAGAATGCAGACTGCAGGAAGAGAGGGAGGCTGCTGGGCTACATCTGCCCAGAAGGGCCCCGAGGCAGGCAAAGCTGCCCTGGCGAGCACCTAAGGGACAGGGGGTGCATCAGGCACTCGGGGGCTATCTGCTGATCAGGAGTGATGGAGAGGCATCACCTCGAGGGGGGACCTGGCCTGCTCCTCTGAAATGTAGACCTCAGAGATAACCAGGCTGGACTTGGGAGAGCAAAATGACAGTGCAAAGGAGAGCACAACTGGGGCCTAGCAAGTGTCTGTATTCATCAGTCATGAGTCCAACAGCTGCAGTATTAAGGGCCTGCTATGCCAGGCACTGCCCTGGGCTTCACCTGCACATCTGTCTAAAGGCCCATCATTTTCCAAATGAGGAATCTAAGGCTTACACAGGTTAAGACACATGCTTAAGAAGATACAGAGAAAGAAACTAAACTCAGGTCTGCCAACCCCATTTCTTTTTTTTTTTTTCCCACTTTTTTTTCTTTCTTTTTTTTTTACAAAAATGAGTCAGATTATGTTTTGATGGCAACTCTTTCAAGATGTACATACATTAGAAGTAAAAGATGTTGGGAGTGAGGGGTGCACATGTCCAAACAATTCAGAAAAATAGACATTGACAACAATTGACATGACAATCACTCTTCATTATATGAGCTAATGAAGTGGGATTCCTGGCATGACTTACTCCAAAGTAATTACATTTGGTTTGGTAGGCAGAATGGTTTTTTTTTTTTGAGAGGGCATCTCTCATATTTATTGATCAAATGGTTGTTAACAACAAAAATTCTGTATAGGCAACCCCATTTCTTAACATGCCTCCTTAAGGATGACGATGTTCACTCCACCCGGCTGCCGCATCTGTGCACCTCCCCCTTCCTCTAGGCCTGCTGGGCTGGAAGCCCCTTGGGTGGCGGTGTCCCACAAGGCAGAGCTCCAGGAAGTGTCAAGAGGCCACATCAGCCACAGACATTTGAGTTTGGCTCGGAGGACATCATTAACCCCTTTTAAAAACTGAGATGAAAGTTCACACAGTCCTAGGGTGAAGACCAGGTTTGGAGCCCCAGATTCCTAACTCAGCCCTTCTCCCTCTGCTCACTGAGGAGACACCAGACACCTGGGGCAGCAAGACTAAGGGCCCAGCTTCCCCAGAGGCCAAAGTGGTAAAGGCAAGACCACAACCCCCCCCCCCACTTTACCTGCCCAAAGGTGGTGTACAGGAACACAGGGATCTCAGCCACAGTCATGGCCAGGGCCTGGATCATGGACATGCCCTCAGTCCTCCGGAACGCCATGGCAGGACCAGCACCCCAGGCAAGAGCCCTCAGGGCCAAGAGTTCCCAAGAAGAATGTCTTCAACTGGCTGCTGGCTGGGGCCTGGGCACCATCCACACCCCAGAAAGACAGAGACGTACATACCAGAGGGTCCCTGCACAAAGCTGAGAGACAGATCACCGAGTCGGACAAGAGCACACAGGTACCCACACAAGAGTACCCTTGGGGACAGGGCCGGAGCACAGCCTACCTGTGGAATCAGGCCCCAGCCTTCATCACCCGCCAATAAGAAGGCAGCCAAATGCCCCACAGACCCGGAGCCCTGGGAGCAAAAGGCACTGTCTCTAACACGCTGGCCTAAGAGCAGACCCAGGCCTGGAAGATGGACTGGTCACTCCCAATATCAGGGCTTTCTGCCCGACTTTCTCAATCTGTTGAAATCCATGGCCTATTTGCTAAACAAAAATCTCAAGCCTCTGAAGGGTCAGGCCCCTCACTGAGAATCACTGCATCTTTTTCATGTCCCGCAAAGCCAAGAATGTTTTACTTCCTGCGGACTTTATTTATGGAGACAGCAGGGTGTTTCCTCGAATAATAATAGTTTATACACATTACATGCACATTTTGTGCTGAGTTATTTACATCTATTATTTCACTGGATCATTACAATTTTGTGAAGTAGATACTATCTAGCTCGGCCACCCCCATCAATGTCCAATGAGGAAACAGTCTCTGAGAGGGTAAGTCAGGAGTCCAAAGTCACACAGCTGGTACGAGGTGGAGTTAGGACTTAAACCAAAGTCTCTCGGACTTAAGAGTCTGAGCTCAAAACAATCTTTTAGCTGAATTCAACATGGAGCGGGAAGTGGCAGCCCTAGCAGAACCACAGACAACAAAGGCAACTTTCCCCTGGGGCCTTCCGAGACCCGTAGGGCACCCCACTCCAAAGCCGGAGAATGCACGGCTTGAGTCCACGTAGCCCAGTCCCCAAGAGCCTGCAGAGCCACTGCCCAACCTCCACCACCAAGGCCAAGTATACCTTCAAGGTTTCTTGGGACCTCAAGTGGAAGGAATATGCAAGCTGGGACAGACCCTACCTAACTGGGGTGGTGGCCAATGTCACTGGACCAGAACAAGAATATTCCAGGGGAGTGGGAAGAACGGCCAATCCTTGCAGTCTAACTCCTGGGCTGGGCTGCGTGCGTGCGTGCGTGTGTGTGTGTGTCAGAGACAGAGAGACAGAGAGAGTGAGGGGGATAGTCAGTGAGATGTTCTAGGGAGTCTGAGGAAACTGTCATGTTATCAAGAGTGGGAGACATTCTGCCAGGAGACTGAAAACTGAGCTGTGATCTCCATGGCTGGGGCTGGGGCTGGGGTTAGTATCATAAGCCATCCCTTTCAGCCTCCCAAACCAGCCCAGGTCTCAGAGAAGGGGAGACAAGAACATCAGAGGATTAGCCACTACTACTTTCCAAGCACCTTCTCCAGGCCAGGCTTGTGCCAGGCTCTCCAGAGAGGGCTTTGAGACTAGTCACTCACAGAACCCTCAGGACAACCACTGTTTATGATGGGGTAACTGAGGTGCTGAGAGATAAGGACCTGACTGAGGTCAGGGTAAATGGCCAGGCTGGGGTGTGACCTCAGCTCTGGGGGACTCCAAGGCCATGGTGTTACTCCTGACCTGCCTGCTACATCTGTCACCCCTCCCTCCATGCCACACCTGACAGACTTCTGGGTTCCCAAATGAGAAGCCCACATGGAGTTCAAAGATGAGCCGAACACATGCTCCAGGAATGAGACAGGGCTGGGAGGCCTAGCAATGTCTGCAGGAAGTCAAGAGCCACCTCTGCTGTCCTGAGAGGAAAAGTGGCAGGTGCAAGGTGACAATGGTGTCCCCAAGCCTGCTTCACTCCAGGGATGGATCCAGACCCAGCCCAACCAGCAATACCCATCCCCCTGAAACCACCCTGTGAGAAGCTTCCACCTCTTCTCCATGATGACAACCCCGTGGCAATATCCACCACCCCATGGACATTTCTAATGCCTCCCAAGCTGGGCAAGTCACCTCTCCTGCCCAATAACCTTGGGAGGAAATTTTGCCATTCCACCCCCACCATAGCACTTAGAAGAACCTCAGCCTGGATGCCCGCACTTTGCACAGGGGCACCTCCTCCCCTGCCCTGGATGACCCCATTAATGATTCTGGCCTAAGCAGCCCCCTTTCCCCCTTGATCCCAGCGATGTCCCTGGCCAGGCACTCTCCTGAGCCACCCTCTGCCCAGTCTCCGTTCATTCCACCCTGGGCACCTCACCAGTCCCTCCAGTACTGGACCTCAGCGATATCCCCTTCTTCAGAATCTGCTCATTGCATCTCGGACGCATCCTCGCGCAGCCCCGAATCAGGCCTGCTCCTCTTTTGCCGCGACCCCCGGAATATCCGTGAGGGCCGTCCAGGTGCCCACTGACGCAGCCCACGGCCGCACACCTGCTCTTCCCATCCCTGGTACTTTCCTAGGTCGGGTCCGGATACCTGCGATCCCGTTCTGATCCCTGCAAGGTCCCAGGCCTGGGAATCTGCTCACTGACCAGGTACCTACAGTTCCACCTCTCGCGCCGCCCAGCGTTCGGGTACCTGCTCATTCCAACCCGGGCCCTTCTCGTCTAGCTGACCCAGGACACCTGCGCAGCCAACCAGTGTCCTGCGCAAGCCCGGCACCCTCCCGCTGAAAGCTTCAGTCCCGGGCCTGCTGCGCCGTCGTCTTCCCGGCGTGCTCAGCCCGGGCCGCCACTCACGCGGGATCCCATCGCTGCGGAAGGGCAGCGTCTCCTTTCCCAGCGCCCGCGCAACCAACCTCTCGGTCACCGGGGGCGTGGCCTCACTCGGAGCCAACCTTTCTTTGGCCAATGATCGTAGCCGAACTGCTCCGCGCCTCTCCGGCCTCAGGCCCAGGGATTGGTCATGTGACCGACCTGCCTCTCTTCACCCTCTACCCCACCCCCTAAGTGCGGTTGAGGCGCGGAAGTGCTCTCTTCTCGCCTACTATTGGCCATTGAGATTAGATTGACACGGGAATCTGAGTGGGGGCAAGGCCACTCTTAAAGGAGTTGAGACGGAGCAATCCAGTGTCTGGAGGGCTTTCGGGAAGGAAACGGTGGGCGGTCGCCCCTGCGCTTCCCCACACAAATATTTCCCACTCTTCAAGCGCCCGTTTCCAAATGCCACAGCCTCTGACTTCCCACAGCATTCTTCCTTTTAAACACTTGCCATTTTTCACCTTGTGGAGTTTTGGCAAAGTGTCACTTCTCCCCTACTACATTGTCTCCCTGAAAGTTGGAAGTCAAGTCACACAAAGCACTGGATATGGAGTCAGGCTGACCTGAATTGGGCATCAAGTTAGGCCACTTGAGCTCTCTGGCATGTACACAGTGATAAGGAAGAATCTTCAATTAAGTGACATAAGGACCAGAGAATGAGGCAGAGACGGTAATCAGCCGTCTTTACCCTGTTGTTTTTTTCTTCCCAGGACTCATCACCTTGGCCAGTAACTAACGAGAAACTCCGCCTTTCTGGATTAAGTCATTTCCACAGTCATCTAGTTCTCCAGAACCACCGCATCCCCCTAAGAGCATGGTCAGCGTCTGACCATCATCAACAACGAATTCACCAGCTTTCTCTCTGGACTAATCACCTTCCCCGCCACCGGCCATTCCTTGTTTTGCTATAGCGCACTTTCCTTATCTGTAGACAACGTGAATTTAGACTTTTTATTTCTTGGGACACCCCCCTCATAAATGTGCCGTTTCTGGAGTGTGGCTGACAAGTTGTTTCTGTTAACTGGCCTTGCTGCTGGTGAAGCACAAATTTCCTGTCTCAGGGCTCAAGTCCTGATCTGGCTAGCATTTGCTAAAGCTCAGTAAACCCTCTTATATCAGAGATCTCTCCATTTCGTTTCTAGAATTTTTTGATTTGTCAGCAGTTTACCGCTCTGTAAAATGGGGATGGAATCCCTACCTGAGTCACAGGGCTTTTGTGGGAATCAGAAAATAGCGTGGTAGCTCTTAAAATAACTGTAAAAAGCTAGGCATCTAAGTTTTTTAAATATAATTATCAGTAAGGTCACATTCTTTCATTCATTCATTCAATAGCTAATATTTCTGTGTGCCTGCCCTTTGGCTGGACATGGGCACACAGTGGTGAACAAGATACACGTGGCCCCAAGGAGCTCAGAGGGAATAGATACCCAATTACAATCTTGTGTGGTAGTTGCACTAATGGGGGAAACTCAGGAATGTGGGATGCCTGCAGGGAGAGGTGAGAGACTCTTGAAAGAAAGAGATGTCGCCCAAATGGAGACCTGAAAGATGGGCAGGAATGAGCTGGGCAGAGAGGAGAGAAAGGAGTGTTCCAGGAACAGCATGGGCTGTGACTCAGAAGCAAGAAAGAACCCAGCATCTTTGACTCAAGGTGACAGAGAGAGGGGATAGCGGTGGCCAATGAGTCAAGAAAGAAGGAGCCAGGGCAAAAAGTGGTCTCCATGGCTGGACTGCCTGGGTTCTGAGCTAAATCTGCCATTTCCTCCCCTGTGACCTTGGGCAAATCAGCTCAGTGCTTGACCTGCCTAGGCTCAGGACACTTCAGCCATTGCTGTTAGAAAACCTGCAACAGTCAATTGGAAATCTAAAAAGATGACACATACAGACTGGACAGTGGTAAGATTAGAGCTAACTACCTGGTATTGCCTTACTTTCCCCTCTTTATCCTGTTGTTTTTTTCTTCCCAGGACTCATCACCTGATGTGTTATATTTTCGTTTGCCCAAGAGGGGAAGGGCTTTGTTTTTGCACTGCTGCCTCTCTAGGGCCTTGAACACTGCCTGGCACATAGTACGTACTGACAAAGACTTTCTTCTTGACCTAACCTGAATCAGGCTCCTAGGACCCCTCTGCTCAACTTTGACTTTGGGCTTCCATCTCTTTCCTTATAGAGTCCAGTTTTAGCAAGAATCCTGCTGAGTCAGTTTAGCAAAAACCCCCCACCCTTAGTATCCGAGCACCTTACAAATCTAATCAAATTCGTCATCCTCTGCCTTCAATGTCTAATCACCCTGGTCTGCCTTCAGCAAGAATCCCACTAACCTTGATGTTTCTTCTTAGTTTCCATTCACTGACCTCCTACACTGGTCCTTGGCTATAAATCTCCACTTGTCCTTGTTATATTCAGAACTGAGCCTGATGTCTCTCCCCTACAGCAAAAACCCCATTACAATAATCTGTTTTGAATAAAGTCTTTCTTAATGTCTTTAACAAGTATCATGAATACTTTTTTCTTTAACAGTATTCCATGTGAATTATTGAATGAATGAACATATAACTGTATTGATACATGGTTGTTGAAATATTTGGCTGGATACTAAATGAATGATATAATCAGCTACAGACAGACATTGGTAAATAAGTAAGTCAATGACAATATAGATGAATATAAACATAAAGTGAACACATAGAAACACACACACACAAAACACAGATGATGAACTGCAAATACATGAGTGACATGAAAGTCGATGATGGCTCCAAATAGTAAATGTAGACACATTAAAACGGGTGCACATTGACAAATGGGTGCACATTAAATCACCGGGAAGTTTTTCAAAACTCCACCTGCTTGAGCGCACACACTCTGAGAACCTGGATGGGAATGGGACTAGGGTTTGGATTTTGAACAAACCACCAAGTGACTGGAGGCTCACCCTGCACAGACAGGCTGGGGTAGGTGATGGGGAACTAGGGTTAGTAGGTGGAGAGGAACGCAGCCAGGGAGGAGCGGGTACCAGTTTAGAAACTGAACTTTCCACTGGGCTAAAAGATGAAGCCTGGAGGTAGAGATAGGCAATAAGCCCCCTTCCAAGCCCCAGGGAGGGGGGATATACCTGCAGGCCGTCCTCGGGTCAATCTGGAGCTGTGAGGAGCTGAATTTAAGATCGGCGCCCATCCAAGCCTGGAGAGCAGCTCATTCCTACACCTTGGCAGAACGCAAGCCTCCCCTCCTCTCCTCTCGCCTTGCTCCTTCCCTGTAACCCCTCCGCGCACCCTCCCCCAACTTTGGGGAACCAGGGGGGTTCTGGGGAACAAGCAGTCGTTCCCAGAGGTGAAAGACAAGTCCCCAGCCTGCCTGTACCCGCTCAGTTGTCCTTAGCGTCACCAAAGGCAGGGGCAGAAGAAGGGGACTGGAGAGGTCAAGGTGCTGGAGATGGTGGGTGGCATACAGAGACCCAGGGCAAAAGAGGCGGAGAAATGGAAGACAGAAGGTCTAGCGGAGAAGGGTGCGAACGGACAAACGAAGATGAGGCACAAACGGGCCAGGACCACGGTACAAGCCAGCGAGAGAGGTGGAGGCCGCAGGGGGAAGCAGCGCGGCCACCCGGCTCCCCACACGCCCGGCCCCGACACTTCCTCCCTACACGACACGCCCCGTGCCCAGCCCTGCGCTGGCGCTCGAGCTGGATCTGCCCCCTCGACCCTCGCCCCGCCCCGCGCCCGGGATGGCTCCGCCCCCACGCTCCGCGCCCCGCCCCGCGCCCGGGCTGGCTCCGCCCCCGCGCCCCGCCCCGCGCCCGGGCTGGCTCCGCGGTAGCTGCGGCCGGGTGGGCTGGCACGCTGAGGGCAGGCGCACCGGCATCAGGTGGGCGGGGTGCGGGCCGTCGGCGGGCGGGGGCTGCCGGGCTGCGCTCGGGCCGGGCGCGGCCAGCCGTCGGGCGCGCCATGGACTTCAACATGAAGAAGCTGGCGTCCGACGCGGGCATCTTCTTCACTCGGGCGGTGCAGGTGAGACCGGACGCCCTGGGCCTGGCGTGGCGCGCTCCCAGGGCCCGGATGTGGGGCGGGCCGGGAACACCTCCTCAGCAGAGCTCGGCGGGCGCAGGAAAAGCCCCTCGCGGCTGCCGCCTGCTGCTTTGCTGCGGGGACACCCCGGGCCCCCCCATCCCAAAACCTGCGCTGCCCAGAAGAGAGAAAGAGCCCAGGGCGGCCCGCCACACTGGCCGCGCCCTCGGCGTGGCCCAGGGCCGGGAGGGAACTGAGCCCGTCTTGCCTTTGTTGCCTGGGGAGAGATATCAGTGTCCACCATTTGGACCTGCTGGGTTCCGCCGCCCTGGCGCCTGCCCCAGCCCCCGGTTGGGGCGCCGCTGAGGAGGGGAGAGAGCACGGGCAGCTCCTGCCCTTGCCAGCAGTGACTTGACTCCCGGCGGGCATTTGGAGGCCCGAGTCCCAGACCAAAGGACTCATGCACCCTCCACGACCCCTTCTCTGAGCCTCAGTCTCTGCACCTGTGCAATGGGCTGGTGGTACCAATTCCCACCGGTTCCCTTTACACACTTGGACAGTCAGCCCGGAAGCCAGGAGGGCTGGGGTTATTTCCTTTCAGCTCCATGGGAGGCCTGTTTCCTCTTACTTCCCCAGCCCTGGGGGATGGGGAGAGGGCTAAGGTCTGGCTGAGTGTGCTCCTTGGGAAGCTGTCCAGGCCCATATGCTGGGATTGGAACAAGTCCTGTGCATTTGAGGGCGAGGAGAGAAACCGAGGCAGCCTAGTGTAATTATGAAGCCCTCCAGTCAGCTGTGGGCGTGGATGCACCCTCCTGTGACCTTGAGGAAGGGGCTTCACCTCTGTGGGCCTCAGCTTTTCAGTCTGAAAAATAGGATCGTCAGTCCCTCCCTCTCAGGATGGATGTGAGGGGTTCTCTGGCACTGCGTGTGCGTGCTCACTAAGGCAGGCCACTCTTGGTGCTGCTGTGGTTCGTATTGCACCTGTGCTGCGGGTGACCTTGGGCAAGTCATTTCTCTCAGCGCCTCCGTGTCCCCTTCTGTCAGTCGGGTGTAACACCGACTGTCTCGGGGTTGGCCTGTCATAGCGCTCTGGGAACAGGTCCTGTTGTTTGTCCTTGCTGTGGTTTTCTCCGGAGGAGCCCAGCCCCATACATCTCCGGAAAGCCCACGTGCCCATGTTTGCTAGAAAGCACAGTGTCCCGTTGAGGATTAGTGCTCCAGGGAGAATTTGCTGTTTGCTGTTTCAAGCCCAGCAGGTGACCCGGGCCCTCGGCCCTTGCAGGGATGCCAGGACCCTGGAGCCCCTTGGCCAGGCCCAGTCCCTCTGGAAGGTGGGGAATCCTCCCTGTTGTTGGCATAGCAAGCACTCTATCTCCCACATCTGGCAAGAACCTGATCTGCCAGTTTCCTTCTGTGGGGCCCTGGCGCCTGACCTGGCCAGGGCCTGCAGAGCCTTGGCCTCCCTTGGCCTGGTGGGGCAGGCCCAGTGAGTCGCCCATACTGGAGTGGGAGCCAGCTCTCAGGCCCCAGCCTCCAGGGTGGGGGAGGGAGCTGGGAGCTTTATAAATAGAGGCTTTCTTCGGCTCTGCACGCCCACCCCCTGCTGCTGCCATCTTGCAGGGAGTAGCCTTGGACTCTGCAGGCATCAGCCTCTGAAGCCCCAGGCCCTTCCTCTTAGCAGCAGTGGAGTGGGGTGGCAGGCCAGAGGAGAGAGGGTCTTGCAATATGACCTGAGCAGGAGAGGACATTCAGGGAATCCGAGGCCTGTGTGCTCTGGGACACGAGTCATCTAGGAGGGATGGGAGGATTTTTTTATTGTGAGGGCATTTCCTCTATAGGTGCCACCTTGCCAGGTCCCAGGACATGCTGGGTAAGTGCTCCATGTACCAGACACCTTTAAGGGCCTCATTCCACCCTATCTGGTTGAACCTTCACCCTGGGATAAGGATCGGGAGAACAGGATCTCTTGCATGGGTGATTCTGGGATGGTTTCCTAGTCCCTGAGGGGTTTGTGAAATTGGCCCCAGTGGTGGGAACTGCCCAGCTAAGGGCAGCAGGCATGAAAACCTGAGGTATGCATTTGGTGAAATAACAGTGAGGGTGGGGGTGCAGTAAAGGAGATGGTACTAGTGCTATCAGCAGTAATGCAATAGTAGCAAGCGTAGTGGTAGAATCAGTAAAGCCAGGCAGGCGGCAGTGGACATGGGATGGATGCCTGAGAGCTCAGCCTGGGATGACTTTGACCCTGGGTGGCATGAAGTGTGAGGGCCAGGTGGCCAGGTGGTTCTGCGCAGAGTGTTGCCCTTTAGCATCAACCCTGCTAACAAGGGGAGGTGCCGAGGTGCACACTTAGGGTGGCATGGTCACCTGAACCAGGGTGACCAGTACCACTGGGGTAAGGAGGTCTTCAGGTAGCTCCCAAGAGCTGAGGAGGGATGTGAGGGGGCTTTTTATTCCTGGTGATGATGACACCAGCGAACATTCCTGCAGCCTGTGCTCTGTGCTGGTCATGGAGCTATGAAGCACCTTCCACATTCTCTGAGCCGGGTCCTGTTTTCCTATTCTCCAGGGAGGAAACAGGCCTAGAGAGGGGACTTTGCCTCTCTGAACCTTGGTTTGCTCCCCTGGAAAATGTGGCTGACAACATCCCATCAAGTGGCCGGGTGAGGGAGGTTGGTTTGGGCCTGGCTTTGGGAGGCCTCAGTTTGGGGAATGTGGGGAGGAAGACGAGTGGACAGAGGGCTGAGGAGGGCAGGAGTGGCTGGTTCCCAGGTAGGGAGCTGCGGGCTATTCCCCTGGCCCACCCAGCCCTGCAGGGAGAAACCCAAGCCCTGTTGCATAAATAATGGCTGCCGAGCTAGAGCAGCCTGACCCGCAGAGCAGCCTGGCCATCTCGGTGGCTGCCCCCTGGCAGCTGAAGCTGCCATTGGCCTCTAGATGATTCATCGCTGCCACGTAGTCTGGAAAGGGCCTCCAGACCTCAAGCCCATGATGGCCCTGACTGCAGCCCTTGCTTAGCCTCGGTGGCATCATCCATGAAATGGGAAACTTGACCTGACCTTCCTTGCAGAGCTGCTGGAGAAGTTGGTGGCTCGTCCGTGTGAAGGGCTTAGCTCTGGGCCACAGATGCAGTCAGCAGTCCCTGCTGCTGTTACCACTCATCTCACCCCTACAAGTCTTCATGCCTCTGCTGTTTAGCTGTGACCTGGAGCAGGTTCTTCACCTGGCCGCAGAAGGCCTTCTAGATCAGAGAGGCCAGGACTTGTGCTGGTGGAGGACCCGTGTGACGTCCTGATTGCTGCCTGGCCTTGGGGTGGGGCTGCTGAGCTTTCTGGGCCCTGAGTGTGCCCAGCAGTTGGTTCTGATGGGCAGGTAGTGTTCCCTGTCCACCACACCGGGCTGCAAGTGGCTAGCCTGGTATGTGGCCATCTCTGTACACACTTTCCTTCCTTCGCAGCCCTCTCTGCCTGTCAGGTCTGCACAGTGGCAGCACCTACACTGAACACCAACTGCCTGCCAGACCCCAGCCATCATGCCTTACCACACACCCTTGTTACCTTTTCAACCTCTCAACCTAGGAAGAAAGTACCATTATTATCCTCATTTTTTAGCTCAGGAAATTGATGCTTAGAGAGACAGAGCCACTTGCCCAAGGTCACGCAGCTCAGCAGTGGCAGAACCGAAACTGGAATCAGGTGCCTCTGGTTCTGGGACCTGGGTTCCTCGCCCTCACTCCCCTGGCACCCCCTCCCCAGTGGCCCCTAGACCCCTGTAGAGCCTCCTCACAACCCCTGACCTTGCTTTGTGTCTCGTTGGTTCCCTGAGCACTTGCTACAAGTGCTTACCTTCAAAGTCAGACTAGGAAGACCCTTAGCAGTGGGCTCCGGAAGTTCCTTACTCCTCTAAGTCATATGCCGGATTTTGTGCAGATGTGCGTTTTGTGTGGAGGGTGTGTATAGCTTTCACTGGCTTTCCGAAAGAAGCCATGGTCCCCCCGCCAGACTCTGGTGCAATCACAGAGGGGCAAATTGAGGCCCAGCACAGAGTTGTAAGGATCAAGGTCACAAAGCAGAGCAAGTTTCTTGACCTCGAGGCCTGGGTTCCAGCAAAGGGGGAGGCGTGGGTGGGTAGGGGAGGGACAGTCCTCCCTTCTCTTCTGAGCCCTCCCCCACTCCATCTTCCCCCAACAGTTCACAGAGGAGAAATTCGGCCAGGCCGAGAAGACCGAGCTTGATGCCCACTTTGAAAACCTGCTGGCCCGGGCGGACAGCACCAAGAACTGGACAGAGAAAATCCTGCGGCAGACAGAGGTGCTGCTGCAGCCCAACCCCAGTGAGTGGGCGGGTGCAGGCGGGTTTGGGGGCTTCCCGACAGCTGCTGTGCGGGTCCCAGTTACAGAAAACAGCAGACTTGGTGTTGGGCTCAAGACGTGCTTTCTGGGACAGCAGAAATGCTAAATTTTGCACAGAGGAGTTAGTTTAGAGAAATGCCTGGCAACTAAAACACACCTGGGCCAGGAGGCAAGGAAAACACTGGCCACATCCTTCGAGGGAGGGCAGCGAGGCCCAGAGGGCGAGGGTTTGCCCAGCATCGCACCTCGAGCACGGAGCAAGCAGAACAAAGTGCAGGAAACCCGTGGAAAGAGAGGGATGTCCTGGGTTCCTGATACCCGTCTGTCTGTCAGTCCACTGTGTAACTGAATGAGCGTCCCAGAGCTTTCTGGGGCCAGAGCCTTGTTCGTGTGTGTTACATCCTGTAAACCCATATTGGAATGAGGGAGTGCAGACGGGCCTTGACTTGGGACCTGCCACCCCGGCCGTGTGATCTGGGGCAGGTGTTTCATGTCTCTGAAATGAGAGGTCCCACAGTGTTGAGTGCCAGTTTCACAGGACTGAAGTGGGCATCAAGGGAATATTCTTGCTGTCCCCAGGCTAGGCACCCCTGTAGGCAGGCCCTGGTCTGGGTCTGTTTCCGTTGCCATGGTTTTCATCCCTGGATTGTACCGAAGAGCCCCGTGGCTGTGGCTGCTGTCTCCCCGCAGGTGCCCGAGTGGAGGAGTTCCTGTATGAGAAGCTGGACAGGAAGGTGCCCTCCAGAGTCACCGGTGGGGAGCTGCTGGCTCAGTACATGGCAGAGGCAGCCAGTGAGCTGGGCCCCACCACCCCCTACGGTGAGCCCGCTGACTGCAGGGTTAGGGGTTGTGGTCTTTTACTCTCTCATCTCTTCCTCCCTCCTTTCCTTCGTTTTTTTTATTATGTACATTTTAATTATTTAAATAATAACCGAATTCATCAACTTGTAAAGAAGTCTCAATGCAAATGAAAATAGAGGAAAAGGTGGAAGTCTCTCTTAAGCAGTTTTGGTGTGTATGCATTTTTTAATGGGACCACCCTGCATGTCCTATTCTGCATCCTGATCTTTACATCTGGCGTTGCATTACAGCTCTCTGTTCACAGTGGCACATCAATCTTTTTATTTTAATTTTTTATGGAGGCATCATTATATACCATGAAATTTACCTGTTTTAAGTGTGTAATGATTTTTAGTGAATTTACGGAGTTATGTAAACATCCCCCCAATCCAATTCAAAGAACATTTCCATCACCACAAAAAGTCCCTTGGATCTACTTTGGGTCAGTCCCACTTCCCCCCGAGCCACCACTAATGTGCTTTGTGTCTCTATAAATGTGCCATTTCTGAAGACTTCATATAAATGGAATTATCCAGTGTGTTTTTTTTTTAATACCTGGCTGCTTTCACCTAACATAATGTCTTTGAAATTCATCCACAGTGTATAGTATTTTAAGATTTCATTCCTTATTGTTGAATAGTCTTCCATTATATGGATATACCACACTTTATTCATTCATTCACCATCTGATGGACATTTGGGTTGTTTCCCATGAATTGCACATAAAACTTTGTGAGGGCATATGTTTTCACTTCTGCGTATGCACCCAAGAGTGGAATTGCTGGGTCATACGGTAATTTTATTTTTAACTTTTTAAGAAATTACCAGACTGTTTTCCAAAGTGGCTACGTGATTTATATTCTCACCAGCAGAGTAGTATTTAATTTCCAAATATCAGGATTTTCCAAGTTTCCTTCTGTTACTGACTTCTAATTAAATTTCACTGTGGTCAGAGAACATGCTTTGTATGATTTTAACCCTTTTATATTTAGTAAGACTTGTTTATGGCCTAGTACATGATCTCTCCTAGAGAATGTTCTGTGTTCACTTGAGAAGACTGTTGTGGGGCGGAGTGATGTAGAGGTGGCAGTTCTGCCAGGCGGTCGGTGTTGTTCAAGTCTTCTGCGTCTTGGCTGAGTTTGTCTCGTTGTCCTACCTATTACTGAAAAGTATTGAAGTTTCCAGCTATTTCTGTTAAATCGTCTGTTTCTATCTTTAATCTATCAGCGTTTTCTTCATACATTTTTGGACCTCTGTATATTTAGGTCTGCATATTTAAAATTATCTTCCTAATGAGTTGACTCTTCTTATTGCAAAATACTTTTGTCTCTAGTCATATTTGTTTTAAAGTCCATTTTGTTTGATAGTACAACCACTCCTGTCTGTACTTACTGTTTGCACTGTATGCCTTTTTCTGTCCTTTTACTTTCAGTCTATTTATGTCTTTAAATCTAAAGTGTGTCTCTGATAAGCAGCATATATTTTTGGATCTTTCTAAAAAATCCAGTCTGGCAATCTTTGCCTTTTGATTGGAGTGTTTAATCTATTTACATTTAATGTAAATTATTGATGTGGTTGAATTTACATACGCCATTTTGTTATTGTTTTCTCTGTGTCTGTAGTCATTTTTGTTCGTTCCTCCTTTATTGACTCCTTTTGCATGGAATAGGTATTTTCCAGTGTAGCACTTTAATTTCTTTGTGGCTTTTTTTCCACTTGTAAAAAATTTTCTAAGGGGTATTACAGTATGAATTACAGTATACATTTTAGTTTATCACAATCTACTTCAGAGTAGATTGTTGTGGGTAAAATTGTAACATTTCCAGAATATCTAGCTTGGTTTTAGTACATCTGCATATCAATAGGCGTTCAGAAGTAGAAAGAAATATGGCTTTAGTGCATTTGCATTCCTCAGGGATGGAGAGAAGTTCATCTTCATATCCACGGGTAATTACCTGGGCAAGGAAGGCTTATCAGACCCAAGAGGTTGGAGGGGAGGGCCAGTTTTGCTTCTGCTGGAGCAGGGAAGAGGGACTGCAGTTTGGGAGCAATAAACGGATTTTAAACTTTATTTCTCCCTTGGACTGATTTTGGTTTTTAGAGGTATTTTGCCCCGGGATTTCCTCTTCCTGGACTTAAAATTGTGTTCAGAGTAACTTAATTCCAGTAAAATACAGAAACTTTGCTCCAGTATAACTCCATTCCCTCCCCCTTCCTTTGTGCTGTTACGTCATACATGTTACATCTTACATCTTCTAAGCCTAACAGTTTTGTAATTACTGTTTTATGCAAGTGCCTTTTAAATCAGTTAAGAAAAAGGTTGTATTTGTATTATCTCTAATATTAATTTGCCTATGTAATTACCTTTACTGGCACTCTTTATTTCTTTATGTGGATTCAAGTTACCATCTAGTGTCACCTTTGATCCTGAAGTATTTTTTCTATGGCAGATCTGCTAGCAGTGAATTCTTTCAGTTTGTTTATCTGGGAATGTCTTTATCTTTTGTTCACTTTTGGAGGACAGTTTTGCTCTGTATAGAATTTTGGATAAGAGGTTTTCTCCCTTTTCATCACTTCGACTGTATGATCTCACTGCTGTCTGGCCTCCATTGTTCTTGATGAGAAATCATTTGTTAATCTTATTGTGGCTCCCTTGTAGGTGATGAGTTGCTCTTCTCTGGCTACTTTTGAGTTGTTTTGTCTTTCAACAGCTTGACTAAGAAATCTGTCCTAAGATAGCTGTGGATCTCTTTGTGTTCATCCTATTTTGGGTTTTTTTGGTTTCTTGGATATGGACATTAATGGCTTTCACCAAATTCAGGACATTTGCAGCTATTATTTCTTCAAATATTTTTCCTGCCCCCTTCTTTTCTTTCCTGGGACTCGTGTTACTCATGTTTGCTTGTTTGATGGTGTTCCATAGGTCTCTGAGGCTCTGCTCATCTTTATTCATCATCCATTTTTCTTTGCTTCTCAGATTAGATCATCTGTATTGATCTATAAAGTTACTGATTTTTCCTTTGGCTAGCTCAGATCTGCTGTTGAGCTTCTCTAGTGAATTTTCCGCATATGTACTTCCACAATACAGAATTTTCATTTCTTTTTAATAATTATGTCTATTGATATTCTTTATTTGATGAGTCATTGTCATCATGCTTTCCTTTATGCATGGTTTCTATTATAATTATTTTTAAAATTTGTAATAGCTGCTTAGAAGTCTTCGCTAAATCCTTAGAGATAGTGTCTTTTTTGGTCCTCCTTAGAGGCCTCCTTCGAGACAGTGTGTATTGCTTGCTTTTTACTTGAAATCTGGACATTTTAGGTAATATAGCAGCTTTGGATTCTGATCTCCTTGGGGGTTGTTATTGCTGTTCCTTCAGAGACTTACCTGAGCTAATTGTTCAGAGCCTACGACCCTTGCTGTATACAGCTACTGATGTCTCTGCTTTTTACTTATTTTTAAATTATTCTTTTTATTTTTAAGTTCAGCTTCCTAGGGGTTGTTCATGGGTCAGTATATGTTAGTGGTCAGCCAGTGGTCAGTAATTGATTGGTCAGAGGTTGTACCATTAAGCCTTTAATGATGAATCTGTAGGCAGGTTGGGGGACATATTCAAAGTTCAAGCAGTTTACAAGTCTGCCCGGCTTTTGCTTTATGAGTGTAGAAAGCCTCCCACTTGTTCAAGAATGAGCAGACAGCTGGAGTTCTCTCTGGCCTCTCCTAAGTGTGCTACACAGGGGTAGCTTTTCAGACCACCAGAAATATGTAGGATTTATCAAGGCCCAAATGGCTGTCTCGTTTCCCAGGTCTCCTGTTAAATTTCTGGCAGGTCTGTTACATGTTCCAACCAGTGTTCAGAATTCAAGTCAGCTGTGATGTTGACCTTTGCCAATTACTGGCCATTGAGATCACTATTGTTTTCAAACAGTGTCCCATGGGTTTCCTGTGCTCCACCCCAAATCAAATAGGCCCCTCCCATCAGCAAAGCTGCCAGCCTCACAGGTGGTCCCCCCCCAACAGAGCTACAGTGCCACAGGACATGAGTTGCTGGGAGCACCGCCAGGCTGGAAAGCCACAGGCTTTCTTTGTACTTACCAAGATCCAGTAATTCTTGAGTATATGCTTCTCTATTTATTTGCCTTTGGTCAATTTCCAAAGTGCAGCAATGTTTATTTTGATAATTGTGTCCACTTTTATTACTGCTTTTTGGGAAGAGGATTTGTTGAACTCCTTTGTCATTCTGGGATCCCTTTCCACCCCCAGCCCCCAGCCACAGTCTTTTTAATGGCTATGTTGTCTTCCATTTTTTGGATGTCCCACTGTTTGTCAGTCTGCAGTTGATGGACATGTAGATCGCTTCCACATTTTCCCAGGCCAGCCATTCTACCCTTAGCATCCTTGCTCTCACCTCTCAGCACACCTCTTTCTGAGCTCTCCCCTACTTCCTGTAGATCGCAGCAGCCTGAACCTGACCCTCTTCCTGACCCTTCAACTCTCTCTAATCAGGGAAAACACTGATCAAGGTGGCAGAAGCAGAAAAGCGCCTAGGAGCTGCAGAGAGGGATTTTATCCACACAGCCTCCATCAACTTCCTCACGCCCCTGCGCAACTTCCTGGAAGGGGACTGGAAGACAATTTCGGTGAGGAACCTCGGACCACAATGCTTCCTGGTAACCATGGCAGCCCTCTCCTCAGAGCCTCTGAGCACAGGCTCTCCTCCCAGGCTGGGAACCCAGCTCTCCTGGGGCCTCCTCAGCTGTGGCTCCTGGGGACTGAGTCACCTCGAGTGAATGACCTCCCCTGTCTGGGACTGTTTCCCTGTCTTGGCCAGGTGGCCCCATGGGCCAGTCCTGCCACTCTGAGGGCTCCCAAGCTGCCCCAGGTCTCACTGTCCTGTTTGGCATCCTGCAGAAAGAGAGGCGGCTCCTTCAAAACCGGCGCCTGGACTTGGATGCCTGCAAAGCACGGCTGAAGAAGGCCAAGGCTGCAGAAGCTAAAGCCACGGTAGGTGTCCGTCCTGGCCTCCCACCCCTATCCCCCTAGTTGTTGGTGGAGCCAGTGGGGGGAGTGAAGGGACCTAGTGTTTGGCATGACTTTTCCCTGCTGTCCCTGCCTGGAGAGGCCTGGCTGAGGGTGCTGGTCTGGGCTGGCCACCCCCAAGGGAACCCTGGCATCCAGAGCTCTGGGTCCTAGGGCAGACATTTATGTGGTGGGCTGACCAGCAGTGCCCCAGCCTGGGCTCCAGGCACCCCACAGCCTCCCCAGACAGACAGCCAGTTGGAGTTTCTCGCATGGCCCTGCCCTCCAGTCCCTGGATGCTCGGTTCTGTCGCCGGCTCTGCCCGGGCATGGCTCCCCTTACTAACTCTCCCACCTGCTGCTCCAGTGCTGGTCCCAGGGCACCCTTGCAATGGTATAAACCCCAGGGCTGGACCACCCACCCTCTTACGGGCCCTTTCAGGTAGCCACGAGACTGAACAGGACCTGGGCCACCTTGGCTTCCATTCACCTCAGCTCACGGAGGTCTCTTTGGCCTGGCTGGGCCATTAGATTCAGCATGGCACAGTCTGACCAGGGCTAGGCCAGACTTGGAGAGCTGGGCCCAAATGTGAGCACATGCTTGGCATGCCAGGCTGCTCGGGGTGTGGCGCCTAAAGTCCACCTTACACCCTGACAAGGGAACCCCAGGTGGAGGGTGTGCCAGGGAAGTTGCCCCCTGTGCTTGCCCAGGCTCTTGGCCAAGGAGGGCCAGGCCCATCCCAGGCTCTTAGATGTTCGTGAGAGTTCCAGTCCCAAACCGCCCCACAGGGTCACCACCTGGGCCCATGGAGCCTGGGCCAGCACTGCCTCTGACGTGGGCAGGGTCTCAGTCCATCCTAGTGTGTGGATCCAGATTGGAGGTAGGAGCTCAGCCACTAGAGTCTTGTTGGGCATGGGTAGGATGATCTATGGCTGTTGAGCTGACTTCTCTAAGTCACCTGGACAGGACACTCTCCCTGTCAATCAGGGGATAATTTTTCCAGAGTAACTAGGCCAGAACAGGCCTCCCCCATCAGCCAGGTGAGGGGAGACTTTCCTTCGTCATCAGAGCAGCATGACTTCTCTGATGGTCGGCCTGGACAACCCCAAGCCTTTGGACTAATTAGGCCAGGACACCCTCTCCAGAGCTGGGACCTGGGCAGCCCAGGCACGGTATCCCAGAAGATTCAAGCCCTGCAGTGTGGTCCCTCCTCCCACCCCGTAAATACACGCACACACACAGGACGACTTCCAGTCATGTGCATCCACCCACCCCTTCGCCGCCTGGCGTGCCTCCCGCCCGTGCCAGGGGCCTGCTCCTGCCTGCGCTGTGGACTAACTCTTTGTTTTTGTTCCTTTCCGTTCTGCTTTGGGTATCTTGGCTCAGTGTGAGGGAGATGTGAGTATACCTGCCCACGTGCTGTGCTGCTTCTGGGTTGCCCATCTCGGCCTTGGGTCACAGTGCCGGGCTGACCCCAGGGATGCCTTGGGGCACTTTGCAAGCAGCTGGTCTCCCCACCAGAGCCTCTACCACATGTAGCCTCTGGTTTGGGGGGACACCAGGCATTGGAGCCTGTGAGTCAGCTTTTTGCAAATGCTGAAAGCCGGTCACTCTGTCCATCCATGCATCCATCTGTCCATCTTTGTTGTTGGGGCGGCCTGGTCCTTGTAGTAGTGAGAGATGTAGTGTGTGTATTCTGGGATGGAGAAGGCGAGGCTGGGGGATGGGCTTTGCCTGGAGGACTGTGGCTTTAACAGGGGCCTCTGAATGAGACTGGGGTACAGGGAGGAGGGGATGGCCCCTGGGCCATGGGCGGTGCAGTCTGTGACCTGCCCTGTGGCAAGGGCTCTGACAGCAGCAGCAGGCTGTCTCCTCGTGTACCTGCGCTTGGGTTCCCCAGCTGTGTCCACCCACTTGGTCTTGGTCTCCACTCGCCTTGTCCCTGGGTGGTTGGAATGGGGAGAAGGGGGTCTTTGTTGCATTTGTCTCTAGCTTCCTGTCCCTGTGGCTGGTGGCTCCTGGCATCTCCCTGTGGGAGACTCGGGGGCAGCCTCCTGGCCTTGGTCTGGCCCTGGCCCAGCGTGACCCCTCCCCCCACGAACTCTGTTCCCCCCAGACGGTGCCTGACTTTCAGGAGACTAGACCTCGTAATTACATTCTCTCGGCCAGCGCCTCCGCGGTAAGCGCCCCCCATCCCCAGCCTTCCCCCTCCCCCTCCTTGGCCAGAAGGCACAGCAAACAGGAGCCCCAGGGGAAGGCAGACGCACCACACCTGGTGGGGCAGGTCCTGACCTCTGCTGCCTGTCTCCTGTGCCCATGTGGCTGGCCTTGCTCCTTCCTGCAAGATGCTGAGGGCGGAGTCTGGGCCTGCTGCCCCATCTCCAGGGCCCCGAGTGGGTCCGCCCCTTCCTGAAGCAGGCACCACTCCTCACCCCTGCTCACCGCCCAGGAGAGCCAGGCCCAAGTGGACTCCGAGGAGAGAGGAGGCCTGAGCCTCACCTTCCATGAGTTCACAGGCCGCTAGGGACAGGTGTTCATCCAGCTGCCTCTGCAGGGGAGTGGAGGGCATGGCAGGGTGGGTAGCAGCTGAGGTTGGAGAACAGGGTGCGTCGGAGGACGGAGAAGGGGAGGGGTCGGGTGGAGCCGGTGAGGCAGGGCTGGCCGGGAAGGCTGTGAATGTCTGTTCCCTTCAGCTTTGTTGAGCTCATCGGTCCGTTCTGTTCAGTTTGGGAAGCAGGTGAATCACTCTGACCCCTTCGCTCCTACCACAACCACTGCTGTGCCCTCCCAGCCCCTCTCTGTCCTTCCATTTCCCCCACGGGAGACGCGCTCCCACGCAGACAGACAGACCCTTTGGCTGCCCTTCGCCTCTGCCACAGCATGTTGCCGTGTGTGTTCATGGAGTCATTCACTGGCTGGCCTATTGGTCCAGGGCATCAACCCTGGTTGACAACCCCCAGCCTCTGTTGCTGTCCTACTGTGTGCATGTGGAGATCCTTCCCAAGTTTTTATTTTCTTTTAAACGCCTTGTGGTGGAACATCTCTGTCTACAGGGCTGGTCTTGTTTTGCTTCGTATTTCGGGTTCTCGTCTTAGGATGGCTTCTCGCAGTGGGCTGGAGAAATGGGTCTCCTAAGTCGTGGCGGGGGGAGGGGGGTCTTTCTTCTTTAGACTCTGGATGACACTTCCTGCCCCCCTTCCTGGGCCTCGTGGAAGGAGGATTATCCCGGAGGGTGGAGCCTGCCCTGTATTTTTCTTTTGCCACTGAACCCCAGTGTGACTCAGGCCCGAGGCTGCCTTTCTCTGCCGAAGGACAGAAAGGTTCAGTGACTGGCCCAGGGTCACAGTAGTCCTGCCTCCCAGCCCACCAGGCTTAGCCAAGTGTCAGGGTGGGGTAGGGGACTCTCGTCTCCCTTGGGACCCCCATCAGAGCCTGGGGGCTTACATTATAGGAGAAATCCAAGCAGGACTCTCAGCTGGCTGTCCCCTCCTCCCTGCATGTGGCATGTTGGACTGGACTGTAATCAGCAGTACCCTGTCACACCAGGCCCCGTCCCAGCCTCAGCTCCTGGTCAGGTTGAGGGGTGGGAAGGACATGGGTGGGGGGTCAGGGCCTTGGGGAGCTGTGGCAGGGCACAGGCCCTGGGGTTCTGCTGTCCTTCCCTCCCCCACCTGCTGACCAGTGCCCCTCTCCCCCTGCTGCCTGGTCCTGCCGTGGTCTCCACAGCTCTGGAATGATGAGGTGGACAAGGTGAGCCGGGACTGGAGGTGTTTGGGGGAAGGAACTTGAAGGGTGGCAAGAGTCCAAGGACACCTGCTGCCATAGGGGTCAGGTCTGCCTCTAGTTCTGGACTTGGCTCTATGCCCCCTGGGGCCCCTGAAGGGGGCTCGCATTTCCCTCTGTGGGGGGTGCCTCCACAGTGCCTAGTAGCACACAGTGGGCCCTTCGGGAATGTGTGCCAGTTCAGTTTTCCTTGATGGGTGGTGATGTCAGCCAGGCAGGTGACTTGAGTGTGAAAGGCCATGGTAGAACCCCTATGGGTCTATCTCTGCAGCTGTTGTCACAGAACTGGCCCAAGGGCCTCCTAGCAGGGCTGTAGACCTTCCAAGGGGGGTCAGGGTTCCAGGCCTGAGGTCAGAAGTGGAGAGTGCACCCCTGCCACTGAGCTATGTGCATCCCCAGGGGAAGTATCATCTGCACGCTCCGGGGCAGGCCTGTGGGGTGCAGGAGGGGGCTGATGGGCAGGAAGCTGCGGCGAGTCTCCTGGTCACACCCTGTCCCATTCTGCCCTTCCCAGGCTGAGCAGGAGCTCCGAGTGGCTCAGACAGAGTTTGACCGGCAGGCAGAAGTGACCCGTCTCCTACTGGAGGGCATCAGTAGCACTCACGTGAGTCTCGACCCCCATCCTCCTCGTGTCCCCAGGGAACTTGTCCACACAGGCAGTGAACACACCTAGGTCTCAGGTGCAGGAGGGAAGGGCCGCGCTGGAGCCTGCGGTCCCTAAGGGGAACTGTAGCCTCAACAGAGCCCGGCCCAAGGCCTGGGTACCTCCTCCCCCGAGGGAGCAAGAGGCTTGGAGCAGAAGACAGTGGGAGGCGGGGCCAGAGCCTGGCGGAGGAGGGCTGGGGGGGTGGGCTGCTTCGCTCACTCAGACAACCGCCCACCCCGTCGTCAGCCCTGGCCTCCTCCCCACAGGTGAACCACCTCCGCTGCCTCCACGAGTTCGTGGAGTCTCAGACAACTTACTATGCGCAGTGCTACCGCCACATGCTGGACTTGCAGAAACAGTTGGGCAGGTGCCCACCAGGGGCCCCTGGCTCCCAAGGCCCAATGAGCTGCCCCCTTCCCCCAGGCACGAGGACACATGGGGTGGGTTAGAGGGCAGCCGGCTGAGCTGGCCCTAGTGGGGGCACGCACCACTCTCTGGGCAAGGTGGCTGGCCTGTCGCCTCTGGGAGCAGTTTCCTGGGGACGCCTCGGGAGGACGGCAGGGACAGGAGTGCAGCATTTCACCTTTCCCTTGCTTTGCTTTTCCCTTCATGCTGCCAGCTCCCAGGGAGCCATGTAAGTAGTGGGGGGTCCCCTTGCCTCTGTGGCAGTGGCCCAGCCAGCACTTTGTGGGGCACATGGGACTCCCACAGGGATACGGCGCCCAGCTGCTGAGATGTGCCCACCATCCTCCAGATTTCCAGGCACCTTTGTGGGCACCACGGAGCCCGCCTCCCCACCCCTCAGCAGCACGTCACCCACCACCACCGCAGCCACAATGCCTATGGGACCCTCTGTGGCTGGCCTGGCCCCTCCAGCAGAGGCGGCTCTCTGCCTGGAAGAGGTGGCCCCACCTTCCAGCGGAACCCGGAAGGCCCGGGTTCTCTACGACTACGAGGCGGCCGATAGCAGTGAGCTGGCCCTGCTGGCTGATGAGGTGGGCCTGAGTGCAGGGAGCCAGAACTGGGAGCATGGTGCCTGCTGTTCAAGTCTGAGGGGCCCTAGAGCAGAGCTGGGACTGTGGGGGAAGCACAGGCGGCCGCAGCTCTGAGCTCTGAGGAAGCAGTCGCTCGTCGGCTGTGGCCGTAGCGCAGGAGAGGTGAACTCTGAAGGAGTAGATGCCCAGTGTCACGGGGAGGTTGCAGCCCCGCTCCCACTTAGTTCTGGGGCCAGTTCTGCCCTGGCGAAGACATGACCTTCCTTTGCCCTCCTCTCAGCTCATCACTGTCTACAGCCTGCCTGGCATGGACCCCGACTGGCTCATTGGCGAGAGAGGCAACAGGAAGGGCAAGGTCCCTGTCACCTACTTGGAGCTGCTCAGCTAAGCAGACGCCCCCCCAAGCTCTTGCCCATTCTGTCCCAGGCATGAGAAGATGGGCACAGTGCTGCCATTTGCTGGCGACCCAGCTGCTCAGGGTGGGGAGACACCCCATTGTCCTTGCCCAAGTCGTCCAGCTGTGCTGGGACCCTACTGGCTGAATAGTCCCAGCCCCTCCCCAAGCCCAGCCCTGCTTCTGACCTGGTTCCTGAGCATCCAACCCTGCCACCTGTGCCCCGAGCACCCCGGTGCTCCCAGCCCCTGCTAAGGCCCAAGTCGGGGTCCGCGCAGATGGTCCAAGGGAACCCTGTGGTCCACACTTGTCGAGGGAGCGCTTGCCTTCTAGTTGCCAAAAGCAGCCGAGGGGGAAGGCAGCAGGTGTGCGGCAGGCCCCAGAGACTGGCTGCTGTGCCCTCTGTACGACCTGGAGCGGAGGGGAGCCTGGCCAGAGGCACGGCTGGGCCCCAGAGCAGCATCTCCCAGGTGCTACCCTCCCCTCCCACAAGCCAGGTATGGCGGCTGCTGCCTGCCCCTCTCCACATGCACTTTTTAATGGGTCTTTTTACTCTGCCTGTCTGCTTGCTGTCTAGCCAGTGATAAATAATAAACCATCCTCCGTGTGCATGTTGCCTGCGCTCCTGAGAGGCGTCACAGACCTCAGGACTGGCCTCGAGCTGGGAAAAGGAAGAGACCTGGAGTTGGCCCATCCTGCTCTTGGCGGGGCTCCCCTCCCAGAAGCGCTCGGGCAGGTAGAGGGTGCGTCCATCCCAGCCCCCGCTTCCTCCCCCAAGGCCTTGCTGCTCCAGTGGCAGTGAGGACTGTTCCCATAAATGAAGCTGTGTAACAGTTTCAGTCCTAAGGAAACCTTCCTAAATTTGGGCAGCAGAGTGGATCGGAAAATGCACAACTGTTAAGTTTAAGTCATCAGTAGCTGTCGGTGCTTCCAGCAGCCGGCACTGAGCCAGGCCACTCACGCATTCCCACGTCAGCCTCACAGATGAGCAAAGCAGAGATTGAAAAGACAGTTACCTCCTCAAGGCTCTGTAACTGGCAAGTGGCCATGCAGAGACACTAGCTCAGGTCAGTCTGGTTCTAGAAACTTCACGTTGTGGCTTTGGGCTACAAGGCAGGTCTTAGATTAAGGCTCATTAGCGGGGCCCAGCACTCCGGTTAAGTCCTGAGGAGGCCAAAGGCCAGCAGGTCCCCCTGCTGGGGCCTTGAAGGGAGGGAAGGGAAGGAGGGGCAGCGATTCAAGAAAGGCTATAGGTGACCATAGGCTCAGACAGCTGGTGAACACAAGTGTGTGGCAGGAATGGAGGACCAGACCTGGGCTGGCCAAGGGAAACTGACAGTGTCCCCCTCCCCAAGAACATTAACAGAGGTGTTAGAGAGCCAACTGTTGATACATATCCTGCGGGCCCCAAACCTCCCTTCCCACCCCACAGCCAAAGAGAACTTGCTGGATGCTCTGAGAGCTGGCTAGTCATTCCAGGGCTTTGGAATTGTCTATAAACAGTATTTTAATGTTTGTATAAATAGACCACAGTATTACCAAAAAACTGCAAGAACAGGGCATGGGAAACAGATTTTCTAACCCATGTGTACAGCTTCTCCTGGCTGCACGTGACCCTGGGCCAGGGTCAAGTACTGTGGGGAATGGTCAGAGAAGAGGCCCACCCCTCTGGGGCATCTTGAACATGAGACGTGAGCAGAGCAGAGTCGCGGCTCCCTGCCCCTGCTGTGGACCTCTTGATCTATTATTACAAAAATATGCCAGCAGACAAGTGGCTGGAGTCAGGGTTACTGTGGGGAGAGGTGACAGGAGCTGCTCTCAGTCACAGACAGGCCCCAGCAGACCAGCAGCGCCCCTGCTGCCCGGGCTGCCTTGCAGTGCGGTGAGAGTGGTAGACGGGCGGCAGGCACCACCCTATCTTTGCACATGTCGGACAAAGGCCTGCACTAGCTGGACCAGAGGCTCCTGACTCTCAGGGCTGGCCTTGGAGAGAGAGGTGGACTTGCCCTGAGGTGAGGGGAGGACACCAGCAGCAGGGGAGCTGGGTGCCCCCCGACGGAAGTAGCGTGAGAGGCTGGAGAGGAGTGTGCTCTGTGAGAGAAACAGCAGCTTGATGAGGCCCTGTGTGCCCCACTGGGGGCCAGGCAGGGGCCCCAGGGACTCTCCCCATCAGCCCCACCCACTCCAGTCAGGGCCCTCTATCCTTCCATACCAGCTCTGAGCTGAGCTCCTGCTTCATCCGCTGTTTGTCCCGGGGATGCACAGCCGGGTCCCTGAGGTAACGCACTGCCTGGGAGATGAGCAGGTAGAAGCAGTTCTCCATGGTAAACATCAGGAGGGACCTGGGAGAAGGGCAGGTTTTTGGCACCGCTGCAGAGTGCAGAGCAAAGCTGGCAGGTTTGAGGTAGGCCCAGCCCCAGATCGAATTCCAGGAGGGCTGGCTTCCTTACTTCAGCGTCCTGGTTCCTTCTCCCTGTGTGCTGAGCCCCACAGCCTGCGTGAGGGGCTCTTTTTTCTTGTCCAGCTGGAGGAAGGGAAACAAGGTAAGAGTGACAGCTCCCGCTCACTAGAGCTTCCCACCAGCAGGCCCCACGCTGAGCCACCTAGGTAGGTACACCCTGTACTCCCCACAGGAATTCCCATGGGTAGGCCTCACCGTTCTTACTCATAAGGAGAGGCGGGCTCAGGAAGGCTAGGTAACGTGCGGAGGACATAGCCAGGAAGTGGTGGGCTTGGAGAAAGCCTGGGGTTGAAGGGCCAGGGGCCTACAGCACCCAACTCACCTCTCCAAGCATGTTCAGGGCTACATTCACTGTGGCCAGAAGGGTCCCGAAGGAGGGGGCCACTTCAGAGTCAAAGGTAGGAGTGGTAAAGCTCAGGGCAAATAGGAAGTTGTATTCAGCAAGGTCCAGGGACTGTAAGGCAAGATGAGAGCATCTAGGGCCTACTGGGACCCAGCAGAACCTCCAGGGCTTACTGCTGGGGTCCACTGGTGGCGGCCTGTACCTGATCCAGCAGGATCTGGCAGACATCCGGGGTGAAGTGGCGCAGGGCCGCCAGGGTCCTGCTGAGGATCTTGAGGAGTCCATACTGGACCGTGGGTAAGGCTCGCTGCCCTGAGGCCTCTGTGTCACCAGTGAGTTGCTTAGACGAGGAAGAGCAGAAGGGGGTCGCAGGGGCAGCTGTGAGTGGCCGCTGAACTCGGGGGGCAATAGCTGAGGGGATACCATCTCCATTTTTGTTCTGGGGGAGAGACAAGAAACAGGCGGAGAACAGAGAAGCCAGGGTGCGGGATCCCCAGCAGCCACAGCAGGCAGGCGCTCAGTACCTGCAAGTAGTGCTGCAGCATCTTGCGGCTGTGCAGGAGGGAGGTGCAGGCCTGGCACAAGTAGCCTAGGTTTACCTGGAGCAAACACAGGGAGCAAGCGGTGGGTTCCTCAGCAGCAGCCCCAGCCAGCTGCCTGGACCAGGGCAGCGGGCCCCTGCGTGACCCCAGCGCGCCTCACTCGCCAAGCCCATTCTTTAGCTTAGGTTCTCACAGCTGCCACGTGCACATGCCTGCAACTCTGGGTCAGCAGATGCCTGGACTCTTTCCCTGGGACCTAGCTGGGTGCCTGGCACAGTGTAAGGTCAGTCCTAATACGTAAGATGGGGATTATTTCCTCATTTTACAGAAGAAAAAGGCTTAAAGAAAGGAGAAGTGACCTGATGAAGGTCACACAAATGACATACGCTTGTCTGACTCCAGAACCTGTGTTCTACCCCTGCCCCCTCTTCCCCAGCTGGTTCCCTGCTTCGAGCCTGTTCCTCAGGGATGTGAACCAAGGTCCAACCAAAAGAGCCCAAGTTCTTAACCTACAAGGCTGCCCTCTGCAGTGGAAAATTAGCTGCAGAGGAAACAACATGAAACCAAACCCTGTGCTCCCTAAGCAGAGCCAGGGTACCAGGAGGGGGCCTGCAGCTCACTGGCAATGCCCCAGAGTGCCCACTAACTCTGGTCCCCAAGCATTTTCCCAGACTCCTCCAAGAAACCATGCCTAAGACCCCACCTGGACATCCCGCATGAGCTGAGGCAGGTGGAAGTGCCATTCCTTCATGAAGTTGGACAGCTGCAGAATGAAGCCCACGGTGTGGTCTGCCTCCTCCAGGCAGGCCAGACTCTGCACTGTCCTTACAGCATTGAGGCACTGGGAGGGAGAGATAGGAAAGGATGGGGGTGACTCACAGACCTGGCATGCTTGCTCCTGCCCCCGAGGGGAGGAAAGGTCCTGGGCACATAAACACTGAGGCACCGGCACAACAGGTAGCTTGGTGTCACAACTAAGGTTTCCTGTCTGACAGATCCCAGACCATTCCCCTCAGCAGAGCAGCTGCACTGCTTGGCCAGTCAGCCAGCAGTCCTTAGAGCACCTCAGAAATGGGGCACTGACACCTCCCAAGCACTAAATGGCCCAGACCCCCTTTGACCCTGAGCCCCTGGCAGTGCTGGCAGCCCCTCACCTGTAAGGTCCGCTCCTGGTGAACACCCACGAAGTCCAGGGCCTCTGTCAGAAAGTTGTAGCGCAGAGTTTTTAGGAGGCGCTCCATCAGAGACATGGACAGGCGGTAGACCCCAGGCCAGGAGGGGGCATCCAGGGACTTCCGAGAGGCACTAGGGGTCTAAGAAGTAAACAGCAGACAAGATCAGGACAGGGTGCCTAGGTCACTAGCTGACAGGTACACCAGGGCCTCCTTGCAACCCAGCAGCTAAGGCAGCCTGGCTGCTTAAAGAAAACCCTGTGGAATGGACACAGCCACGGCCTGGAGAGCGGCAAGGCCAGATGGGCCTGAGGCCAGTGGGTACAAGGAAAGAGCACTGGGCAGATAAAAGAATCCCGGGCTCCGGACTCAGGTCCGCCACCAACTAGCTGTGTGAGTTTCTCTTGCCGTAGGTCAGGGGGGTCATACCACTGGCACACTGTGGATAAGCCACTAAGTAGAGCGATTTCTGGGGCAAGTGAAGAACCAAGGGGTGGGAGTGCTGTCCTACGGGAACTCCAGTTTGGCCAATCCAGGCCCCCCTGGTCCTCACCTGTGTCGTGCCATTGGTGCTCAGCTGGTATATGCTCAGGAGAGGCAAACAAATGCTCTGGGTGATGCCAGCTCCAGCTATTGCCATGGCTCCCTGGGAGAGAAAGCCGTGAAATGAGAAACTATCTGGCTCCACCACTCCTGGAACCTGCCCCTTTGGCCACTGCATCCAGGGACAGGTGAGGCTCTCAGGCTAGCCCAGAGCTTCTGGGACAATCGCAGGCAGTTCCTGAACCTGCCCAGCACAAGCCAAGAGGCTCCCCAGTGCCCTCCGGCTTGCCTCCTACCTGCTGGGTGCGAGCCAGAGTGAGGAGCAGGTGCAGCGCTGCCTCAGTGAAATGCAGGTTCTGCTTCATGCGCAGGCTCACCTCCAGGGTGGTGAAAAGGGTGGGCAGGACGGGGAGCCTGCGGGTCACCTGCAGCCACGAGTCACCATCCTCATCAACCTCACACAGTTCCTTAGCCAGGTGCAGGCCCAGGACACACACCTGCTGGGGCCCAGGGACAGAGATGGGTAAAGGAATGGAAACAGGGCCTGG